AATACTAGTGATACCTAGAAATGAGGAAATAAAATACAAGTACCTACAGGGGCACAGACAGTCCCCTTAACTGATCCACACTGAAAGGGACTAATGACATAACTCAAGCAGTAGAGTGCTACTTTGCAGGCATAAAGCCCTGAATTCAAATCCAACACAGCTAAAAAAAAAATTGGGGGCTGAGGAAGTAGCTCAGTGAAAAATGTCTGCCCAGCATGTGCAAAGCCCTGGGTTCAATTCCTCAGCATTGCTAAATCAAAAAATGGTAAAAAAGATAAATGGCATTAAGGTCACTTCAGCCATCTCATAGTGGAAGAAAGTAGTTTAACCTAGACCAGATCCCTCATTCTTCAAGTGAGGAAACTGAGGCCCAGAACAGTTTAGAGACCTGCTCTCCGTCAGATGTCAATGTAAAATAACAACTTTGCTTTACAGCAACACCCTAAAAAATCCCCTTACCTTTCTAAAACATCTTAAGGAGGCTATCAGAAAACATACCACGATGGACCCAGAGTCACAGGTGAGAGAGGGTCTTCTCAAAGATAAATTTCTAACAGTCAGCCCCTAATACTTGTAAAAAATTCAGTATATGGCTGAAGGAGAAAAGTCATTGGATCAACTAATACAACTAGCCATATCTATATATTATAACTGGGACATTACTAAAAGAGAGAAAGATAAGAGATATGACCTCATTGCTGCCCCCACCCAACTGGGGCCTACATCTCGAGTTTGCTACCATGATGGACAAGAGGGGCACTTCTGCAGAGAAGGCTTAAGGGGGGACAGCCCAGGAGACAGCCCCACCCCCAACCAGGACCCTGCCCTCTCTGCAAAGGTAACCACTGGAGGTTTAAGTGCCCCCATTTCCAGATGGAAGGTGAGATGCCACCTCCTATGGATTGATGGGTCCCAGCCCCCTGTCCACGCTCCACTTCTTGGCATCGATTTTGAGGAGCCTCATGGTAGCCATTATGACAAAAAAAAACAAAAGATCATTTCTGGCTAGACAGTGGAGCTCATTTCTCTGTCTTATCTTTCTCTCCCAGTCCCCAGTCCAATGACAAAGTTATCATTCAGGGCAAATCTGGCCAGCCCCTAGAGCACTAGTTTACCCAGCCTCTGGCCTGCTCTTGGGGAAACTTCCTCTTCTGTCACTCTTTCCTCATAGTACCTAAAACTCCAATGTCCCTGCTGGGATGGGATTTACTATCACAACTAAAACTCAAGTTCTTCTCCCCCAGGCAGCTATCTCTGCTGCCCTCTCCTTCAGGAACAAATAGATCCCACAATGTAAACTAATGAGATAAATGTAGGGCGAGCCTGGATGGCCCTCCCTACTCAAATAAAACTCAAAAATCCCTCACAGTTTCCACATCCAAAACAACATCCCCTCAAGCCTGAGGGACAATGAGGCCTTCTGCCTATCATAAATTCCTTAGAACACCAAGGACTACTAATTAGTTACTCTAGTCCACATAATTCAAAATTTTTATAAAAGTTAATTTTAAAATACAAGTTACAAAGTAAACAACTAAAAAGGATATAGATAGACAATAAATGTATTTTTTGAGAAGTTAAAGGAAAAAAATGTTTTTGGATGAGAAAGGATTTTATAAAAAAGGGTTTGTCATAAAGATTGTTTCAAATAGGAGAGATAAAGACAAGCCATCAAAGGGTCTGATATGTTATATAAAGGTCTGAGTAAGTTTTAAAAGTGTGTAATAAAAAGCTTCAATGTATAATAAAGTTAAAGTTAAGTATAGTCTAAGAGTTGCCTAAAAGATTTTTAGGGTCATATCAAACTAAAATCAAATTCTCTATGTCTATAAAATAACAAGGTTATCTTAACATTGTTCTGCTCTGAGTAACATCTACAAAAAAAGTTGCAGAAAAAGACTTTATCAAAGAAATTATTTGTGTTTTCTGTTGATCTTGTCAAACCTTAAGTACTACTAAATCAGAGCTCATTTATGTATTTGCTCATGCAATGGTCTCTTAAATGACCAGCTTATAACTGAGTTCAGTATCTAGATTTTATCTAAATATGGTACAAACATTTACAGAGTTGAAAGTGTCAACTTATGTAAAATGATGAGCTAAATCTCTCTTTTATTCCAATGTTACATTTAACCTGCATCCTGACAGTCAGCCTCTATTTGCCTTTAAAGGTCCCACAAACGCTTCATAGCAACTAACCTGGTCAGTCTTGCCACAAGAGTTTAAAGACAGCCCTCATCTTTGTGGACAGGCCCTAACCAAAGACTTATTAGATTGGCACTACCTAGAGGCCACCCTTCTTCAATGCAGAGCCACAGAGCCCCTTATCTGCAACACAACTGAGTTCCTTTTAAAACTTTCTGGCCTCCGGGAATACAAAGTCTCTAAGGAGAAGGCTCAATTATGTGTCCCTCAGATCACCTACCTAGGTGTGTTCTTAAAGGGACAGACTCACTCCCTGAGTCATAAGTGCATCAACCCAATCTTCTATTTCCCTCTCCCCATACCATAAGACAGCTTACAGCAAGATTGGGAGTTACAGGATTTTGCAGAATTTAGATCCCTAGGTATGCAGTCCCTTAGAAAGACACCTTTTATGCTTCTCCTAATATTCCTATTTGGGTCTTAAATAATCTATGTCCACCATTTCTCTTAGAAAACTTGCCTCCAACAGACTCTGCTCCTCTGGCTGACTACTACCTTATCTTAACCTTCTCAAGGAACTTCTCAAAAAACATACAGAGCAGATCCTGCCCCACCCTATAACAATTTCTATTAAATCAGGGGCTCTTGTTCTCTTAAAGGATCTTCTACCCTCTTTGTTGGGACTTCAGTGGACCAGCCCTCATCTGATCATTCTCACGATACCCGCTGCTGTCAGGCTCAATGGGATCCCCCAATGGCAGCACCTCTTAAGGAATGGACACTTAGAATCCTCTAGGGAACAACATTTCACAGTGGTTCTCCTGGCCAATGCCCATCCTAATGCCTAAGTTTCTTGCTCTCCTATTCTTAAGCTTCCTCCCTTGTATCATACTGCATGTCTGCTACTGCTAATCAAAAACTTAACCAGTTGTACCTCCAGGGATATCAACCTCTCCAAAACCGCCCAGAAAAACTACTGTGAAGGCCCCATCCAGGATGCCACAGGAGCCTGAGGATCCTGCCCCATACAACGACCCCTGCCAGCAGGAAGCAGCTAAACAGACCAATGCTTTGCCCCAATTCCTGATCCTCAGCTCCTACCCTCATCATTATTAAACAAAAAAATGGGGGAAAGGTAAGAACTGCCTCTTGCCACCATTCTGCAGCCTGAGCCACAGCTGGTTTCATTCCTTGAAGGACAAAGCCCACTGTTCCTTACCTCCTTCCACCTTACTTTGCCCGCCCCTAGACCTTGCTTCCACAGCTGATCTCATCCCTTGCAGAACAAAGCCCCACTGTCCCTTATCTCCTGCCACCTCTCTTTGCCTGTCCCTAGCCCTTGCTTTTTCCCAAATGCTACTTAAAGAACTGCTGAGAAAAGTGCCATTTTTTCTTCTTGGCCAGCCAGCCTGCTTATTAAACTTTTGGACATGAGATACCTCTCATAAGCGTCCTTTGTGTGTGATGTGCGACGTTTTTCTAATAGTAAGTGCTTAATAATACTTAGCAACCATTGTCAGTATCTGTGGACAGAGGGCTGGACTTGGGATGGTGGCTTGAATCAGGACTGGGCATGAGATGACAATGGGGAGACTACACTGGACCTGAATCCAAACAGTGGGTTCACATTTCGATTTTACCCTGGGTTGGGACCAGTGTCACATATAAGAGAAAGACACAGCATGATGGAGAAATCAATGTCCTCTCCTCTTTCCTCCCTCCCTTCCCCTCTTTCTTCATTTCCTGTCCACCTTGGCCATGAAGTTAGATCAAAACAGAAGACAGATTTCTCATGGAGGAGAAATCAGTATCCTCAGCACACCAAGCTTGCTCCATCCTCTGGTCAGTCCCTCTTCCTGGGACTCTCTTCCCTCTAATGACAGAATGGGGATCTCTTCCCTCCATCCTGCCTTTTCTGCTTCACCAGTGTTTCCATATAGAATTCTTCCCTGACCTCTCCAATTAAAATAGCACCAGGGGCTGGAGATGTAGCTCAGAGGTATCACTCTTGCCTAGCATGTATCAGGCCCCAAATTCCATCTCAGCACCCCCCCAAAATAACTAAATAAATATCATCTTACACGTTTCCCTCTGCCAATGCTCACCTTCTGGTTTACATTACTTTTTATCACATTATAGTTTCCCGGGTGTTTTTGCTTTGTGAGCATTCATCAAACTGCCCACTAATTATTTGTGCATCTTCTTTTAGATCACACCTTCCATCACCTGGCTCCTCTTCCCTCTAGGACCCAATCCCACTGACATGCTATCCTATCTGGGTGTGTTTTGCCCACTGTTGGTTTCTTCTAATAGAATTGCAAGATGGAGCCCAGCATGGTGCTGTCTACATGTAATCTCAGCTACTCAGGAAGTGGAGACTAGAGGATCTCCAGTTTGAGGCCAAGCTGGATAAAGTTATCCAGAATCAATCTCAAAATAAAAGGGCTCAAGTGGTAGAGCACTTGCCTAGCAAGGGCAAAGAGACCGTGGGTTCTTTTTTTTTTTTTTTCGTTAATTCAACAACTACAAAAAAGCTACAAAGTGCTTGTAAGAGGTTTCTAGCATTTACCGCTACAAGGTGGCCAACAGCTGTAAGTGCCTACTTAAATTCCAGTTAATGGAAATGAATTCTCTTCCTTTCCTTACTGACTGCATTTTAAGTGCTCTATAGCCACACAGGGGCTGGGGCTCCCATACAGCAGAAAGCACTACTGGGCAGGCTGCACTACAGGGTCACTCCCTGGGTGCATATTGGTCCTCAAGGCTGCCCCCCAGGAGAATGAATGAAAGGATAAGTGGGTGGAAGAATGAATGAAATGACCCCCAAATCTACATGGCTCTCCCTGAGACCCTACCTTGGCCTCGGGATCAGTGCGGAAGAGCCCCTCCAGCACGTGCAGGGCATCCAGAACCCCGTGGTCGGGGCCCTTGCAGTGGGACAGCAGGCGGCTCACGTCGGCGGGGGCCACAAACTGCTTGGAGATCTGGTTGGTGATGCGCACGGGCAGGCAGGCATTGGCTAGTAGGAGGCCCGGGCGGAAGTGGTAGGCGAACTTGCGTGGGCAGGCAGGGTGTGAGTGGGTCAGCTGGCACTGGGACACCACCAGGCGGTCCCGCAGCGGGCTCAGTTTGACAGTGATGAAGGCTGGGCAGCTAGGCTGGGGGGGCCTGCGGAAGGAATAACCATGGCTGTCACACCCCTCTTGCTCTCTCTCTCTCTTAAGCATGGAAAAGAGGAGAGAGCTTTAAGAATATGACAGCTCTGTAAACTTGCCAAGTCGCTGTGCCTCAGTTTCCCCATATAAAAGGGTAGTAATCATCATCAGACCTTCCTTCTAGTATTGTTGTGAGGATGAAAAGAACTGATGTGTGTTTCTGGGGACCGTGGCTCTCAAGTAGTAGAGCACCTGCCTAGCAAGCATGTGGCCTTGAGGTCAAACCCCAGTGCCACTGGGCGCAGTGGTTCACGTCTGTAATCCCAGCTACTCTAGAGGTAAGATTGGGAGGGTCACAGTTCTCTGAAGAAAGAACAAAGGAAACAGCCAAGGATGTACCACTGCACACCATCAGGATAGACTCATCCATGAGACTTATAAACCAGATGGGCATGTGTGCCATTTGTCATCCTGGCCAGGAGTGTGCCAGGGAGAGGGGAAAGGGGGAGCAGGAAGGGGCGTATACAGAGAGAGAGAGAGAGAAAAGAGAGAGATGTGGGGAGGACTGATAACACTGAGCATTCATCGGATAAACAGCAACTGAGACTCATGTATCACTCAGGGGAATTCAAATGACACAAGCACGTTGGAAAATCATGCAGCCAGTCCTATGCCTCTCCTGAGACCTCGTGAATCTACTCAAGATAAACGTGTGCAAAAGGCCAAGGGCATCATCACCACAGCACTATTCCTATCAGCCAAATACCTGAAACCCAAATGTACAATAGAACAAGAAAATAACCTTTGATATATCTTGAAATGTAACATTAGCCAACAAGAAGAAAAAATAAAGCATTACAATCTCCACCACCATGGATGAACCTCACAACTGGCTGTATGAAAGAAGTCAGGCATGAAAGAAAACCCTCAACAATATTCCCAATTATATGGCGTCCAAGTGCAGGCAAAGGTCACCAGTGTTGTTAGGAGACTGGACATTTGTTACTTTTGAGGCATCACCCTAGGAGGTGAGCTGGAAGGCTTTAGGGTGGTGGGAACTGGTCACATTCTGAGTGCTGGTTGCACATGTGTTTTATTCTGGGAAAAGTCGTCAAGTTGCACTTTTGGAAAGTTTATATAGAAAAACCTTTGTTTTCTAGCATGGTGAAAGGAAAAATAATGACTTCCCCAACTTTCCACATCTTCATTTCTGGAAATGTGCGTATCACCTTACATGGCATAAGGGATTGTACAGGTGTGATTAAATGAAGGACCTCAAGTTGGCAGAATCCAATGTTATCACAAAGGTCCGTATGAGAGAGAGAGGGAAGCAAGAGGATCAAAGACAGACAAAGAATGGAAGATGCTACTCCAATGGCTTCAAAAATGGTAGAAGGGACCTAAGCCACAGAACTGTGGAGGGTTCCAGAAGCTGGAAGGGAAAGAACAGGTTCTCCCAGAGCCAGCAGAAGGGACAGAGCCCTGGAGATGCCTTGATTTTAGCCAGTGAGATCCACATTGGCCTTCAGACTTCTAGAGATACTGTTTCAGGCTAACCTATCTGTGTAATAGTTTATGACAACTGCAGTAGGAGACAATGACACTGCCCACACTCTGCACTCCATTTTACAGCTCGCTCATTTGCTCTTCAATCTCCCACTTTTCAGTGTCATTCCCTTTACTTGCTAACGCTCCACCCCATGACTACCTGCCAACTAATATGGGATTTCCTTCTCACAACACTTCAGCGGTCATTCTCTTAGACAAGTATGAGGAAGTTGGTCTGGGACAGTGGTCCTCAAATGGCATGGGACAGCTCACTGTGTGAAATCAGTTTAAGGGGTTACAACCGCACTGTAAAAAAATGAAGTAGAGAATAGGAAAAAAAAAGTCAGGGTTTGGGTTTGATCCCCAGACAGACAGACAGACACACACACGAGTGTATTTCCCCAGTAATAGTATCTAAATTGATATCTACTTCTTAAAAAGGGAGAGAGGATCAGTGTTTCTCCATGGGGGATTGGTATCAGTATTTTCTGGTAGGAAGTCTTCTGTTTTACAGCAGGGGACCACAAACGTTTTCTGCAAAGGGCCAGATAATAAATATATTCTGGCGCTGTGTCCCAAAATTGGCATAGGCAATGTGCAAATGAATGGGTGTGGCTGTGTTTCAATAAAACTTTATTTATAAAAATGGACTGCAGTCCATTCGTTGGATTTGGCCCAAGGGCTTCCTATTTAGCTGACCATTATATCCCACCAGGGCCTGGCATGTAGTTGAGAAGTCAAAGTTCCCTAATGGTATAGATGCCTCCAAAATGCTACCTCACTTTACCTGATTCTCTTCAGGACCCACCCTGAAGACCAGCAGTCTAAACACTTAAGAATTTTCTTGTTAAAACAAAAGGGGATTCTGCTTTCTCCTCCATGGACATCCAGGAACTGGCTAGACTTAAAGAAGATTTAGAGTTGGAGACTTTTTGCCTTATTTAAAGTAATAACAATAATGTAAATTTAGAAAACTCTTAACACATAACAATCATAAACAAAACATAAACCTACAGCCACACAGTGGTATCAGGTGGAAGCAAAAAAAAGTGGCAGGGCTGAGGGCACAGCTCAAGTGATAGAGCAGCCCAGGCACAAGGCCCTGAGTTCAAATCCCCAGGCTGTGTCCCCTCCACCCCAAACTGCCAACACAAAGCTGCTTTTGCTCTGCCAAAATAGCAAGGCCTAGAGATTCCATCCATTACATTTTCCAGGGATAATTCATGGTCTCTTGTGAAACACTAGTCTGGCATTTTTCAGCCTGGGAGTTCCCACGCCTAGGACAGGCCCTCACTCAGGGGAAGCACCTCTTCTAGAAGCCATCCATGATGTGTATAGTGTATCCCCTCTGGGATCCCAACACCTCACACCTGTTGGTGTCCCGACACACCATATTTGCACTTCCTTTTCAACTGATGGTGGTTGGGGGGGAGAATAATGTCACCCCCTCTAAATGTGAACTCCACAGAGACAGGACTTTGTCTGCTTATCTCCATCACCCAGGGCAGTACCTGGCCCCTACAGGTGCTGAGAACACGTACAGCATGCCCTCCACTTCCACAGTTCCACATCTACGGATTTCCCCCATCACAGACCAAAAACATTTGAAAAAAACTGCACCTGTACTGAATAGGAACCAACTTTTCTCATCATATTTTCTCAACAATAATAGAACTATGTAAATAGCATTTGCATACATTAGGTATTAGAAGTCATCTGGGAGTGATTTAAAGTACCGAACAGGATGTGCATGGATCATATGCAAAAGAAAATGCGCATGGATCATATGCAAATGTTTTGCAATTTTATAAGAGATTTGAGCACCCTACAACCATTTGGTACCCTAGAATCAATCCCCTGCACAGAGAAACAACAGCATGCTGAGTGAATGAGTGAGTCCTACTTTGTAACTGTACCTGCCATACCTCCCCCAACCCCTGCCATTCCATCAAAACCATCCACCACCATATCCTCCAAAACTTCTCCACACCACCTGTAATTTTCCATTTCCACTGCTACCAACCCACTAAGAGTTCTTTCCTCCTTCATGAAATATCTTTTTTTCGCCTACTCAACTCCTACTCATCCTTCAGACATCAAAGCCAGCACACCCTCCTCCTGGAAGCCCCCCTTGACCACCCCAGGCTAGGGCAGACCCCAACACACATTGGGGTAATGACTGATGCCTGCCTGTATCATATGTGTCTCCCCAAGATGCTAAAGCCCTGGCATCTCAGATGCATACACCCTGCACACAGGAGGTGCTCAAAACAGCACTTTGGGGTGAATGAACCAAGATATCATCAGGGTGATGGCCTATTTTACTCTCATTTTGGTCACTCATGATTGAAATAAGGATGGTGGGGTGAGGTAGGGTGGTTATTAGAAGCATGGGCTTGGCAGTAAGATTGTGAGGATTTAAACCTTAGTTTTCCCTCCAAGCAGTGGAGCTACCTTGGGGAAATTTCTTTAACCACTCTGTGCCTTGGTTTTCTCACCTGGAAATTAGGGCCAAAATGATACCAGCCTCACAGGCTTGTTGGCGACTAAATACATGATGTAAAGTGGTTGGAAAATGAGCGTGTCCAGTTGATACTTAACAAATAGCAGCCAATGGGCCAGATGTTGTGGCACATGCTCAGAGGCAGATCTGGAGGAGGACTCCAGTCCACAGTCTGCAATCCGAGACCAGGCCCCAAGCAAAACTAACACTTGAGATCCTATCTGAAAAATAACTGAAGTGAAAAAGGGCTGGGGGTGTCACTTAAGTCAAAAAGCAAGTACGAGGCTCCAGGACCTCCAACTCAGCAACAACAACCAAATGGGAGTCACTATTTTCAAAAGTCTTTCCTTTTCTACAAATACCACTGTTTTCATTTGTTTAGAGTTCCCCTTGCACATTTATACTCAATCTTGCAGATTTTTAAGATCTTTGTGTTTTCAAAGGTTGGGGTGTGGTGCTGGCAAAGGTTGAGCAACCCTGTTGCAGAGAGGGAAGTGCTGAAGACAGGGGATGGTGCTGGAGCTGTAGGGAGGGGCTAGGAGGTGGTACTGCACCTCTGGAAAGGGGAAGAGTGGTACAATCGCCATCACCATCCTTATCTATGTGCCCTGGACCCCCAACCCCAGCTTCCTCCCTGACCTCCCAACTCTTTCCTTCAAACTGTCTCCTACAGGACCCTAGAGGGATCTTCCTAAACCCAGAGCTGACCCCACTCTGGGTAAAATCCCAGTACCTGCATTCAGTCTTGCTGGGTCCAGGCCTTGACAGCATTCCAGCCCCATTGCCTACCTTCTCTCACATTAACTTTTCCAGCATCAGAACTGGGCCCATGGCCTGTCCCTGAACTGTGATCATGGAGAGGTCCTGCTTTGAGCAGCTGGGAAGAGAAGCTGCAAGAGCTCAGAAGTGATGGGCTTGGAGTCGGGCATGGCAGTGCCCACCTATAATACCAGCATTTGAGAGAAGGCAGGAGGATTTCAAGGACAGTCTGGGTTACATGGGGAGACCCTGTTGAAGGGAAGGAAGGAAGGGAGAAGGATGAAGGGAGGAAGAGAGAGAAAGAGGAAGAGAAAGAGAGAAAAAGAGGGGAGGGAAAGAAAGAAAAAGAGAAAGGAGAAAGAAAGAGAATGAGAGAAACATAGAGAAAGAAAGAGAAGAAAAAGAAATAATGATCTGAGTCATTGTCCCCAAATCAGCTATCAACCACCCTGACTACTGAGTTCCCCATCCAGGGAGCATTGCCACAGTCTACCTGGTCATCAGGTCCAAACCTGGGGCACTGTTCCTGCCCCTTCCTGTCCACTGGCTCTGACTTTGTTAAGTCAAATACTGGACATATACAAATATATTCAAAAAGATCCCAAAGGTTGAAAGTCTTCCAGAACCACCCTGTAAGCTTTCAGTTACAGCTGACCACATCTTTTTATGTTCCTCCCATTTCTCCCCTCAACCTCACTCTCACTACAGTGCACCACTGTTTGCCATTATCCTCCCCTTGGTCTTTGTGGCCTTCATTAAATTCTGAGTGGTTCAAAGACTGAGACCAGCTCTGAGTTCCAAATGCCCAGGGAAGAGCAGTAGGTGCTCAGGGTGAGTTTCTTACATGGAGTTGGGTCCTATTACCAAAGGGATTCTGGATGAGGGCAGAGACTCTTGTAGGTTTAACATTCTAGACTGTTAGGGGATGGTGTGTGTTAGATGCTGCTCTGCTTTTAGACTTCAGAGTCTGCTTCTAGAATAAGGACTAAACTAGACAACAACTGCACAACAAATGCTTAAAATGTGAGCACAGCTGTGGAGAGATCTGTGCTGGATGCTCCAATTAAATCCTCACAAAATCTGTAAGACAGATATTTTAGACTTTTTCTTTGCCCCCATAAAAGTGAGGAAACTGAGGACCAGAAAGGTGAAGTTACTTGCTCCACGGCACTGACTTTATTCATTGGCAGAGTCTGTGTTCCAATCCTATGACACCTATCATTTAACTGGCTGCTCCAGTTAGTGCTCCTCTGTGTGTGGTCATGTATCCTCACAAGGGCGATACACCCATTTCTGAGCTGTGACAACTGAGGCTTGGATGTAAAGTCCATAGTCCAAAGCACGCATCCAGTAAGCAGCAGAGATGGACAAAGCAGCCTGAAGGCACAGACTGTGTTCTTTAGTGTGTGTCTTGAACTTACACACCTACAAGCACCAGACAGGCAAGATAGGAAGTGACAGGGCTGAATGTAAAGCAGGGCTGAAGGTGGCACCTGAGGCTACCTGAGCAACAATGTCCCATCTGACCAGGTGGAAGCATATGGGTTTGCCAACTCCCCTGTTTAAGGAAAGGCAGAAACCCTACATTACACAGAGAATGATTTGTTTAAAATGGGGATCAGTGGGATGCTTGGCTCCAGGTATGACCTCAGCTTTCTTGGATTGTCAACTAGATTCCTTTTTGCAGGACTACTGTGAGCTAGTTCTCTTAACTCCAGTCTTCCTGTCAAGGATGAAAAGTTTCCACAAAGGCAGATTTTCTCTTTTTTATGGGGGTGGGGAGTTGAACTTACAGCCTCTTCAAGCATGCTACTGCCTTGAGCCACAACTCCACCCCTTTCTGCTTTAATTATTTTTCAGACCTTGATCCTCCTATCTCAGCCTCCCACATTTATGGGATTACAGGCATAAGCCACTGCACCCAGACTCAGATGTTGTCTTTTGCTCAGTAAACATCCAACCATACACTAAAATATCCCCAGCTCCCAGCCTGGCACCTGATCATTTACTGAATAGAGAACTCTTTTTCTTTGTCATGTGGCTTTCTCTGCAGTTCAGTCTCCCAGCTCTCTCTCTGTGCGTGTGCAAAACCTGACTTTATTTCCCTGGCTCTTTCTGATCTCTCTGGCTTCATGTCTCTAGAATTTTCTATGACTTTGTTTTTGTCTCTTAGCTGTCTCTCACTAGAAATAAGGGATTCTATTAAAAAGTCTGTGTCCAAGTTGTCCCCACTCTGTGAGTGACTTTGTCCCTCTGGCTTCCTGCCTCCCTCTCTCAATAACTTCAGTAACTTGACATCCCAGCTCTCTGCAATAAGCAGTCTCAGTGGGGCTCTCTCTCCCCTGCATTTGTGGGTGGGGGGGTTGCTGCCCTCCCCACCCCGTGATTCCCTCCCACCTCAGGGCAGCGGCTCAGGCTCACGCACCTCGCTGCAGGCTGGTTGGGGGCACGCACATCCTTGCACACCAGCAGCACGTAACTGTACTTGAGCACGTGGATGAGCCTGTAGAGTGGGGGTGCGCTGGCCCAGGGGCTGCGCGCCACGTGCGTGGAGCTCTTAACTGAGAAGACCACCAGCCGCTGCTGGCACCACTTGTCGAAGAAGCGGCTGAACTCGGCCCAGGAGAAGAAGGCTCGCTCCAGCAGCTCCTGTTCCTCCTTCCCCACCAAAGTACCAGGTGGGGGCTCCGGTAACTCCATCCTGGGGCCCTGAGTGGAAGGTGGGGGGGGGGGAAGAACGGCTGGATGTCAGACCCATCCCCACCTGGGTATCTCATTTTCAGTTGGCCATATTGGTGCTTGTGCATGTATCCAGATGGGAAAGGGATGGATGAGGTGAGTGGCGTTTCTCCAGATAGTACTCTCCATCCCATCTTGGTTCTTCTCCTGATTCCCAGGTTTCCCCTGGCTCAGTTGGAGCTTAATTCCAACTCTGATCTCCATCTCCCCCAAGATGGCACCTCTAGGTATGGGGGGGGGCTGTTCTTCCAAATCAGTCCCTAAACTCAGCTTAGGGTGGACACCTCCTCAGATATGTTCCAAACTTTCAGCTAAGATCTCCTCCCCCTGGTGGTAATCTCTAGTGCCCCTATTCTTCTGGAACTCTCCCTTGGCTGTAATCCCTATCCAGCTGGGCCCCACATCCAGGCATGAACCCGTTAGCCCCCAGCCATATTCATCATGCACCCTTGGCTTCCTCCTCCCTAGATGTGTCTGGGACATGCAGGTTTTGCCCCTCCCACAGATGTGACTCCTATGGATCACCACATTTATCTGTCTCCCTCTTCCCAAAGATGCACTCATCTCCAAATGTGCTCATGTCCAGTTTTGCATCCTTTGCCTACAGGTGTGTGGCCTACTTGTGGCCAAGTCAACTCAGAAGTGTCATCAATATTCATCTGGGGGAGGGGGCATCTCCTCCTAAGACGCATCTTCTACCAGGTCGAGTTGTGGCCCTATCCTTACAGCCATAGCCACCATCCTTAATGTGTGTCGTCGTTCTAGACATGGCCCCTCTGTATCAGATGGGCTTCTTCACCCTAGATGCTCCCCCAACGTCCAGCTGCGCTTTCCCCTCCCTGGTGCAGCCCCTTCCAGCCGGCTCCCGCCTCCCCAAACCCTCCCAGTCCCTCTCACCGCGGCCCCTCCCAGTCCCGCAGTCCCACCCAGCTGTGTCTCTCTGCTCCCCCAGATGTGCACCCTTCCCCCTCCCCAACTCACCTACCCAACCCGGAGCAGCGTCCACCTCCCACAATGCCCCGCGCCCAAGCCCGGTCCGGCCCTTGTTCCCGGGATGCCCCGCGCTAGCCTCACGCCTCTCTTCCCGCCGTGCCTTGCGCGGCGGCTTTTCCCCTCCCCCGCCCCCAACCCTTCCTTATTTCCCACTAGTCACTCCTGGGACCTGCATTCTCATCGGCTCATTCAGAGCAATGGCAAGCTCGGAGCAGTTTCCCAGCATGCTGTACGAGCGGGCTCAACTCACTTCGTTTCCTTTCCTAACCGGAAAGCAGACTACAACTCCCAGCGTCCTGCGAGAGGCGGTGGTAGCGCGAAAGGTGCCCGGGCCCCTCCCCCTAGTGACCCCGCCCCCGCCCGCCGAAGTCTGCGCGCGAATTCCGTGGCGCGAATTTGGGTACGCGGAGCCGAGCGAGTGAGCCGTGCCGGGTAGTGTCTCGCGGGGTGGTGAGAGGCAAGTGGGGCTGGGATTGGGGCTGGAGGTAGGGCCGGCGAGCGTGCCGAGAGCTCCGGGCCCATGGCTTTGTCGGGTCGGGGCAGCGGCAAGGGAGCGGTGTGAGGACGCCGAGGGCGCCGTAGAGAAGGAAGGGTGCAGGCAGCGGGCCGCAGGAGGAAGAGGGTAGACAAGGGCCGCAGCCAGCTGGCCGCGACTGGGTCAAAAGAGAGGCTTGGAGGAGCCAGGCCCCTGGCAGGGGGAGGGGCCAGGGGAGGGGGGGCGGGGCAGGGGCTGAGGTGGGCGGGTCTTATAGGAATTGGCAGAGCCTGGGGAGGCGGGGCTCCCTGGAAGGCCTGGAGCTTGGGGCCAGGTCAGTTTGGGCGGTGCGCTAATCGGTGACGTCAGCTGCAAAGGGTGGTTTCATCTGAATGGAGGTGGGGCTAGAGGGAGTCAGTGGTCTGGTCCAGGCAAAGGCTTCATGAAGGGCAGGGACCCTTCTGGGTTGGAAGAAGAGTGGCATTGTGTATGTCCGAGTTCTACCCAGAGAGCAAGAAAGGGACGAAGGCCTGGGAACAGGTGGGGCCATAGAAGAGGTTTCAGGAGGTGGAGACCAGGAGTGCTTAGGGGACGGTCAGGATTTGTTGTTGCCCACTGTAGAGGCCAAGGAGGCAGAGGAGCCTGGGAAGGGAAGAGAGAAGGAAGCTTGAAGAGTCAGGGGTGAGGTAGTTGGGAAGGGCAATTTAGGGAGGGGACCTGGCCTCTGAAAGCTGCCAGGAAAACAGTGGAAAATAGGATGGAAGACCTCCCTGCTTGGACTGTATCCCCGTTTCTGCTCACTCGAATTCCCAACTTCGGCTTATTAAGTCCTTTCAGAAGAGACATAAGGGAAGTTGGGAAGGTCAAGTCTAAGTAAGACCTCCCTTTCATTTTTGTCTTAGGACCCCCTGGGAGCTTGTTGGGCCTGCAACTTTCCCCCTCCATCCCCAGAGTACTGGTTCAGTCTGTCTGGGAGTGGACTAGGGGTGTTTTAAACATGAGTCCTAGGTGGTTCTCAGAACTGGGGTCCTCCTTGTTGACTCTTGTGTTTTGAAGGGTGTTGAGCTGTTTAAAGTCTCACAAAACAAGAAGAGCATATTCAGGGAAAAGTATAAAATGTTTGACCAGAGTAGGATGTGACTATGGGAGCAAACAGGTGTGGAAATATGAGCCTCTATTAATTAGAAGAAATTCAGACTTGAACCTTCTGGTCTGTCATCCAGAAACAGTTAATCCAAGACCCCTTTCTATCTCTCCTTATCATCATAGTCTCCAGGTTTTGAAAGATCCTGCTTTTGTGAACTCTGAAATTTTAAGCATTGATGTTTTTGCTACCCCAATCTTTAGGGAATCAAAAGTGTTCAGTTCCAGGCACCATTTTAGGTTCCATGGATATATCACTGAGCAAAAAAGGGAAAATCCATACCTTCATGGAACTCACATTTCAGCCTTGCATGGCTCAATGCAGTAGTCACATATAGGAATTCAAATCTGAACTAATTAGACCCAAAAAAATTAAATTAAAACAAACTCTCAGCCCTTAGACTCACTAGCTGTATTTCAAGTGCTGCAAAGCCACATATGGCTAGACTTACCACGTTGGACAGCAATGTACAGACTGTTTCTGTCACTGCAGAAAGTTATGTTAGATGGTGGTGTTCTAGAGAGTGGGGTAATTTTTAATTTCTAATATCAGGTTTAATTTCTAATATCTGTGAAGAAAGTGAGGGAATAGAGTGATAAAGGAAGGGCTGTCTTCCTTGCTCTGGTGGTCACAAATGCTTCATAGAAGAGGTGACAAATGACAAAGCTGCTTAAAGTTAGGACGTGAATGTGTGGCACAAGCAGTAGAGGTACTCTTACCTGCTTTGCAGGTGTAAAGCTGTGAGTTCAAGTCCCAGTGCCACCAAAAGAAAAAGAAATAAAAAGCTTAAAGTTAGGATGTGAATATGCAGACTGCCCAGTCTCAGAGTAGGATCTATAAGGTTAAGTTTGGGGAGCAACTGGAGGACCTGCAATTGCAGAAAAGAAATTGAGAAGATAAAGTTGGGGAGTTGGGGAGAAGAGGGGGAATCAGGTTACCTACACACTGCCTTGTGAGGACTTGGGAGCTTATTGTAAGCATGATAGGATGATGTTGAAAGAAAGCTGAGTAAGCAGAGTTTTTTAAAAATATTGCATACAGGAATGGGGGATGTGGCCCAGAAATAGAGTGCTTGCTTAGTATGCACAAGGCCCTACGTTATATTCCCAGCACAATTGTTTTTTCTTTTTAACATACAGCAGAATGTAGTGTTTTGCTATGAATTTCCTACTGTGAATTTTAAATAAGTACAGTCTTGTGACTGCCACATCAAAATCCAGTTCCACTGTCCCTATAAATTGTCTTGTATTGCTTCTTTGCATCCCACCCTTCCCTCTGGCAACCACTGCTGTGTCTCTGTCCTCAAAATGTATCAGAGATTAATTGCTTTTTATTGCTCAGCAATATAAACAGACTAAAGTGCATCTTAGTGTGGAATACCACTGCACACAAGGGAACGCCTTGTGTGATATATGTACCCTTCATCTATACCATTGAAACTGGTTTGGTTTCCAGTGTTGGAGGAAATGAACAGAGCTTTTGTAAACATTCCCATGGGGAAGAACACATAGGCACAGTTGGAGTTGTGGAGGTGGGAAGCTTGTAGTCTTTCTTTCCAGCTGAGAGTGATGGTGGAGGAGACATTGGAGGCTGGAGAAGCAGATGTGAAATCCAGTCTAGGCCTGCAAAAGAGTTAATTGGACTGGGGAAGTACAATGACCTGTTGCACAATCAGCAGTTCTGCAGGTGCAGGCATGGAGGAGGTAGAGAGGTGGGTTTAATTAGCATTGGAGTTTTGTCAGGTAAATGGCAAAGCCAGGGAGGCAGAGGCAAGATGCTCAGGGTTGATGTAAACAGGGAGCCTTAACCACCAGGCCTGTGGGCCCAGAAAGGATCCAGGAACCTCTGAGGCGGAGTTCCTCTAGAAAGTTGGAGAGGGGGCTGTAGCTCCAGAATGGGGTGTCTGAAATCAAGATACAAATGTGAGCGCCATCAGCATAGAAATGGTATTTAAGGCCATGGCCTTGATTTGCCTGAGCCATGAGCTTTGAAGCAAGACTGGATCATAGTGGAGTCTTCATTGATTTATTTGTTCTTTGCTGCTTTCATTTATTCCGCTCTCCCAGTGCCTGTCCATTTTTGGAGCACTGCATTCTTTCATCTTCACTGAACTTGGATGTCTACTAGAGTGGGTTCTGTGAGCTCTTTTTTCAGTTTTCTTTCTTTCTTTTATTTATTTATTTTTGTTGTTCTTTTGAGACAGGGTTTCACTACATAGCCCAAGCTGGCCTGGAACTCATGATCCTCATGCCTTCTCATATAGCACCAAGCACAGCTTTCTGTGAGCTTTTTCAAGAGCAGGCACTGGGTGCTTTTTCTGTTTGTCCCCCAAGGGCCCCCCTCACAACAGAGGTCTGCAAGTCTCTTCTCTGCAGGAGAGAATTCTGTGTGAAGCTGTTTTGTGTGTAATACTAGTGTCAGCCCTCTGTGGGCTCCCTGACTGTCTGGGAGGAAAAGTTACTGGCTTTTAGAAAGCATTCTTGTACATGATGGAGTAGAATGTTTTAATCTGAGGGACTTGCTGATAACAGTACTTCAGTTATCACTCACTAAATTGCTTACTGGTTTTCCTGAATTTTGAGCTTTGAGCTATATCCTCAAATAGTATTCCTAATAATGTCCTCAAATAATTCCTAATTTAAGTTACTCTTTCTTCTTTGACTCATATAAATTTCCAGACATACAGAAAAGTAGATCAACTAAGGTAATGATAATATACTTTGATTTTTACAATTTGACTGCTTGTTTTTCTTTTTCTGTTTTTGGTGCTGGAAATAGAACCCAGGGCCCTGTGCATGCTATTCAAGCCCTCTACCCCTGAGCTGCACCTCCAGCCCTTGGTGTTTTGAGATAAGGTCTTGCTAGTTATGTAGCCCAGGCTGGCCTTGAACTCAGAAACTACCTGCCTCAGCCTCCCAAGTGCTGAGATTACATGCATGCACCATCACGCCCAGCTTTACCTGCTTTTTCTTTTCAAATACATTAAATTTTTATTATGGAACATTTCAAACCTATATAAAGGTAGAGAGTAGTCATATGAACCCCAATGTGTTCACTATCCATCCTAGTAATTATCAAAAATGTGCCCATGTTTGTTTCAGCTGTACTTAATGTTCCTTCCCTCTTAAACAGAACAACAAAACTGGAATATTTCTGAAAGCAGACTTGAGACATTTGCTAAAATAACTAGTTGACAGGCGTCATGACGTTTTGCCCCTTTTTATTTCGATATGCTTCTATAAGCAGTGAAGGTACTTCTTACATAGCCACAGTATCATTTCCACACCTATCAGAATTAGTAGTCACATAAGATTATTTGAGGTGGTTTGTGGAGATGCCATTAAATAACCATCAGAAAGGTTATCCCTCAATCTTCCCTTTCTGTTGGGCTTGTTTCTTTTAAAGAAAAAGCTTCAGTTTGTGCCACACCCCTCCAGCTCTTGGCTAATTACAGCTTGGAACAAATGCAGAGCAGCAGGCCTGAGTCCTGAGCCTTCAGCTGCCGACACGAACTAGAACTCAGCAATCTAGTTCTGTTCCTTGTGTTTCTTTTCACTGCTCTGTTGTTTGTGCTGAGTGATGCTTCTGCCTGGGGAGTGAAAGAAATGTCTTTGTTTAGGACAGGTTACTGAGTCTGGAGCACATTACCTGGATTGAATCTCTCTCTATTACATGAGCTCTGTGACTCAAGGCACAGGTTTATCCTTCTTTTTTTGAGTCAGGGTCTCTCTGTATAACCTAGGCCAGCCTTGGACTTGTGACCTTCCTGCCTCAGCCTCCTGAATGCTGGGCTTACAGGCATGCCCCTCCACACTAGCATTTTGTATGTGTGTTTTCTTGAGACAAGGTCTCACTATGTAGTCCAGGCTGACCTTGAACTCAAAATCCAACAGCCTCTGCATCCTAAATGCTGGGATTACAGGTGTGTGGTACTTTTCTGGGTACATTTGTTTACCCTTTCTGTGCCTCAGTTTCCTTGTCCGTGAAATACTTTTTGAAAAAAAAAATACTAAATTTTTATTGAGTATTTAACAAATATAAATGTAGAAATAGAAAATTAGAAAGTAGTCTATTGAACCCCTATGTACCCATAAATCATCCTAAGGCAGACTGCAGGCATTTACTGAAATAAGCAAAATAAAAACTAACGATGCCCCATTAAGTTGTAGGGGGCACAGATGACATCATTATTCTGACTGATGTTATCTCCACAACTCTAAGATTCAGAGATTCCCTCCATCCTAATACATCCCAGTGCAGAGAGAGAAAGACCCATACTTCTTCATCCTCAGGATGGTTGGTTGTTAAGGACATGGATTCTGGAGCCAGACACCTGGTTTCAAGTTCTGACTCTGTAGTCCATGAAGCTGTGTGACTTTAAAAAAATGAACCAACCTCCATTGCCTTATTTGTAAAATACCTATAATAAACTACAATAAAATTTTAAGCAGTTGAGATAGTAGTACTTAGTAAACACCTCATTTAATAAAGAATTGAAGCTTTTACAGGAAAAGTGAGTGAAAAAGTTCAGGTCATGTGCAGTAATGACAGTAGTTGCAAAGGTGGTGTAAAGAATGTTTGATGCTTGGGAAATCATTTTTCGAGGATATGGGGATAAGTCAGGCACAGCCCTGTTTCTCCAGAGCTCCACATACAGTTGAAAGAATAGACTGAACATTATCACAAGGACACAGAGTCACTGTGAGATGGTGCGAAAGAAGTACCAATTAGCTACACTAAAGGTCAGAAAAGTGAGTATCTCTTATGGCACGTGTCCAGGGAGACTTCAGATGTCATAGCACTCAAGAGTCACACAGGGGCAGGTACAAGGCAAGGCAGTCCCAGAGGGAAGGGCCAAGAGGAAGTTGGGGGGATACAGTAAGAAAGTTACTTAGGACTCAAATTTGCTAGTTTTTAAAAATTGAACAGGTATTCCACTTACATGGTTCACAAAATCAGGCTATCCCTCTATCCTAAGAAAATCTGGTGTGAGCCAGCATAGTGGCACAAGTTTGTAATCCCAGCTACTGTGCAAGTGGAGGAAAGAGGATCATGAATTTGAGGCCAGCCTGGGCAAAGTTAGGGACACTGAGAAACAAACTAAAAGCAAAAGGGCTTGGGGCATGGCACAAGTGTCACCAAAAAGAATATTGAGGTATATCCTATTCTTACCTGGTCTGCCCCTGCACACTTTTGTGGGTTTCTTGGTTTGTGTTTGGAAATACAGTCATAACCACAGTCAAATTTAGAATATTTTTATCACCTCTCAAAAGAACCCTGAACGCTTTAGCCATCGTTCATTCAGTTTTAACACTGCACAGTATTCTGCCATGTGGATGTACAAGTGTGTAGAGAACCAGTTGCTTGTGGATGGATGTTCCACCAGTTTGTAAGCTTCTCATTATAATCTCCATTTCTCAGGAGCTAAGGTCCTACTCTTTCTCTGTGAATTCTTCTGGTAGAAGCTTGGCTTACTTCCTGCTCCCAAATGGCCCTGAGGAACCCTGCTGAGAAATTCATGTGTCTCCTGACTCCAAGATTGAGTCTGAACTCCTGGTGCCAACACTGTGCTTGGCTGAGGCTTCCAGAGACAAAGGCAGACTTGGAGATATGTGGACCCTGCCTCAGTCTCCCAAGAGGTCCTGCAATGACTTCTTTGCTTCCACTATTTACAATGGAAGGAAGTGCTCAGTTCCACTTAGAAGTTTCCAAAATTAAGGTTATAGTTTCTTTCCCATAAAATTCCATATTCCCCTTGAATTCTACTCTTGGGCTCTTGCAGTGTTATGGGAATGTTCTGTGCACCCCAGATGAAGAACTCATCTTTAGGATTACCCTGCAGAATATAGTGATATTGATTTCATTAGGTAATAGGCTAGTATTTTAAAAATACTATTTTTAAATTATCTAATTTAAAATATTTAAAGTTACAATATTTTTAAATATTATTAAGCAATAGTTTTTAAATTTAATGTTAAGTAGTATACAAGAATACATCATAAAAAAGTGACTGTCCCTCCCAAGATGACACCGTTGCCAATTGTTTTCTCCCAACAGAGACACTATGGGCATAAACAAGCGTTTACATTTGTAATGCCACAGTGCCTGGCCATGGTGTTCTGTCCTATATTTTAACTAACATACCTTAGAAGTTGCTCAATAGCTGATTTTTTTGAACCGGTCAATAAAATTTTGTGAACTACTATGTTTCATGGTGATGTTAGGACTTTTGTCATCACCTGAAAACAATTTTTCACTAATGTTAGAACTTAACAGAAAAAAAAAAAAAGAACTGACAAAAACCTTTAGGTCCTCAGCGAATTCTTCATAGTGGATAAAAAAGGATTCCATGTGGTAAAGGTGGTGTCTGCCATTTTTCTCAGATTTGGGACTTTTCTGTTTTACCAGTGAGTCTCACTACCAAATCCAGTTTAGTTTATAAAATCAGCATTTTCTTCCTGAAGGGGAAGACATGGTTGTGATTGTATTTCTTCTTCTATTTTTTTCCTTGGAAAAGAGGTTTCTTGGTGTGTTTTGGTCTCTGTATAATTAGTATCCTCAACGAGTCTTCAACTTTCTGTTTCAGGAACAGCTGACAGGAGAAAGGAAAAACTAAAAAGAACACAGGAGAAAGGGAGAGTTCCAGCGCCATCATGCAGCGGAGTATCATGTAAGCACCCTGCCACACCCCAGGCACTCTCCACCCCTGTTCTTCTCTTAGAGCTCAGCTAAACTTAAAGTCAGGATTTCCAGGAGTTGAATAGTGTGGAAAATGGGGACTGGAATATGGGAGGCAGGTAGTGTATTACCCAAAGTTCTTTTTAGTTTCAGGGCATACAGACCCCATTACTGTAGTATCAGCAGCACTTCCCCACCACCACCCCTGTCCCTTTTCCCCCCACCAAAATCTGTCTGGAGATCTTTATAGGGGTGTGGGGATCTGCTATTGCCATCTAGTGGACAAAAGTGAGTTATGCACTAAGCACCCTTCGTTTCCAGGATAGCCCCCATACCCACAAGAAAGTGGTCCAGCTTCAACATCATTTTTGCCTGCAGGCTTGCTTTAGGAAAAAAAAGAAAGTGAATCACTTGGCTTCCATAGTTGTAACCTACAGTCAATGGCCTTAGGCTTAGTTGGTCTAATTGCTAAAACTGTGGTACTGGGAATCTGTCTCTTTCTGTTTCAGCTCAGCTGTCTTTGGTGTTGTCAGTCTCAGGCTGGGTCTCTTAAATTAACAATCCCAAAGGAGAGGGAGTCTCTTCCCCTTCTGTCCCAACAACATCTCGAGTCCACTTTCAGTTTGAATCACATCTTGTCACTGAGCCAGCCACTGTGGTCACAGACGTGCAGTGCACTGATTGGCCAGGCCCAGGTCATGTGTCCACGACTGTTCACACGTGAAAGGGCAGGCCACTCTTGTCATATGTGCTAAGAGAATTCTGGGGGAAGAGGCATCCCAAAAGGAAAATGGCAGCCCACTAGCAGGAGAAGGGAATGGATGCTAGACACCCTAGACCTCAACGTCTACCACGGGACCCTGGGAGACCATGGGAAGCCCAGAGCCTGGCTGGCTTTATTTTCTGGATGAGAAATCTGTGGTTCATCTGTCCTGGGATAGTAGTACCTCAATTGCTCTCTGTTCTCTGCCTTGCTTTGCTTTCTTTTCTTTTTATTAGCAAATTTTTATTAGCATATAGCACAGTATGGCGAGTCTCATTGTGACATTTCCATACATGCACATAATACACTTTGGTTATATTCACTCCCTCAATTTTTTTATTCTTTCCACCCCTTAATCTTTCTTGTAATGTTTTTTTAAATGGGTTTTATTTTGGCCTTTTCATCCATTCATACAATGTATGTTGATCATATTCTTCCCCTCGCCCTCTTTTTTCCCCATCCATGTCCCACTGGTTCTCCCACAAGTAGTCCCCCATTCATGTTAATATACCTTTTTTTTCCTTTAGATCTAGCTTCTACATATGAGAGAAGATGTGCAATATTTGTCTTTCTTAGTCCGACCTGTTTCATTTAACATGATGTTCAATAGTTCCATCTATTTTCCTGCAAATGACATGATTTCATTCTTTATGGCTGAATAATTCATTGTGCATATGTACTACTTTTTCTTTTTCCATTCATTTGTTGATGGCCATCTAGGCTTAATCTGTAACTTAGCTGTTGTGAATAGTGCTGCAATAAACATTAATGTGGAGGCACCTCTCTCTTTTTCAGTGACGAAAAAGAGAGGAGAGATCTGTCTGTGTTGGTATAGGAAGGGGTGTCAGAAATTGGGGGTGCAGACAATGGGAGTATCGGTGCTGTTGTCATTTCCCTCCTCACCCCCTTGTGATCCTCCAGGTCATTTTTCCAACCTACAAAGGACAGTAAAGTGAAGAAGGTTGAGAAGGAGATCACCAACAATGGCAAAGAGATGGAACCCCCTCCAAAGTACGTAAGGGGCTGGGACATGGGACGTTCATTCAGCAGTCAGGATTCTTTGGGCTGCAAGTGTTACAACTTAGGTCAAAATGAGTCAGGCATTAAAAAAGAAAGTTTTTATTCAAGTAGCTGAAAGTCAAAATGCAGGTCTGGCTTTGGGTGCAGCTGGATCCAGGGCCTCAGTTGTTTGTCTTCAAGCTCTATTTGCACAGATCTTGGCTTCATTCTAGACCACACTTTCTCCACATGACAGAGAAGCTGGCCACTGGTCATGTCTTGCCATCTCACACTGTCAGGGAAGACCCTGCATGGTTTTGTTTGAGTCACCTGTGGGCCTCTCCACTTGCCAGGGCACATTTAGTTCCCATCTGTAAATTGGGACATTAGTCAGGTTTCACTTCCTGTGCCTCAGTTTCCTCCTGTGTAAAAAGGACCCTGCTTGCCAGGACTAGAAGGTAGAACACCTACCTAGTAAGCACAGAGCTGCAAGTTCAAACCCCAGGACTACACACACACACACACACACACACACACACACACACACACACACACGGCTGTCTAATCTACATCTTGCTCTCTGTGTGGATTAATGTGTGAACGGAGGTACAATTTGTAGAAAAATGCTTGATTCATGAGGTACTCATGAACTAGTAGTGATTGTTTTCCAACACTTGGTTTTCATATCTGTCCTTCCACTGTATATGTTGCTCTGTGCCTGTGCCTGTGAGGTTGTGTTTTCTGTGGTTTAATTTAAAAAATAGAGCCTACTGCGCATATTGTTCATCAGCTTGGTTTTTTGTTTTGTTTGTTTTTGCGGTACTGGGGATTGAACCCAGGGCCTAGAGAATGCTAGGTGAGCACCCTGTCATCTGAGCTATGCCCCAGCTCTCACCTTGTCCTTTCAGTTAGCATTATGACTTAGACCTTTTTTTCCAGTCATGAACAAAGGTTCTTTGGCCTTCTGCCTTTGTTCATTTTGTTGATCTACTGTAGCACTTGCAGAGGTTGTTTCCATTGGTGGGTCTAACAGTTCTTTGCCATAGTGAGTAGACTACGTCTGTGTCCTTAGACAAGTGTGCACATATTTTTGTGCGTCTAACATAGATACTCATCTCAGGAATTATAGATGGTAACAGTAAAACATCAACTCAGAGACATAAAGTAAAAACTTGGCGTTCTTCCAATATTCTGTTCCCAGAGGAAGTATTTTCACTCCTTTGAGGTGTGTGTACATAAAACAGTTGTTAACACATAGATGTCAATGAATACTTGTTAAATGAGTGTTTATTTTAAATATGAAAGCAGAACTTTTACATGTCCAAACTGCTTATTTATGTTGGTGAACATTTTTTTTAACATTGGGATCATGCATATTCATTTATTCGGAAAATATCTAGCAAATATGTTTTATATGGAAGCACTGTTTCTAGACCCTCTGGGTTTAGTGCTGAACAAATGGACAGCCATCCTCTCTTGGTTCCTTTTTGGTAACAGCGGTCATAGAATGAGTGTCCGTTAGTGGTCAGTGGGGAGTACTGGGTGGATGCGTTGGTCTTGTGCTGAAGCCTGCAGGCAGCAATGGCACTCTCAGCATCTGAGTGTCCTCCATCAGCACGTGTGTCACACTGCACTGTCACAGACTGTCCCTGTCCTCCACAGACGAGGTGGAGCTGGGCTGCATTAGCTGTACCCAAAGTCATGGTGACTTGGTTAAAGTAAAAGTACTTTTCTTAAAGAAGACTGAATTATTGAAGGCATTTAGGGCAGGTAGGTAGCTCTGTACTACTAGGCTGTTCAAGGACAACTTAGGGTACTGTCCTCACTTGTGTAGTCAAAGCAAATAATCAGGTCAGTCCAGGTTTGGACAGGATGGAGGATCAGCAAGCAGGAACATGTATCCATAGTGCCACCCTCATCCTGACGGTCAGATCTCTCAAGTGGCTGTACCTTGCTGTAGGGAAGGCTGGCTGGGGAGTGCAGTTCCTGGTTGGGGGACCATGTGCCTCACTGATATGACTAAAAGAAAGAAGGTCTCACACAGGACGTGGTGATGCATGCCTATCATCCCAGCACTGGGGCGGGCGGGGTGGCTGAGGCAGAAGAATGGAGAGTGCAGGGCCAGTCTGGGATATATAGTATGACCCTGTCTCAAAAAAAAAAAAAAAATAGAGCGTCTCTAAATGGCTGCTGGTGTCTAGCCCCCGCCCTGAATAGGGACTCCATCTGCTCCTCAGCATGGACCCTCAGGAGGTCCCCCAGACTTTGGGTGGAGGGAGATGAATGATTAAAAGCATATGCCAATGAGGCATAGAAAACTGGAAAGAAAAGGAAGGGAGTGAAGCCAAGGTTCACTTTCTGCCCAGCATAATACTCAGATTTCCTCGCCTTCCAGGGTGGCACTGAAGGAGCGGAATGGAGTGGTGCCTGAGAGTGACTCTCCAGTGAAGAGGCCAGGGAGGAAGGCAGTGCGGGTCCTGAGCAGTGAAGGAGAGGAGGAAGATGAAGCCCTCAGTGACCCCAAAGGCCAGGTAGGTCCCTAGCAGCCTGCCCGTTTTTATCAGAAGAAACCTCTTATCTTCCTGCCTGCTCTGGAGCAGGTGACTTGGACCACAGGGCCTTACCTCTGCCTCTGCCCAGGAACAAGGGGCTCATTGCTCCCCTTGACTTCATTGTACCTGGGTTACTTCACGTGAAATGCACACTCATGGTAATGTCCACCTCACAGGGTGGTATAGAGATGAAATGAGTCTATTCACTGCAGATCTGAGAATGTTGCGTGATAGCATGTCTCTTGTTGTCAGAGGCCTATCACCTCCTGCACATCCATGGGGTCACTTCCTGGGCACATGCTGGGCAAGTGCTCTAGTTGCCGTTGGCCATGTTATGTCACATACAGGTGTCTTTAGGAGCTTGGACTTTGAGGATGGTAGAGAACCATGCTGAGATTCTGAGCAGAAGAGAGACAGAGGTAACTTGAGGCTTGTAACCACCAGGGTCCAAACAGGAGACAGAAACCACACCAGTGACTTAGTAGGCATTCAACATAAACAACTGCCACTTAGGTATGCAGTTGTTAACTAGGTCACTGAGGGGTAAAAAACTCCCAAGTCATCATGGAGGTAGCAACTGCTGGATGCATTTACACCCCTAGGACCAGTAACTGAAATCTAGACCTTTGTGACAGGGATGGTGGGTATAGGAGCTGGAGGAGGACCCTGAGGGCCTGGGACTCAGACCTTTCAGGAAGCGGTACTGAACAGGAGGTGCTGGTGTCTGATGGGACACCATGAAGCAAGTCCTGCAGATGTGAGAAAAACAGTCAGTGGAACCCAGTGGCCTTCCTGGAAAGCCTGTTGCCTCCACTGTTCATCCCCTCAGTGCCCAGGTTGGGTACTACTGACACAGAGCTGGCTGCTAGCACAAGAATAGGGCTTGTGAGTCCTAGTCCTGACATTGCAAGGAAGAGTGGAGAGTGCTAGGCTTAAGTTTCGTAATGGGTATAGGGACCTGTGAGACAAACCAGGAGTTGAGACCAACACAGAAGTGACGCAGCTTTGGCAAGATAGACACTTCTTTTTCTCTCTAATGAGTACAAGATGCCTAGGATCAGTGTGGCAGTTTCACAGAGCCAGACACCTGGGCTGCCTGCTGCTTTATTGTTGCTTGCTATCCCTGGATTCCCTTGTTGCAATGAAACGTCAACATTCTGTGATGGAGAAGAAGGACGAACTGCACTTTTAGTGGATGAATTGGAGCCAAGGGAAGTGTGCATCATTTCCCCTTAGGTCCCATTGCTTAGAACTGGTCTTGACCATGCTAGCTGCTAGGGTGGCTGGGAAATGTAGTCTTTTGTAGGTCTCTCTGTCTCTCTCTCTCTCTCTCTCTCTCTCTCTCTGTGTATATATATATACACACACACACACACACACATATATATATATATATACACGTATGCATGTTTGTAGCTTAAAATCAAAGATGGTATTACTTTAGATAACAGAATTGTTACTTAAGTTCATGACCAGGGAATCTAGGACCATATAACTATACTAGAGAATGGAATGATCATACCAGGGAGAGATAACAGCCTGGACTGGGAATGGGACCTTGGGGCCAGAAAGGATAAGCACAGAGAGAAGCTCAGAATCCCTTTTCTCAGGTGTTTAGGAAGCTAAGATCACCAGGTGGTCTCTCCATCCTCCACTCACTATGGAACTGCACTTTCTTCCCCTTCCAGAAGCCTATGTCAGACTCCCCACAGGCCTCTCCTGCTAGCCCTGCCACATGTCCAGAGAACAGCCCTTTTCTCTCCAACATCCCCATGGACATTTCCCAATCAGGAATCCCGAAGCGTCGCACAGGTAAGAACATTTGGGCCCTTTAAGCTGCTGTCTTTCTCCCCACTTGGGTTTCTGCACCAGGCATCCTTAAGATTGCCCTGTTCTTAGCATTTTGGTCATTAGAACAGCTTCACCATACATCAGCTTTGTGACCTTGGGCAAATGGTTTGCCTTCTCAGAGCGCTGGTTACTTTATCTGTTGAACACCATTGACCACACAGAAGTATAGGAAGGATTAAAAGTTAGTACATGAAAAGAGCTTGGACCTGGCATGGCCCACAGTCAGACCCCAGTAGATGGTCATTGTGTTTGTTGTGTGGAGGGCGAGAACACAAGAGTGGGTTCTGGAGACTTCTAGAAGAGAGGTTAACCAAGCAGAGCCCTAAAGGGCAAAGAAAAGTCATCCAGGGAAGGAGGAGGGAAGAGAGTTGCAAGTGGGAGGAGGGTGAGTTGGGAAGGCCATTGGGGCCACTTAGGGCTAAGCATGCTGGTATACAGAGTACAGAATTGGGGACTCTGAGCAGAGACTGGAGATGATACTGGAAAACCAGCCTGAGGATGGTGCCTTGATCCCTTGGGGGCAGTGAGAGCCCCACATGACCCGGAGAGCCGCTGGCCAGCACTGTACCATATGCCCTGCTTAGCATGTGAAATGTGCCTACTGAGACTGAGAGACCAAAATGTTAATATTACATCATTTTACTTAGGTTTACATTTGAACTTAACATAAAATCTGTTATCTGAAATGCTTCAAACCCAGAAACTTTGGACTGTCACATTAGTTCACCTGATAAAGTCTGCACAGGTATTCCAAAACTGAAAATCCCTGAAGCCTGAGCCACCACTAGTCCTGAGCATCTTGGGTAAGGGGTGCTGAGCTTCATCTGGAGTTAGTCATGAGCACTTTCCAGTATGTTGGGAACAACTTGGATATGTGTATCTACCTTTCAACTGTGAATTTTATGAAACCCAAATACAGATCAAGTATTTCTGATGAAAATTCTCTGCAGATTGACATATAGAGTCAATGGATCAGTGCATTGCATTTTAAAGACTTAGCATTAAAAAAAAAAAAATGTTATTTAACAGGTGTGGTGGTTCATGTTTGTAATCCCAGCAGTTTATTTCTCAGAAGGCAGAGGTAGGAGGATTGCTACTTTGAAGCGAGCCTGGACGATATAGTGAAATCCTGTCTTTAGGAGAAAAAAAAATGTTGATTATTTAATATTGAAATGATATGAAAGGATGACATTTTAGATGTATTGAGTTTAGCAAAGTATATGATTAAAACTGGGTTCACTTTTGCGGGGGGGGTGGGATGCTTTAAATGTGGCTACCATAGAGTTTAAGGTCATATATGCAGCTCTCTGAACACTTCTACATGGCCATTGCTGGTGACGAGGGGCGCTTGGGAGCTCAAAAGTCAGTTAGCCCAGAGGAGGGGATGGCTGAGCTGAGTCTTGGAATATAGGGCAGGGTTGGCCATGGTGAGAAAAGGCAGGTGGAGTGTCCAGACCAGAGCAGCATGTGCAAAGGCCTGGAGGCAGAACACCATAGCGTGTCTGGAATCACTCAGGCACATGGTAGAGAATACATTGTGGTTTGTGGGGCAGAGAGGTTGAGAAAACAACCTCTCTTGTTTCCTCACTAGGCTGAGGATGCTGGGGAACCAGGGAAGGCTTTTGAGCTTGCAGAGGCAGGGCCAGACCTATATGAGAGGTGGTTATAATGAAGTAACAGAGTGGGGATGCTGGGAGCTCAGGCCAGACACTGGTTGGCCAGTGGAGACACTGGTTGGAGGATGGAGAATTCCTTTCAGAGGAAGTGACACTGAACATTGCCCTCCAGGGCCGCTAGACAGCATGTGCAAAGGCCCAGGGGTATGGCATGGCTTGGTGTACACTGCCAATTTGTCTGTAAAATGAAGTGGAGCATGTGGTGTGGGAAGAGTGAGGTCAGGGTGGTTAAAATGTAGAATATGGAGCCATTGGACATGTTTTGAGCAGGAGACCCTGGGGTCTGGAAGACCAGGGAGGAGGAACTGCAGTGATCTAGGTGAGAGCTGACCTTGAACCACTGTTGTGCATTTCAAGGTGGGCATCTGTATGTGCTGCATCTGGCTTGAGTTCTTTAGAGTGAACTCTGAACCCCAGAAACCAGGATGGAGAGGTGCACTGTTTATTTAGGAGGAGTAGGGTCCACAGGTGGGCATTCAGGAAGGCAGGCAGCCACATAGGATGAGTGGCTAGGACAGCTACTGCACCGGGCAGCTGGAGATTCACTTGTGGGGCACCCTGAGCAGTGGTGTAAAGGTGTGCCTCAGAGTTGTCCCCCTCAGGTACGAGCTAGGGTGCACATGTCAGCTCCCATGTCACTGGGATGGGCTGCCCCCATTGCATATGGGCTCCTTCCTGTTCTAGAACAGCCATCTGAGATCCCAGAGAGGAAAGGGGCTCAGGGAGCACCTGCTGGTGTCAGGTACTGTGGGAGGACATTCTGTCATTTTCTACTTGGGATTGATGTCATTCTTCAGATACAGATGAGTGCAGCACAGGGCAAGTAACCTGCTCAAGGTCACATAGCCAAAAGCAATGGGACTTGAAGGATAAGGTCTGCACCAGGGCAGTGGCTGTGAGCAAGTGCAGAAGGAGACAGGGTCCAGCACCTTCTCAGGGGCCCTTCAGTGGGTCTGACCCCACTGGGGCAGGAGCAGACAGGCCCGTGACATCAGCCACACTGAGCCCTTTGCCTTCCTAGCTCGGAAGCAGGTCCCCAAAGGGACAATTCAGGACCACCTGGAAGAGGAGAGTGAGGACAAGGACAGAAAAGCCAAGAAGAGGAAGCAGGAGGAAGGTGAGGCCCAAGGAGGAATGACATGTGATACATGCACGTGTGCCCATGTCTGCATGCACACGGGGACAGGTACAGGATGTTTGCACCCCACTGAATTGACATTGAACAATAGGAACGTCTGCCATGAAATCTTTTTGGAGTACATTTGTTTCTCTGTCTTCATTCATTATTAATCGCCTGTAGTTTTCTATTTTTAATCTTGTTTTTATACTTATTTTATGGAAAACATTTTTTTACATGATTTCTTTTTCCTTATAAATCTCCCCAGAAAACAGAACTTCCTAAACATTCTTGATTCCTTCACAGGGCCATTGGTCCCTTGGTAATTTTTTCATGGTGCCCCTAGGCCAGTTCCTTAACAGTTCCATTTATTAGGTAATTGTGTTTAAACAACTATTAAGTAATACACATGCACAGAAGGAAAAGGTTTATATTGTGTTCTTAACCACAATTACATACTAATGGGATGTGTCCTGGGTGCCACACAACGCCGCAGACTGTGAAATCCAACAGAACGCTGCTCTCATGTTTCCTGTTTCATGTGGGTTTGTAACAGTATTTGCTTTTTATAATAGCCAGTGGAGACTCAGCTGGGCAGAGATACAGGATCACTGCGAGGAATGAGATCTAATCTAGTCATCCCTCTGTATCTGAGGGGGATTGGTTCCAGGACCTTCCAAAATCTGCAGATGCTCAGTCATTATCTAAAATGATGCAGTATTAGCATCCAGTCTACCCATATCTTCTTATATTCTTTCAGTAATCACTAGATGATTTACAGTGCTAGTGCACTGCAAATGCTGTGTAAGTGGTTGTTAGACTGTATTGATTAGGGAATGATAACAAGAAAAAAGTCTGAACCTGGCATGGTGCTGCACTCCTGTAATCCCCAGCACTTAGATGCTGAGGTAAGAGGATTGTGAGTTTGAGGCCAGGCCTATATTTTCAGACCCTGTTCAGAAAAACAAATAAAAAGGAAAAATCTGTATATGTTCAGTACAGATGTCATTATTTTTTCTTGAATATTTTTGATCCATGGTTTATCTCAGGACATTGATTCTTTTGCTGATACTTTGGCAATTAAAATATCCTGAACAGCAGAGTCACTAGGTTCTGAGGTTTCCCTACATCTCGGTGCACTCAGGGAAAACAGCCACAAAGAACAGATCCACAGCTCCACCGAGCATCTGGGACCAGAGAGTCTGCTGGTCACAGCCTTTGCCATAGCCAGGTTTTTGTATAAAATTTTTTAAAATATTTTTTGGTGGTGCAGACCTTCCTTGAACCATTCCCACAGCCCTTTTGTTTGTATTTTGTTTTTGAGATAGGGCCTTACTAACTTCACCCTGATGGCCTTGAACCATCCGTCCTCCTGCCTCTGCCTCTTGAGTAGCTGGGATTACAGATGCGAGCCACAGCTCCCAGCCTTAAAAAATAGTTAATAAGAAAAGAATGGCTTTTTATTTCTCAGCTGTATAAGCAAACATTGGGATTGGATTCCCACAGAGACCTCCACCTACCTCTGCTTTGATCAGGTGACTCATACCTCCTGTCACCTCACAAGTCTTCAGTTGTTCTTCAGTGTCCCCATAGATTGATTTCAGGATATCCTTTAGATACCTAAATCTAAGGATGTGCCAGTCCCTCATATAAAATGGCGTGATACTTCCTTGTAACCTATATGCTTTATGTTATCTTCCTGTATGCTTTATATCATTTTAGGATTATTCATAATGCCTAATACAATATAAATGGTATGGAAAACTTGTAACACTGTGTTTAGACAACAGTGACATGGAAGAATATCTATACATGTTTAGTACACTTGCAATTTTTGTTTTTTAACATTTCCATCTGAAGCTGCTTGGATCCGCAGATGTGGAGCCCAGGGATATAGAGGGCCAGTGTATTTTTTACTTGATTGGTACTAAAAAGAACAAATGGAAGCTGAATGTCCTCAGAGGGACATGACCTTGGGGGAGGGGGAAGAGTCAAAGTGATTATTTTGCTATCTGACTTTTCTCTTGGTCATCAGAAGCAAAGACCCCACAAGAAGGCCCCACAGAGGCTAAAGTAGCAAAAATGAAGGAAAAAGAAGAGAGGGATCAGCTTATGACACCTCCTGAGCCCCCAAAGCCTCCCAGTAAGTTTCTGATCCTCTTCTCCCAGCCCCATTGCCCTCATTTGGGGGTGAGGTGTCTTTGGAGGGCAGTTCATTTAAACAATTCAAAATTTTTCATAGGTGTGGTTATTACTGTTTTGTTGATTTTTTTCTTATTGTCTCCCTGTCCCAGTGCAGATAGGAAAGGAAGAAAGAGCCATTCATCCTCTGACAAAGAGTTTGTAGCTAGCTTTTAACTGTCATAGGTGCAAATCAAAAGGTATTTACCCATTATTTTGTTAAATTGGACATACAAGCTAAGTTAGCCATGGGATAGCCTCTGCACCCAAGTGTCCATGGGACCCCTGTGTCAGAGACAACTCTTATAGGAACAGTTTTCAGGGTGTAATTTTATATCTGATTCTCTACAACTGCAGGAGAAGTGGGGATGTTTTCTTGTAAGCATGCTGAGTTTCTTTTTGTCTCTATGTGGAAGTCTCCAATATCAGGCCCAATGCCAGAATCTTTTCGTTAGCACCAAGCAAACATCAGGCTGTGGAGGCTCCAACCCTAGACTGGAATTTTCCAGCCTAAATTGGGAAAAATGACCTTGAAGTTAAAAAGTCTAGAGGCAGAAACAGTTCACAACACGATGTGACCTCTCTCAATTTAGAAACAGACACCCTAATAAAGACAGAAAGCATTCCCATGCCTGACACAGCTGGGAAGCAAGAACGGCAGGAAGAGGAGCAGAGCAAGCCTCCCCCCAAAGGTCCCTGGACTGTCAGCAGCTTCTTCAGTGAGCACCTCTTCCCCTCCTCACCACTGGGCTGTGTGGGCAGGGGATGAAGGGCCTTTCTCCTGGGTAGTTCTTGGCAGAGAAAGACTGGGAGAAGGCCTGTCAGGAGGAAGGACCCACTATTTCCTTCGGCTTCCTTCTCAGCCCCCCGGAAGCCGGCGGTCAAAGCTAAAGTGAAAGAAGAGTCAGGAATTCTGAAGAAGGAGGAAGCCAAGGGGTAAGTCAGTTTCTGGGCCTGAGACATCTCCTCTCAGGTTCCTTCTCCACACCTATGTCGTGGTCCCAGCATAGACTTCCTCCTTTTGCAGGAACTGCAAACTCTTGTCTGGAAAGGGCTAGGTAGTAGATATTTTAGGCTGTGCAGGACACATTTAGCTGCAGTCGCAAAGCTATTCTTAGCTTCCAGGCTAAATATGAATGGTTTGGGACTGTGGCATGGCTTAAGTGTTAGAGTACCTGCCTAACAAGCAAAAGGCTGTGAGTTCAATCCACAGCCCCACCAAAAAAAAAAGAGAGAGAACAACCCAGTGGTGCAGTGGTAGAGTTTGCCAACCCAGTGTTCAGCCTCTTCCCTGACCTCTCACCCCCATAGGACCTGGGGTATCTGTGTCAACTCATAGTTGACCCTGCCTCAAATGGCTAATCTAAGCCTTTTTGGCCACTGGTCCCTGCCTACCTCTTCAGTCTCATTTCTTTTCTTTTTTTGGCAGTATTGGCATTTAAGCTCATGCTCTTGTGTGTGCTAGGCAGATGCTGTAAGGCTTGAGCCACACTCTTAGTCCCAGAGGGCCTCCCCCCACCTTTTTTTTTTTTTTTTTTTTTGCTTTAGTTATTTTTTGAATAGGGTATTACATTTTTGCCCAGGGATGGTCTTGGACCATGATGCTCTTCTCTGTGGCCAGCCTCATAGCTGGAACCACAGGTATGTGCCACCATGTCTGGCTTGTTGGTTGAGATGGGGTCTTTCTAACTTTTTTATCCATGCTAGTCTTCAACTACAATCCTTCTGCTCTCTGCCTTCCAAGTACCTGGGATTTTAGGTGCAAGCCACTGTACCTGGCCCAGCCTCATTTCTTAACCCTCTATTCTGTTGCACTGAACTCACCAGGTAGAGAGTGCTTTGGAAGCAGAACTCATCTGCTCTGCATTGGGATTTTCTGAATGCCTCTTCTGTGCCAGCTGGGGGTCGTCTGTAGGGACAAACCATGTAGAGCTGCCCCTCCCTGTTTTGCCCCAGCCCTCCTGGTGCCCATAGTGTAATGGGCTGATGGGACACTGCACACACTGTTAAACGATTACTTGCTTCTTTGTAATTATGCTCATCATTTGAAAGATACCTGGTTCCATTCCCGCAACACCTGCATTAAAAACAGGAGACTCTGCTAAAGAGTCTTTGAATGGATTATCTGACACAGGGGTAGACAAATAACACATCAAATAATGAGATCAAGACCCATCTGTGGTGCTCCAGTACCCAAATAAACGCTGAGCTGAGCTCTGCCCACCTTACATCCCAGCCTCTGAGCACTGCCAATTTCCGTCCTGCTCCTTCTGTACACCATGTCCTGTGTTGCTCCTGGCCAATGCCTGTAACACTGTCGCAGCTCATTTCTGTCCAGCACTTTCCTTTGGGCGCGTGCTCACATCCCCCTGCTGGGGGTGGAGGGAGGACTGGATGTGAAAGTCAGCACGTCCCCTCACTAGAAATAAGCTTTCTTTCACATCCTTCCACATGCCCAGGCACCTCCCCCATCAGACCACAAACTCCTTCCCTCAGGGCCAGGGCCGCATCTCATTCTTCTTGCCCAGACAATGTTAGAAGAAAGAACAGATTGAATCAGACATTTAAAGTGCAGCAGGGAATGGTGAGGGTTGCAGATCTCCACAGGAGGTCAGAGAAGGCCTCACTGGGAAGGCAGAATTTGAGTAAAAGATTGAAAGGAGTTGAGGGAGTATGCCATGAGAGAAGAGTGTTCCAGTCTGAGAGAACAGCAAGTGCAAAAGCCTTGAGGTGAGACCATGCCTGTAGATGTTTAAGGAACAGTGAGTGGCCCGTGGCTGGAGGAGAGTAGGCAAAGGGGGAAGTAGTAGTGATGAAGTCAGAGAAGTGATGGCACCAGGATCACTGTTCTTGTGCATGATCAGAGCCTGGCGTGTAGTAGGTGCTCAGGAAACATTTGCTGGAGGAACGACTTCTCTGAACCCAGAGGTCATTTAATCTCCCTTGTGCTCCCACAGAACCCAGGACCCGACGAGCTACAATCCTGCCAAGAACAACTACCATCCCATTGAAGACGCCTGCTGGAAACCAGGCCAGAAGTGAGGCTTCTGCCTCCCCAGGCCATCCTCCTTCAGGCCCTGGGGCTGTGGGTGGCTCTAAGCAGGGCCTCAGTTGGAGGAATTGTCACATCTCTCCCTCCTGTGTTTTGGATAGGAACACAGTCATAGCATGGAAAGGGACAGAGAGACAGCACTGGGAATGAGCAGGGCTGCTTGCATGCATTGGCTGTCTTGGGGAGGTGCAAGGAGACAGAGTAGACACTGTCTAGTGTGTGCTATTCAAATGGCTCTTTTGTCTCTTTCCCTTCCCCAGGGTCCCTTTTCTGGCAGTGGCCCGGACATTTGAGAAGATTGAGGAGGTTTCTGCTCGGTAATTCAGCAGGCCTGGGTGGGTGGAGTAGGTACCCCGTGTGTGGTATGGCATGTGCATGTGCCCTTGCAAGGTAGTCAGTGCTGCCTTCTGCTACTGCTCAGTTCTTCACCATTCACCTTACCTTTCAGCCTGATGCTCTGACTCTGTAACCTTGGGCAAGATATGCAATCTTTTTGCCTCTCTATTTCTTCATCTGCAAAATGGAAGTTAATTAGGGCACCTGCCTTTGAGGGAAGCTGGGAGCATTCAGTGAGGTCAGATGTGCAAATGGCTTAAAATCAACACCTCACTGAGAAACACTTGGCGATAGCTGGTGTTTGGGCATGATCATTACCATCTTAATCACCGTCCCTGTCATAGTAGACTGGTTGTGCCTGTGGCTCCAGGTCACAAGACTTAGATTATGTGTGAGCCCTTTCCTCTCCTTTCCTTTGTTCCTTTTATTCCCCTTCCCACCCCACCCCACTCCACCCCACCTTGACCATGAAGAAGCTGATGGTCCCATTCCTGTACCCTCCTCCAGGCTCCGTATGGTGGAGACACTGAGCAACTTGCTGCGCTCTGTGGTAGCTTTGTCACCTCCAGACCTGCTCCCGGTCCTCTACCTCAGCCTCAATCGCCTTGGGCCTCCCCAGCAAGGCCTGGAGTTGGGTGTTGGTGATGGCGTCCTCCTCAAGGCAGTGGCCCAGGCCACAGGTAGTAGGGATGGGGGCAGTGGTGGCAGGACCAGCAAAAGGGGAAACTGAAGAGGCTGGGAGAGTCTGAGGGGATTCAGTTAGGGGAGGGGAAGGAAAAGGTCATTGGGGAAGAGGATGTGAAGGCAAGATTTGCTGAGGGTGGGGAAGAATGCGGATAGGACAGTTATTTGGGAGAGAGACAGGCCCAGACTATGTTGGGATGGGGCCTTGAAACAGAAAAGAGGCAAAGACAGGACTCAGGACTCTGAAGTTTCAGCATAGGGAGGTGGCAGAGCTCTGGTAGGATTTGGACTGGCAAGGCATAGGGGCTGAGGGAGGAAGAAGGAGCAGGAGGTATGATAAGGACCACATGGAGAGGCAGGTAGAGGGCTGGGTGCCTGCCAGGGGAGCATCTGAGTTCTGGGTATTGGTCAGGAGGATACAAGAATGATGAGCGAACAAGGGGTGGAGATAGGTGGGCTCTACACGTGTGTGGAGAACAGTTAGGAGACTTAGAGGCCAGCAGGCACGCTGGGCAAAGGTATGTTGGAAAGAGGACCCAGGCCAGGGCCATAGGGAGCAAAGAGAGAGACAGCAGAGGGGATTGCTGGAAGGAAAGAAAGGTGTCCCAGGGATCTCACTGGTGATTCTTGAGTGGCAGAGCCATCACCAGGACAGGATACTGGGGACAGGCAAGCATAGTCAGTAGGAGCTGGTAATTTCCACATGGTACCAGGCCTGAGCAACCTTGATCTGTGCCCCACAAGGCTTTCCAAGGAGAGAAATCTGGAGGTCCACAGCTCTGGGTCAAGGCCAAGGTTTGGACTGCTCTGCTTAGAGTGGGTGACCAAAGCACTGAAGTTATCATTTGTTCAGGGAGGGGTGTTGAAGAGGACATTGGGGGGTGGTGCTGAGCCATGGAAAACCCAGAATTTAAGAAGGGGGAAGTTGGAGGGTTTCGTGAGAAGATAGAAAACTGAAAAAGGTTGGGGGTTTCACAGGAATGATAGGGTCATGGGAGCCAGAGGAAGTGAGAGTCAAGTCCTCTCACTTACAGTATGTTTACTGGGTTCTCACATCACAGCAGTCCCGTTGTAGACTCCAGCCATCAAGAGTAGTCAAATGCCCAGCTTGTAAAGAAGGATTGATTTTCCTCCCATAACAAGTTACAGATGCAGGTTTTCCTGCCCTGTGATTCCATTGGGTTGAGGCCCTTTCTGCCCTTTGTTGCTTCCGTCTGTAGCTCGGCAGTGCTCAGCTCATAGGTTTCCTCATGGCCCCTCAGGGGTTTCTTTGTTGTTATGGTTTGTTTGGGGTTTTTTTGCCAGGCTGACCTTAAAATCCTGATCTTCCTGCTTGATCCTCTTGAGTGCTGGGATTATAGGCATGTGTCACCATGCCCACCTGAGGCCCAGGTTTAGGAAATCCCATCACCATGTACAAAGGGAGTTGCCCCATTGCACACCATTCATCCTGGCAGCTGTCACACTGACAGTAATTCCAATAATGGGCACATGCAAGCAGGGTTGGACCATCCCATTTTATCCTCTACACGGTGGCCCGGTGTCAGTAGACTGAGGTGTGTGCTGTTTCATTGTAAATGGTTTTCCTTGATTTCCTTTCTGTATTAGCGACAGAGCAGTACCCTGAAATGATGCTTGTTGGGAGGTCATGTTATCTCAGCATGCAGAGCAGAGTAGGAACGAGGTATAACAAACATTTGTGTGACCAGAGGTGTTGCTGCTAATGGGTTGAGAGCCACTAACCAGAGTTGTCATGTTGTCTCTCCTCTCCATCCTCCAACCCTCCTGCATGTACCCCTAAGGGCGCTGTAGAACTCAAGTCTGGACAATAAATAAGTCCAAAGCAAACCTCAGACTTTTAAAATGATGATTTAAAAAAAAGAGTACCAAAAATAACAAGAAGAAGGGCCATTAGTCACTGCTGGAGGATATTAATGACTAAATAGGGGAAGGGTCCCTAGCCTTCTTAACTGCACACTTCCCTGGGGGCTCATCCCACCATGGCTTAAGCTCCATCTGTACAGGGACTGCTGCCTGGACATCTCTCTGAGTATGGTATGTTCATCGAGCTGCTTGCCTTACATGGTGTGAATGTCTTCAGCTTCTTATACCTGACAGTGGGAGACAGAGGCTTAACAAGACATTCCGACCAAGTAGGCAAGTGATAGAGATGGGGAGGTCTCCAGTTATATAGCTGGAGAAAGCACATCCAGGCCACCAGTGTGGAAGGGAGATATGTAGCCATATCATTGTTTTCACACTCTTATCTAAACTGTTTTCCCCTCCAAGGTCGGCAGCTGGAGTCCATCCGGGCTGAGGCAGCTGAGAAGGGTGATGTGGGGCTGGTGGCCGAGAACAGCCGTAGCACCCAGAGACTCATGCTGCCACCACCCCCTCTTTCCACCTCTGGGGTCTTCAACAAATTCCGTGACATCGCCCGGCTCACTGGTAGCGCTGTGAGTGGAGCTGGGTGGCTCGTCCCAGTGCCCCAGACACCTCGGTGCCTAAGGCCATGCATGTGGTGGGAAGGCTTCTGCTTGGACAATTTGGGGCTGGGTCGCTTTAGTTCTGCTTGTGGGGGTGAAGCTTCCTGTCCTGGCTCTCACTGGAAGAGTGTTCTGGAACCCTTATCACCTCATACCCTGCCTGCTGGATGTCAGGACTCAATAAATGTTTGCTGGCCAAAGAGGGAGGGAGACAAGAAGAAGCATGGACTCATTTTTATTGCCCTGAGAGCTGGGAGGTGTGGGGAGGAGGAGGTATTCCAAAGATGGGAGGATGGGTCTTCCTTCTGTGATCACCAGGCAGTGTCTACTCTCTCCTAACTCCTCCAGTCCACAGCCAAGAAGATAGACATCATCAAAGGCCTCTTCGTTGCCTGCCGCCACTCAGAAGCCAGGTACATCGCAAGGTGAGTGTGTGGGCCTGTGAAACTGAGGAGGGGCATACAAACCCAGCAGGTCAAAAAAGCATGAGGAAGACCCAGACCCAGACCCAGACCCACAGGGCATGGAAAGAGAGCCAAGTCCCCTCCCTTGGTTCTTCCTGGACTTCTGGGTCAAATATGCCATGATTGATTAATGAGGTCTGCCCTAGTGATGGTACTTCCTGGAGTGGAGTCCTGGGGCCCATGGGTAACATGTGCCATGATTGATTAATGATGTCTGCTCTGCTGAGAGACTGGCAGCACAGCACAGCACAGCACAGCACAAAGCCAGGTGTTTGCCCTGACTGTGGAAGCAGTCACTGATTGTTCACACCATAGAACATTTTTGGCACCCTGCCCTATGCCATGTGCTTCATGTATCAGCCCCCCAAGCTGCTCTGGTGTGGACCCTGTGCTCCCCAACCCAGTTGATGAGAAGTGAAAATACATGGCGTTAGGCCACTTGTGTAGTCACTTGCTCCAGGTGAGGCCTGGGTTGGGTTCAGGTCTCAACTACCAGACCCAGCAAGAAGCCATGTTCTGGCACCTTCCCCAGCTGTGGCAGTGACTTGTCCTCCTTGAGCCTCTCACTCTCTCAGGGCAGCTGAAATGAGGGATAAAGACACCTTGGAAGTGCCTGCTTCTGTCCCAGGAATGTCAGTGGTCACAACCATTCCTGGCGGGGCGGTTTCCACTATTGAATGTTTACTTCCAGGCCCTGAAGGTTGTTCTGGGTATTCAGGAGGCCTACAAAAAGTCAAGGTTGGGGGAGACAAGGGGAGGCAGAAACAAGGTATAGAGGATGATACTGGAAAGGAGCCAGACAGCTCACCTGGTGCTGCTCTCTTTCTCAGGTCCCTGAGTGGGCGGCTGCGCCTTGGGCTGGCTGAGCAATCAGTGCTGGCTGCCCTTGCCCAGGCTGTGAGTCTTACACCTCCAGGACAAGGTGAGCTCATCCTGCCCATCTTCATGCCCACTAGCACTGCCAGGCCTTCCCTTCTCAGAACTATCCTCCACCCTACCCTTTGGTTGATGCCACTACAGGCTCTCCCCTGAGAGAGGCTCTTGGGCAGCCAAATCTGGTGTTCCTTGCCCTGTAGCACAGCACCCACTGTGACCCCAGGCAGCTGAGCAGTGAGACCAATCCCTAAGCCCTTGGTGGGTCTTTTCCTAGAGTTTCCCCCAGCCATGGTGGATGCTGGAAAGGGCAAGACAGCAGAGGTCAGAAAGACGTGGCTAGAGGAGCAGAGCATGGCCCTGAAGCAGACGTTCTGGTGAGGTATTGGGACAGGGTGGCGTCATATTAGTAATTGCATGGATCTGGTGGCAGAGAGAAAGGGGTGGTGATCTAGACAGAACTGTGCTAGCACAAGGATGCTAAGATCAGGATGGTGGCAGACATGACAGGAGTGAGCAGAAGAGGCAGAAGGCTGATGGCACATGAGGGCCAGTCTCTGGAGGGTCTGTGGTTTCAGCCAGGGCTGTGTATGGAAAGACCCTAAGAGACTCAGTGAGCAACTGGTGACTGACCCCTAGTGAGGAATTTGACAGTCACAGACAGAACATTCCTGAAATGAGGGCCAGTCATGTGTGGGATCTTGGCTAACAGCTGACCCAGAGCTTGCGACAGTGAGGTGATGACTGTCAAAGGCAAATGGGCTGGTGAGCAGTTCCACAAGTGTACCCACTCTGGGCTGGCCACCCACTCTGGTGCCAAGCTCCTGTATCCAGGCAGGGCTCACCTCTTTCTGTGGTCTGCTCTTACTGCTGTGGTTGGGCCCATCCCATACCAGCTAAATCAGTCCTGGGAGGCAGAGACTGGCCTTGAGAAACTAGATTTGAGCACAGCCATGAGTGGGCTTCATGTAGCTGTGGAGACCCCTGATCTAAGGGTGACTGATAAAGGGGTGATGGTGGGCCAAGACTGGGGGAGAGAGAGTGATGGATAGTGACTAAAAGGGGCTCAAAATGGTGACAATGAGTGACCAGTGCAGGGATGCTCAGGAGCCCAGGTTCTGAGCATGGCTCAGGGGTCTTTCCCCAGCAGCACTTGTACCTAGACTGCAGAGTTGTCACGTTGTACAATTTCTAGAACGCATCTTCCTCTTGCTCCCACCCCAGTGAGGTACCTGACCTAGACCGCATCGTCCCTCTGCTGCTGGAACACGGCCTGGAGCAGCTCCCCAAACACTGCAGGCTGAGTCCAGGTACCACCCATGTGCCCTCCAGCCTGGGACACCCATGCTCAGGGAAGCCAGTGGGAGAGGCCCTCAGGCACCCTCTGAGAATCTTCACTGGCTACTGCCCTCTCCGCCAGAATGGTCCCTGGTGCCAAGAACCCCTCTTCTCTTCTGAGAGCTTTCCCTTCTGAGTTGGACAGGCTATGGGTGAGCCCACTGCAACCTAGATACCCCAGAAGGCAGCAGTTGGTCAGACTGAATCTGTTGTGCATATAGAAGTGTCCAGAGCAAGGCAGGCAGCTGTGTCCAGGGCTCTTCTAGGCATTCTGACATTCTGAAGTGGTCACTCTAATGCTTACTGTCACATCTGTGTCCAAAATGTGGGGAGAGGGAAAGAGGCAGTGAGACTTTAAAGATGTGACCAGATGGGGCATCTGTGTGCTTTCCCAGCTACTGCAGAGGCTGGACTATGGTGTCAAGCGGGCCCCTCTCAAATGTGGGAAGCCCCATTCTTTCACACAGACAGAGGGAACACTAGTCCCTAGGTGTGTATGTGACCTCCACCTCTCTATAGTTCTGTGACCTATTAAATCACCCTCACTCTGCCTCCAGGCTCCCCTAACTCACCTCTCTGTCCTCCCAGGGGTCCCCCTGAAACCTATGTTGGCCCATCCCACTCGGGGTGTCAGCGAGGTCCTGAAGCGCTTTGAGGAGGCAGCCTTCACCTGCGAGTACAAATACGATGGGCAGAGGGCCCAGGTATGGCAGGCTCCCAGGCACATGGCCAGGCTCTGAGCGGCACTGCCCTTGCACCTACTGCCCGGCTGACCTTGCTGTCTCTGGGCCTCAGTTTTCCCTGTACACAGTGCATGCAATAATAATGACCTCCTCCAGGGGAGGGTGGAGTCATTCGAAATCCCGACCTGCAGTAGTGAGAGGTCAGGAAATGCTGGCTCCACAGGTACGCACTGTCAAATCACAACAGCCACCTGCCATGGTACTAGTGCAGTGACAGGTATGTGTGTCCCGGTCAGTAAGGAAGCATGGAATGACACTTAAGTCCTGGCGGGATTTGGGTCCACCTTAGTGTTCATGGCATGTGAGGCAGTGTTGTCTGGGGCTTTGAGGTGGCTACAGCCATGGATTCCACAGACTCTGCATCGAAGGTGGGTCTTCAGAATAGTACTCAGAAAAATTAGGAAACTATATATATATGTAGCTTTCTTGAGATAACAACATAACCTGCTCAAGGACTGTGACCAAAGTGTATTTAAAAACTAAGCCAACAGCAGAAAAACGAATGGTGTTCACAGCATGACTGTTTTCAGACAGAAGGTAGATGTGCTCACAGGGGCAAGGAGTAGAGGTGATTAAAAAAAACGTGGTGGGAATTGCCGAGGCACCAGGAGCTCATGTGTTCAGGTCTATGCATCAGAGCTTCTTGAACCTTCTGCCAGTGGTGGAGGGGTCTGAAGGGAAAGGCAGGGCTGCATGGAGTAGACTGAGTCTTATTTCACTTCCTTCCTCCATGGTAGATCCATGTTCTGGAAGGCGGGGAGGTGAAGATCTTTAGCAGGAATCAGGAAGATAACACAGGAAAGTATCCTGATATCATCAGCCGCATCCCCAAGGTGAGCATCGGCTTGCAGGGCTGCATATGTGGAGGCAAAGAACCAGGGACCAGCTGGGCACAGTGAAGATTCATTAGAAGGAGATTGGTGTGTGGTTAGCTGCAACACATGTGACACTTTCTTACGCTTAGCCTGACCAGATGTGATTTGCTTCTTAAGCCTGGAGGCTGACCCAGTGATACACTCTTCTCCTCCTGAGCCCAGCCTGCTTCTGCCTTGTCCTCTACTTTCCCTGGCTGCTTTTTATCCCCATACATGTCCCCTGTCATCCCCCATGGCTGCCATACTTCCTGACAGAAAGGGGGAGAGAGGTTCCTGTTTCTGTCCTTCCACAGTGAAAGTTAACTCTTTCCTGACTTCTCTAGCCCCTCAACCCCCACTGGTTCCTGCTTGGGGTCACTATCCAGCACTGGGTCCCCTGGCTACCCTAGGAAAAGCCAGAAAGCCTGGGTAGAGCTTGCCACCCCTGCCAGGAGAAGGCATGGCTAGGCTTGGAGGAAAGGGGAGGGATGCCTGTGGATTGGCCCAGAACCTCAGAAATAGAAACCCCAAGGTTGAGCAGGGCTTTGCTGGAGCTGGGGTTTATCTGTGTGGGCCTTTTGTAGTAGAAATTCATTTCCACTTGCCTGGCCCTAGTCAGTTAGGAAATTGGTTCCTTCAACAAGCAAGTTGCACAGTGTTGGGAACTCTGCCTGGTGCAGACTGCAGAGGTGATGGTGACAGTAGAATACAGGCATTGCAGGGTTTCTGCTCAGTGCCTGGGACTCTTTTCTTACCCAGTTTTATTTAGATGTAATTGCCATGAAAGGTTCTGATTTTAAGTGTACAGTATATGGTTTGATGAGTTCAAACAGGTTTAAATACCTATGTGACCAACATCCCATGAAACACATTCTGTGGTCTCATCACTTCAAAGTATTTGCTCGATCCCCTGGCCCAAACAGCTTCTCTCCTTTGTCCCCCTTGCCATCCATCCACCAGAGGCAACAAATGCTGTGTGTTTTTGGTCTCCACAGGTTGGTTTTGCCTCTTCCAGAGCTTCCTATCCATGGTATCAGTTAGTGCATAGTCTTCTGTATCTGGCTTCTCTCACACACTCACTTAGCAAGTTGTTCCTGAGCATCTGCTCTGTGGTAGAGCTGGGGTTTGACAGCTGGCCCTGCCATGGGCTCTGCCTCACTGAGCTCACGGCCTAGCAAGGCCAGCAGACCTTCATCAGGACTCACATGATCGGCTCAAATTTTACATCCAAATCAGGGATTTGAAGAAAAGGACTAGCACTCTGGGGCCTGTGGAAGAAAAGATCTGACTCAGACTAAGTGCCAGGAAAACAGCACTGTTAATGCTCCTTGACTCTGGATGCAGCATGCATGGTACCCCCTAGATTTGCACCAGAGTGTTTCATTGGGGGACAAAAGGCTTCCAAGGGGAGGCAAATGGGGGAGGCAACAGGAAACAGCAGAGGAAGCAGCATGTGCAAAAGCCTAGTGGTAAGAGGGGCATAGTTCACTTGAGAAATAGAGAGGCTAACATGCTGGGGTGAAGAGACAGAGGCTAGAGGACCAGATAAGGTGAGGGAGGACCAGGGGTGGATGGAAGATAGTCCCACAGCTTGGGGGTTTTGAGATGGTTTTTTTCAGGATGTACAGAGATCACTTTCAGGATTTGCCAAGATAATCTTTGCTGCTGGGAGGGGAACGGATTGTAGGGGTCAGTGGGGGAGTGGGGGAGGGTGGAGGCCAGCAAGATGAGGGGGCTCAGCCAGGCTGTATTGAAGCAGGGAGAAAGCTCAGAGACTTTGAAGGGGAAGTCGCAGGTTTGAATGTGGTTGAAAGGAAGAGGGAGATGGCAGAGGCTCCAGAGTGTTCTCATGTGTCTCTGAGGGTCTCCAGCCATTTGTCAGGGGATCTTGAAAACTGCAGGAGGAAAAGGGAATTTGTTCCCAGTGTCTTTGACCACATCCTCCACCTCTTACGAGCCTGTGTCTCTTCCTTCACTTTTCAGATTAAACTCCCTTCAGTCACATCCTTCATCCTAGACACTGAAGCTGTGGCTTGGGACCGGGAAAAAAAGCAGATTCAGCCATTCCAAGTGCTCACCACTCGCAAACGAAAGGTAGCCTCAGCCCTCTCTGCCACCTTCCATGGCCCCACACTGTCATTTTCCCTCCACTACTGACTGCAGGTCCTGCCCAAACCCAAAAAGTCTGTCTGGATGTGGATCACTTAGCCTTTGGCAAAGTGGCTGCCATGGCTCCAGCCATCCAAATATCCCAATTAGAAAGGACAGAAGGACCCTTGTTCTGTATATCTATCATTTTATTATGAAAGATCTGTCCCAGGAAGCCCCACATCCTGTGCAGGTTCTCATTTCTGTCTGGTCTGTCAGAGTTGTGGTATGTCACCACCATTAACTGCAATGGAGGCTGGAAAAGGAGATGTCTGGTGAAGAAGAATGAGGTCAGGATTATCTGAGAGCCATGGTGACTTAGAGCTGGGGCCAGCGGCATTGCCACCTTCTCAGGGTGTGGCCTTAGTTGTGAAAGCTGGGGAGTGGTAGGTGCTGCCTGAGGCATGACGGGAAGAGACCCAGCTATCCATCTCACCTTCTGCACTCCTGCCTGGTCTCTGTTTTGCTCCAACCAGGAGGTGGATGCGTCGGAGATCCAGGTGCAGGTGTGTCTGTATGCCTTCGACCTAATCTACCTCAATGGAGAGGTGAGCTTCTGCTCCACGATGGGCCAAGGGGTGGTGGGTAGTGTGACCTAGGAGAGCGAAGCCATCCTCTGAGCTGGATGAGAGGCTGAACTGGGAGACTTATTTCCCTTCTTCTCTCCTCTCCTCCCTCCTCTTTTCCCTTGATGTTCTCTTCTTGAGTGACACTGGGCAAGGAAGAGGCTCAGTGTCATATTCAGGTTAAAATCTGCCCACTGACCTCGAGCAGGACTGGTCCTGACCAGCAGAAGTTTCAGCCTATGGCATGATGGGAGAGGATTGTGAATCAGTAGGGAGCAGGTCTGTTTCCATGGGACTGTTGACTTCATTTCAGAGTAGACGTGAAATGAGCTGAACTCAAAAACTATGGCCTTGGAGCCAGATCTGTGTCAACATGTGTGTTTTTTTTTTTTTTTTTTTAAAGAAAGGTTTTAGTTTTGATTGGTTGGCTTGTTTGTTTGGTGAGATGGGTTGAGTTTTTGAGACAGGTTATTATGTAGCAAAGGCTGGCCTAGAACTCTCCTCAGCCTCCTGAATGCTGGGATTACAGGTGTGCACCACCGCATTCAGCTTTGAAAATAAGATTTATCTGGGGGAGCACAGCCTCATGATTTGCTCACACTTCCGCAGCTGCTTTTTCTGAACAGCAGCAGAGCTGGATGGTGCGATGGACACCAAAGAGCCAAGGACACATTTGGCCTTTTATATCTTCAGGTTTCTCATCCCTGGGTGCAATCAACCTCATCTCCAAAATATTTGAAAGAAAAAAAAAAAAGATTTACTAGTACTGAACATGAATAGTTTTTCTCACCATTCTCCTCTAAGCTGTAGTCTCACTTTTTGTAAGCAAAAAGTGCTTACATTGTGGAAGGTACTGTAAGTCACTTGGCAGTGCTTTAAAGAATTTGGGCAGATGTGTGTGGGTTCTATACAAATACACTATTTATATAAAGCATGTGTGGGTTTTAGTGTCTGCAGAGGCTCACAGAACCTATCCCTGCAGATACTAAGGGATGACTGTTTTCTGTGTGGTTCTCACACAGAACAAGTATTCAACGCCTAGATTAGCATAGAAAATATCCCGTTGGAAACATGTATCTTAACCTTATAGTCCTAAATTGCTTTTTCACCCGTATTGGGCTGGTTGCTAAAATGACAACAGGTAGGCAAGGCACAGTAGCTCATGCCTGTAGTCCCAGCTACTCAGGCAGAGATCAGGAGAATTGAAGTTTGACGCCAGCCCAGGGAAAAAAGTTAGTGAAACCCTGTCTCAATCAAAAATTTGGTCCAGGCAAGACCCTATCTGAAAAAAACTAACTAAAGCAAAAGCACTAGAGGTGTGACTCAAGTGGTAGAGCTCCTACCTGGTAAGTCCGAGGCCCTGAGTTCAAGCCCCGTACCTCCTGCACCACCTCAACTGAAAGACAAGAACTCCATAAAGTGTTTATCATTCTCTGGCAAGGTCAAGGTCCTTGTCCTATGTTCCTGAGGTCATTGAGTCTGTATCCACTCCTCTCGCTAGTACCTGGGCCTGAGTTTTGAATTCTGACTCCTGCAGATGTCCAGGCTCTGCCCTCTCCAAGGCTCTGGGAAGCTATCTCATGTCACGTGACTTGTGTTCACATGCCCCCTGTTGGTCTCCAGGTCAGGGCTTCTGTTCTTTGTTCCCACAGTGGTATCCCATCTCTCCTTAGTCCCTGGTCCGGAAGCCCCTGTCGCGACGGCGGCAGCTGCTTCGAGAAAACTTTGTGGAAACCGAGGGCGAATTTGCCTTCGCCACCTCTTTGGACACCAAGGACACAGAGCAGATCGCCGAGTTCTTGGAGCAGTCTGTGAAAGGTGAGGACAGCCTCTCTTCTCTCCCTGGAGGCCTGCAGCCTCCCGAGACCTATGCTGACCTTGACCCCAGCCCATCCCTGACCCCATGGGATTTGACCAGAATCCTGCCTGGTAAGCTGGACCTCCTAAGAGCCATGCTCCTATGTCTCCTGCAGACTCCTGCGAGGGGCTAATGGTGAAGACCCTGGACATCGATGCCACCTATGAGATCGCCAAGAGGTCACACAATTGGCTCAAGGTGATTTCCACCCCAGCCTGGCCTTCTTGGTCTGGAAGTAATTCCCCACCCCATGGTACTGGGTACTGAGTTTCTGGCTGCTCCCTGTTTGAGCTCATGGGGCCTTTGCACAGTCTGCCTAGGGCCAATTTCCTCCCTCTGCATGTCCCAGCAAGTGAGTTCTTCAAAGATCAACCGAGAATTACCCAGCAACCCAGGAGACCTGGGTGAGGAGACCAGGCAGGAGACCCTGCTCTCCCTGAGCTGCCTCCACACCTCACAAGGCACACAGAAAGGAGTCAGCCAGGAAGCTAAAGTCAGGCAGTGATGAACTCGTGGGGAAAGCAGTCAACTCTGCGTGATCCTGAAAAGTCTTGAGAGCCAGTGATGGATGTAGGGCTGAGGACAGGGAAGAGGTTGGCTATGTGAAGATGGGGCCAAGAGCCTGCAGGTGCAAAGGTTCTGAGGTGGGAACAGGCTCAGCACTACAAGAAGCAGGGCGGACCACATGGGGTCAGAAGTGAGCAGGTGCCAGACCACCAGGAGAGGCAACTCAACTGTCTTCTAGAGAGTTGGGGAGGCCAGTCATCATGCAGGTGGGCACTGGGTCCCCTTGTCATTTTGCAGTGGTCCTCTGGCTGCTCTATAGGTAGTGGGTGGTTGGGGGACGAGGCTGCTGTCTGGCAGGAGGCGATGGAGACACCTGTGGAAAAGGGGTGTGAGGAGTGGGCGGAGGTTCAGAGCAGAAGTGTTGGGGAGCTGAGCTGGTCGGGCCTGCTGTGCATTTCTGTTTGTCTCCTCCAGGACTAGAAGCAGCTGTGAGTACAAACCTTTCCTGTCTGAGAAAATATGAACCCTTTGTAGTGCTGAGGATGGGACCCAGGGCTTGTGTATGCTAGGCAAGCACTAGGCAAGCACTCTACCACTGAGGTACACCACCAGCCTGACTGTTCATGAGCACTTGCCTGGCACAGTCAGCACTTCATAAATGCTTCTTTCAAATGCATGGATAAGTGTTCTCTGTTCAAATGAGTGGGCTGTCTCAGGACTGAGGGAAGGAAGGAATCAAAATGACTACAGCCAAGCATGGTAGGGCACATCTGTAATCCCAGCTGTCTGGAGGCTGAGGCAGGAAGCTTAAGATTTCAAGGCTAGCCTGGGCTTCATAGCAAGATCTTGTCTCAAAAAAACTGGTAACCCCAAGTTTCCCCATCTCACCTCTCCTCCCACTCCATCAGTGATGCCCCACCTGGGTGCCTCCTCATCCTTCGATCCTCTCTGCAGCTGAAAAAGGACTACCTCGAAGGTGTGGGTGACACTCTGGACCTCGTGGTGATTGGTGCCTACCTGGGCCGAGGGAAGCGCGCTGGCCGGTATGGGGGCTTCCTGCTGGCTGCCTACGATGAAGACAGTGAGGAGCTGCAGGCCATATGCAAGGTCCTGAGGGCTGGGTGCTCGCTGCAGAAGCAGGAGGGAGGTAGATTAGACTCTGGGGGGACTTCCCATCGGGCATCCTGAGGAGGGTCCAGACAAACAGGCAGTCACATTGTCCATTTGAAGAACTCCTGTTTTGTTAGTCCTGTTCATTCTTTCTGATTCTATAAAAAAGCCTTGCTCATATAGAAAAATAGATTAGGTCAAGTGCCCATTGCTTGTGCCTATAATCCTAGCTACTCAAGAGGCAGAGATCAGGAGGATCACATTTTGAAGCCAGCCTGGGCAAATAGTTCATGAGTGGAGTGGCTCAAGTGGTAGAGCACCTGAGTTCAAACCCCAGTGCTGCAAAAAAAAAAGAAAGAAAAATAGGTTAGTGTAGAAAGGTGTAAAGAAGCTACATCAGGAATTGAGTTCAGCTGTATGTAGTGGTATGTAGCTGTATGTAGGACCTTGTCTTTTCTCATGTGTGTAGAGTGTGGAGAGGGCAGATGGTTCTCCAGTGTCATTAGGATCCAGGCTCCTTCATTCCCCGTAGTTTTTGTCATGGGCTTCTTGTCTCATGGTCATAATGTGGCTGCAGGTGTTCCAGCCATCATGGCTTTGCATGATGCATTAGCAGGAGGGGGAAGGCTCAAGGGCAAAGAAGGGACAGTCACCAGAGTTAGCTTCAGCCACTGAACAACTTCTGCTTAAGGTTCATTGGTCATAGCCCACCCCTATGTGTAAAGGATTCTTGAAAAGTAGTGGGGTTTTTTTGTTTGTTGTTGTTTTCCCCAAGTTTAGGAAAAGAATTTATACTGTGCAATGTGACTGGCTTTTCCTGTGTACTTCCTATGTTCCCATATCTAACACATTTGGTTATTTTGCTGGAAAACAACAAAATATCACCCAGAATCCCACTGCCACATAGACAAGGACTGCTGACATTGGAAGGAATTTTTATTTGCATTTCCAGAGTTGAGTTCCTTCTCGCTAAGAGGTCATATTTTCTGCCTTTTTGTCTTTTAAATCTTTTATTTTACATTGTGTCACATGCATTTAAGAAATATGGTAACACCAGTTGAAGCCTGCACAAGAATTTTCAAGTGGCTACGCCTGGTTTCCTGAGCCAGTGCCCTGGAGTGATGCTAAGATCGCTCAGTCCTGGTGAATCATATGAACCCACCAGATTATGATCAAAGTGATCTTAGGATCCAACATGCCTTTAGGCAGCAGTCTATCGCCCTTTTCCATTATTTATCTAGAATGGAGTTCCATTACCATGTATGTATGAAGGGTTTCTTTGTGATTATTTCTGTGTGTGCACATAAAGCACTTTGATCATATTTGCCCCCTTTTCTGCTCTCTGTGCCGTGTACAAAATGGGTTCAAAATGGATCAAAGACCTTAATGTGAGACCAGAAACTTTAAAAGTACTTCAGGAAAACACGGACACAACACTTGAAGATAAGGCCTAGGTAGTGGTTTTTTGAATAGGACACTTACAAATTCAAGAATAAAGAGCAAGAAATAACACATGGGATTGCAAAACAAAAAAAATCAAGGATCTCAATAAAAAAGGGCTTTCCAGTGGAAAGTTTAAATCAGTAATTTAAAGATACCTGTCTTGTCAGCCAGCACTCAGTATTTATTATTCTTTTAGCCTTTGCTGTGTTAAGAGCAGAGATGACAGCTATAGGTTCCCAGGCACTTGGGATGTTGGGGAGCCCAAGGGAGCATCTTCCTGATCAGGGAGACACAATAGAAAGACAGGTTTCTTCCATGGACTTTGGCTGGCCATCAAGGTGCTGACTGCATACTCAACACCCCACCCCACTTCATTGTCATTCTCTTGGTTCTGTGCACCCTTTGTTGACTGCAATGGTTGGATGACAGGTGCATGATTTGCTCTTAGATGACAGGAAGCAGAGAGTCTGCGGCTGCCAGCCAACGCTTTGACCCACCCTGTTCTCCCTGCAGCTTGGAACTGGCTTTAGTGATGAGGAGCTGGAGGCACATCACCAGAGTCTCCAGGTGAGCCCTGCAGACACACCATCTCCACCTATACGCCTCTGCGTGCAGGACTCCTGGTCTCCAGTGTCTTGGAGCTCAGCATGGACAATACATCTGGTTACCTGGTGCCACTGGCCTGGGGGCCTCATCTACCTGAGTTTCTCACCTGTCCTGGGCAGCATGTGCATTTGACAGGGGTCCTGTGGAGTTGTCCCTGTAAAGTTCTTGTGAACCCCAGATGAAAGGGATTGCTTGTTGTCATGGTCACAAGTATTTTGGGATGTGAATCTCTATCCTAAATGTTTGTATACCTGGGTCCTGATGCCATCTCTGTCCCATTCCTTGGCTTTCTGTCTGGGTCTCTGTTCCTATCTCTTTGAGTTTCTCCCCCTCTCTCTGGGTCTCTGTCCCCCTTTCTCTGGGTCTCTGTCCCTTCCCCCACCCTAGGTTCTTGTCCCCCCTACCCCTAGGCCTCTGCCCCTTTTTGCCTTTTAATATCACTCCTCAGTTCCCAGGGTCTCTGACTTTCTTTCTTCCTGTCTCCCATTCACCTTGCTACCTTTATCCAGATTTTTCACTTTAATGGCTGCCCGCCTGTCCTTTCCCTCATTTTCCTCCCTCTTTCCCCAGTCCCTAACTGCCCCCACACACAGACCCTTGGCTTTAACTTTGAGATCTGAGACCCTCTCCCTCTTACCCGTTCCTCACTGCAGGCCCTGGTACTGCCCACTCCACGCCCCTATGTGCGGGTAGATGGTGCTGTGGCCCCCGACCACTGGCTGGACCCCAGTGCTGTATGGGAGGTGAAGTGTGCCGACCTCTCCCTCTCCCCCATCTATCCCGCTGCCCGGGGCCTGGTGAGTGACATGGCGTGGACAGGGCTCCAGGAGGGACCAGGAGCCCCTGGGGGGGACCTGGGACCCACATCTGCTCTTCTGTGTGAGGATTGAGAAAACTTCAGTGTTAGGGTTACAGATAATAAAGTCAAAAATCATTTGAAAAAAAGAAGAGAATTCCCAATAGTAGAAAGAGGAGAGCAGGGACATTCCTCCCTTAGTGTCCCCTTCTTGCCTTTGCTTAGAAAACTCAGGTCTTCTAAGTCACAGCTCAGTGTGTGTCCCCGAAGTGTGTCCTTCCTGGGTGCAGTTACTCCACAGAACCAATTCCCATGTGAACCAGCTTCACAGTTCTGTGTCTGCTGTCCTCTGTCAACTGCATCCTTAGCATAGTCCTCGGTTACCAGCTGCAGTGATAAGTGAGCCCGGGGTCTCCAGTACAGGCCTCACTGGACAGCCTTGCAGGGTCAGTGTAAAATGTTCTCCCACTGAACTTTCTTCCAGTCTGCAGCACATACTTTCGTTGTTGTTCTTCAGTACTAGGGAGTGAACTCAGGTCCTCACGAGTGCTCTATTACTTAAGCTACACTCCCAGTCTCTGCTTTTTTAGTTCGTTTTTGAGACAGGGTCTCAACTAATTTTTTGAGTGGGCTGGCCTGGAACTTGTGATCCTCTGACCTCTGCCTCCCATGTAGATGGGATTAAAGGTGTGCCATGGCACACCTAGTTCTTTTTTGTGTGTTTTTGAAGTTTGCCTCCAACTCAGGATCTTCCTTCCTCAGTCTCCTGAGTGTAGGGATTTCAGTTGTGCACCACCACACTTGTGGGGATTAAAAGTGGACTATTTCTAAATGGGGATCACCTACTTTTCATTTCATTTAAATTTCTAACTCATGCTGCTGCTCATTAGGGAGCCAGGGGCCCCTGGCAACAAGTATGACCTGCTGACATGGAATAACACCAGGATGCTGCAGCGGTGTGAGCATTCTGTTTCAAGTAAGAAGAGGGTGACTCACATGCCTAGCATGAGATCTTGAGTTCAAGCACCAGTACTGCCCAAAACAAACAAAACAGTTAAGTGAGGCAATAGCTCCTTAGAGAGCTGGCATGTCTGACTTAGGGCCACAGGGCTCCAGAGAACTGGCAGCTGTAATTGGATCCCCACAGCATGGTTGTGAGAATCCATGCCCTGAGGTCCAGTTGTCATTATGATAGTAACTGCATAAGTAACAGCTGTAGCAGCAAATACTCTGCACCAGGTACAAGCACTTTGATGCCTTCTTTAATCCTCACAACCCATTGCTCAGCCCCTTTGTATGGGTCAGGAAACTGAAGCCAGGGTGGAAGAGGGAGGAGGAGACTAGATAGGGCTACTTAGCAGCCTGAGGCTGGAGTACCACAGAGCCCCCACCACTGCCTCCTTCCCAGGTGGACAGTGAGAAAGGGATCTCTCTTCGCTTCCCTCGGTTCATTCGAGTCCGTGAAGACAAGAAGCCAGAACAGGCTACCACCAGTGCCCAGGTGAGGCCTTGGGAGAGGGATGGGCTGCCCTGGGCTGGGCTGCATGGCAACTCAGCTTTTCATAGGCTGCTCTGACTGGAGCACTAGAGATGGACAGCCCAAGGGCTACTGACCCACCCCTACCCTCTCCCCAGGTGGCCTGTCTGTACCGGAAGCAAAGTCAGATCCAGAACCAGCAAGGCGCAGGCTCAGACTCTGACCCTGAAGATTTCTACTAAGCCTTGCCTCCCTGGGCAGAAGTGGGGGGAGCTGGGGCAGTGATGGTGTTGCTGTTTGATGTGTATGTGAGCCTGTGATTTATGCTGGGTCTGGGGTCAGGTTCATTGGTTATTTCTTTCAATAAATAATTGTCAAACAACTACTCCTTGACAAGGTCCATGCTGGCTATGGGAACTCAGCTCTGAGAGCTTACAGTGGTGGGCACGTGACTGGGCTAGGACTTAGAGACTGCACTGTTCCACAGAACTCTCCGCAGTGATTAGCCAGTTCTACATCTGCTCCATGCAGCAAGGCAGCCATGGCCATCTTGGCAGTGATGCACTGAATGCTGGATGTTTCATTTTATTTTAATTTAATTATTTTTGATATAAATAACCTCCTGTTACACAGCAGCAACGGTCTAAAATTAAAATCTTTATGTATTTTTACTTGTACGACATCCTAGCAGTTCTGCAGGTCAGCACTGTCATGAGCCCTGCGTTGCAGCTGTGGACGATGGGGAGCATATAAAAGGTCAGTGACAGTAACCTACCCAGGACCCCTCTGGGAGCATCAGTGCCCAAACAGCAGCCTGGCTCACAGCCTCACACCTTTCTAACCTGGTCCCCAAATCCTCCTGGGAGATAGTAATATAGTGGCTGGTGTGGCTTCCAGTTCTGCCACCTACCTCCTGGTTACCAGGCAGTATCACCTTACACTCCTCAACACACTGTTCCAGGCATTACCCCGTGACGGAAGGCAGTTGACTAGACCCGCTTTGTTCCTTGTTGTGCCCCTAACCCAGAGCCGGAACATAGGAGGTGCTCAGTAAGTGATGGCTGGATGCCAGCCTCCACTGGCACATGAGGTGAGACCAGGAACATCATCACTAGTCACCCTGAATGTCCATCCCTCTCCTCCCCAAGTCCTTCTACCTCCACCTTGTGCTTTATGGGAGGAACCCTGTCCTCATTGTGGGTGGAGAAACTCCTTACTGGTCTTGGGGCTCCCTGCAGCTCTGCACAGGTTGGATAAGATGCAGGCACATGATGGAACTTTGGCCATTGCAGTGGGAAGTCTCTTGGGACGAGGTGTTAGAAGTGCCATTCCCAAACAATGATCAAAGAAACACTCAGGAGTTGCTCAGCAAGGCAAAAGGAAAAGTTTTACTTCTGGTGAAGGGTACAGCCACAGACAGTAGTCTGATAGGCAGGACACACCTGGATGGGAAGTACACCCAAATTATATTCCTGACCCTATCTCCTGTCCCTCAATAGGACTGGTCCACATTTGGGCTTGGGTTCCCAACACTCCGGTGGCAAGCTATTGATTGATTACAGCAAGGTTTTGTGAAGCAGTGACAGTTCAATGAGAGTGATTACCATTGGTTTACAGCTCAGTGAGAGTGATTTCTAGAAAAGACAGGTCAAGCAGGTTGAGATTAGGACATCTGGTGATAAACAGCTCTTTCTTTGACACAAGAACCTTGCAGGGTCAAGCAATGTTTCACAAAGCATGTAGGTAGCAATTCAGGGAGGTTAGCTGACATCTACACAGTGAGAGCTATGCATTAACTCCTTTGACAGAAAAGACCTGACTTTAGTTGATTCATGAGGCTTCAATGACACAGTGATGCCCCTTTGTAGCTAAGCAGCTCTCCCTTGGGTCTTCCTAAGTGACGTTGGTGTGACAGTTAAATAAATTTGGAGAAAGAGATTGAGGCAGAGATGTGTCAGTGAGATTCTTAGGGGAGTGAGTTGAGAAGTCCTGAACCTGACTCCTGAGTAGCTCTTTCCCTTCCTGCCTGACCATGTGATCTCCCTCTTGTGCTCATTCTTGCCAGTGACAGACCGATCTGATATTTCATTATCTGCATTTAACAGACAGGGACACTGAGGCACAGGGATGTAAGTTACTTTCCCTGGATGTACTGTCTGGGAATCTGATCTCTGTTTGGGGATTTCCTTGCTGGCTACACACCTCAGCTAGTAAGTGGTGGTGGATACCAGGACTCTCAAACTCTGAAGCCTCTGCTTGTGACCACTATGACGTAAGTAGGCCCAAGCTGCTCTGTGCTCAGCATGAGGTGTTTTCTTCAAGCTCCTCTCAGCTGGCTATTGATGTAAATGACTGAGCTGGCAATTCCCTGAAAATCTGCTGGGTAGCAGAGCTAGTCAGTCGGGAGTGTACGCTTTCAGATGGCACTTCCATTTGAAAGTGGGCACTTCCCTCACTAGTGCCCTTACCGTGACTTGCCAGGAAGTGGTGGAGCTGTCCTGGGCATATTGCCCATTTGTTTGCCTGTGTGTTCCCTGCCATTTTGGCAAAAAAATCAAGGCAATATCTCAGGTCAGGTTTTGGCAAATAAGAGAGGTAGTGCTCCTTTGCTGGCTAACCTCCCCCAAACATAAGCCCCTTGCCTGAGGGTCAGCAGGAAGTAAAGGTGATGTTTTACAAGGATTCCATTCTCCTGTTCAAAGACACAGGGAGTTTTATCTTCTGGTTCAGGAGACCAAGTATGTTGAAGGAAGAGATCACAACATTATCTGAAGGAAAGAGCTGACCAGATTGCTTCTGAGGGAATGGTGCTCTTAGAAGGCACTACAGCTGCAAGGCAGAGAACTGATCTCGTAGGTTTGGGGAAAGCAGAGGTTAGGAATAGGAAGTGCTGGACGGTCAGCTATTGGGATGTTCAGGAATTGATGACAGTTCAGCTTCTGAGATACAGTCCCCAGAGCATGGCTCTTGCTAATAGGCTGACTTTCAGGTGTGTGGGCACTGGAGTGAGACTGGTCTATTGTCAGGCTTTTAGAAGCACAGTCACTGTTTGTAAGTAGACATTGGTTAAATTGGACTGCTTTGAAAGTAGTTCTGGTGGTAACTCAATGCTTCAGCCCAAGTCCAATTTCTCTTTCTGTTTAACAGTAGGAACTTAAAAAAAACAAAAACAAAAAACTGGGGTTTGAGCTCAAGGCTTCCTGCTTGCTAGGCAGCACACTCTACCATTTCAGCTTTGACATCAGAATTTTCCTCTAGTTATTTTGGAACTAGGGTTTTGCTTTTTGCCCAGGCTGGCCTGACATGTGATCTTCCAATTTTAGGCTTCCTTCCATCTCTAGGATGACAGGTGTGCAACACCACACCCAGATTTTCCCCATTGAGATGGGATCTTACAAAGTGTTTTTGCCTGGGCTGCATGAGCCTCCCTGTCTCAGCCTTATGAGTAGCTTAGGGTAAGAGGCACATCCTACCACCAGCTATTAGTTGAGATAAGGTCTGTGAACTTTTTGCCCAGGCTTTCCTGGAACTGAGATCCTCCTGATCTCAAGTCTCAGGTAGTCAGGATCACAGGTGTGAACCTGGCTAAGAGTAGGAACTTTTGACTCTATTTGCAAACATGGCTTTGCCCCTTACCAGTAGAGATTCTGGGTGACTCTTGTTTTCTCACTGAGCCCTTCACTTTCCCATGTATAAATTGAGGAAAATCGTGCCCATATCAGAAGGTCAATGTAAAATTTTAATGGTACGGTGGAGGTAATCAGTGTTGAGCACTCAACATAGTGTTGAATGGCAGTATACCATATTGATTCTCTGTGATCCTGACAAGTTATTTAATCAGTCTGGGTCTTCCGTTCCTTCTCTGTAAAATAGAAATAGAAGAGTGTTTTGTTTCATCACAAAGGGCTGTTGTGGGAGTATAATGAATTCATATGTAAAACGTGCATAGAACATTTCACAAGGTAGCAATTAAGGAGTGGTTAGCCCTAACCCATCCCATCATTGTCACTGGGAGAATACGTGAGTCCCAACCCTGGCTGTAATCTTTAGCTAGGGTGGCAGTAGACTTGAGCTAGGGGGGCAGTTTTGGGTTGAAGACTGAGGGGAAACCTGAATAAATCCTCTAGTTTCACTTGTTATTAGTTTCCTTTAAAAATTACTAGTGTGGGACTGAGGGTGTGGCTCTTGTGATAGAGCACCTACTTAGCAAGTGGAAGGTCCTGGGTTCAAACCCCAGCATCAGACACACACACACACACAAAACTTAGGTTTTGGGGCCAGGCATGAGGGTAATACCTATAATATCAGCTACTTGGAAGGCAACCCAAGGCTAGCCTCTGGCATAATGCATGACACCCTATCTGAAAAACAGTTAAAATAGACAGACTGGAGATGTGGCTCATGTCATTTACCTAGAAAACTGGAGGCCCTGAGTTCAAATCCCAGTTCTGCCACACAATAAAAAACATTATTTTGTTATTTCATTTGTCATGCTGCTGAGCAGTGTGGTCTTAGTGACTCACTAACTTTGCTGTGGGCAATGCTTCTGTGATCCTCTCCTGGAAAACACTGTCTCCCTCTCTTGGCAACCAGTTCTCATCAGTTATCCAAGGAGTGTTTGTCCAAACCTAGCAGCACAGATGTCCCTAATCTCTCCTCCCCCATCAAGTCTGGTGGTCACAAAGTAGGGATAAGTAAGATGTACGGGGACACAATGGCCTTCTGATTGTGTCACATGAGTGGATCAGGAGCCACCAGGATTGCAATGTATCATTCCAGACCACTGGAAAGACAGCCAACAGTCTGCAGTCATCAGTCATTTCCTAGCTTTATCCCCCTCCTTCCCCCTCCCTAACAAGAGGAGCTTCAACCCCCTAAAAGATGTGTGTGTATGTGTACCATGTGTGTGCCCATGTGCGTGGGACATGTGTGGGTGTGTGTGTTCATGTGCGTGGTCAGGGCTCTGCTAATGCCTGCTGTATGTGCTCTTTAGACCCAGTTAACCACCTGCTTCCAACTCCACGTTTAGTCACATGGACTTAGTAAGCTAGAACCAACTGTGGTGAGAGCACTGACACTGTTACCAGTAGACTGAGCTCAGCCACCCATCCCAAAAACACTCATTAAGGACATTAGTAATGGTAAAGGGCAGAGAAAGGCAATGTAATCGAATGCAGCCAGATCAGGAAGAAAAATAAAGGGGTCATGGGAACCCAAGTTCATCTTCAGGGGTCTCACAGGAACTCAGAGGTTTTGTAGAAAAGATAGAGCTTGTTTTGGCAGCACATGTACTAAAATTGGAACTATACAGAGAAGATTAGCATGGCTCCTGGAGAAGGGTGACACCCAAATATCTGTGAAGCTGCTCCATAAACAGAGAGAGAGAAAGGAAGGGGTGGAGGTACATGCAGCTAGCAGAGCAGGTTTTATAAGTCAGGCCAGTAGACAGATCCATCCTTACCACAGTTCTAGTTTTGCACTGAGTCCTGGAAAAGTTTTTATGGTTCTTGCTTGGTCACTTAACATAAAGATGTTTAGTCCAGTCATCCGATTAATCATTATCTCCATACTGGTTTACGGCGAATTCTGCAGGAGTTGTTATTTTTGTCCCTTGGTCTGTCCCTGATTGTAAAAGATGTTAGGTGCGGTGATCTGATTAATTATCTCAGTTCTAGTTTGGATAAGAGCTGTGGAGAAGTTGTTCTTGTTGTTGCTTGCATTACTTATCTTGATTCTGATTATGCAAGGAGTTTCAGAGAAGCCATAATTGAGCTGGAGGTGTGGCTCAAGTGGCAAAGCACGTGCTCAGCAAGTGTGGAACCCTGAACTTCAACCCCAGTACTGCCAAAAGTGTTGGAGAACTTACTATCACTGTTGCTTATACTAATTTTAGTCCCTTATCCTAAAGATGTTTACCCATCTGTCCTGACCTCTCAGGAACCCAAGGTACCTGCAGGAGGGAATAACTGCTGAGCAAAGGGAGGCAGATGCAAAACTGAAGGCAGGGGTTCTTGGCTCTTCTGCTTTCAGTTAACTGTGGACCCAATGAGGAGTCAGTGATTTTTAGCAAAAGGAGTTTTTAAGTACTCATTATAACACAATGGAAATTTGCAGATGCTACAAGTCAGCCTCCTAACCAGTCCAGAGAGGCAGTTTTAGATGTGTACCACACACCACTGTATACACACACACACAAAGGAAATTTTTAAAAATTGTTAAAAATGACTAAAAGTCTGCAAACCAAATCATGGAATTTACAGAACATTCTGGGAGAATGGATAAGTTAAAATCCTGGGTAAGATTACTACTCATTACACATATAAGACTCTTGTCTTTGCTCACAATTGTGATATTAGTACACTCTGTCTTAAGGAATTTTGAAAAGTTAATCAGCTGGGCACTACAAAGAAACCTTGAGACCACATTCTGTTACTTGTTTTTCTAACATGTGGCTTATATAAGATCAGTCAATCTTGATCCACTTTTATATCTATTCCCCTAAAACATCAGCTCTGTGCCAGAAATAATAAAATCTGGAGTGAAAATGTTCAGACTTGGTTACTACCTAGAATCCATTTTTTAACATTTTTATTAGTACATATTAGCTGTACAGAGAATTTTGTTTTTCTGTATATGCATACAATGTACCACAGTTTTTTTATCCACTCCATTATCTGCCTCTTCTCCCTTCGTAAAATGACTGACAGGCTTCAGTGTTCCATATTTATACATGTATAGAAAACACATTGACCGTATTCACCCTCCTTTACCTTCTTCATTTACCCCCCTACACCCACTAGGAACTCTTCCTTTTATCATGACCTGTTTTACATTCCTGTCCTTCAGTAAGTTTCTGTTCCTTCAGTGGGGAGTTGCCTTGGTATTTCACCTGTAAACATACTGTACTTTAATTAGTCTAACCCCTTGAAACCCATTTTTAATGTAAGTTGGACCAGGCTCAGGTCTCCTGGCACAGTTTCCAGTTTACCGCACCCAAACGGCCCAGCTTGTGCCAGAGATTAAAAACTTCAGGCATCTCTCCCCCTTGCAGGCCAGGCTCCCACTCTTCTTTAAACACACCATTCAAGCATTTGCCCTCTGACCCAAAGGGACCCACACCCTAGTCTACCACTGTATATATAAATTGCTAGTTGCTGCTCTCTTTACCTCTCACTACCCTCTTCGCTGTACTCAGGGCCTTCTGGGGACCTCCAGCATCTGTAAGTACCAAAAACTTTTACCAAACTTACCCCTCATGGTTGTATCATTGAAGCCAAGTCTGCAATCAGAGATCTAATGGTGAGGCCCAAACTTAGGTAAGTGGGTCTCCTGCTGGGGTATACTGGGGAGAGTAATTATGAGTTGAATTGATACAGAACTCCGAATTTTGCCCTAACAGGCACTATTGCAGGAATGAACCAATTGATACATATGTTATTAGTATTTTTTATATAAATGCCACATTGCATTTGTGAATCCCTTTACCCCTGCTGGTGACTGACAACAGCAACTCCAGCCTTCTCCACAATTAATTTTGTTGACATAATTGTGACTTTTTTCATCTGTCCCTTTCACAGAAGGGAGGAGCACTTAGTGGATAAAGCATACAGGGAGGTGGAAGTGTCTCATTGACAGGGTTCCTTCCTCTCAGCCAGTCTCCTCACAACTGTCACAAGGAATTGAGACATCTCCAAGCCCTTGCAAACATGAGGAACTTCAGAATTAGAACAGAGAAAGAACTGACCTGGGACCACAGCCATCTGTAGAAGCTACTGGTTTCCATAGCTCAGTGTGTCTGGTCACGCAGAACTCCCTGCCTAGTGCCTACCAAGGAGTGAGGTCTCCTGTGCCTCCAGGTTGGTGGTGTGCAGACTCAGGGTACAAGGGAGGAAAACAATATGCATGGGTTGAGCTTCAGGTGGGTAGTGTGCGCTAGACTGGCTCTCATCTGCTAGCTTAGCTTCAAGAAATGCCCATGTAACTGTGGATAATTTGAAGGAAACTATATCCTCTTAAGTTGAGGAGCAGGTGGCTGATTAACAAGAACGCACTTGGAACAAAACCAGGAAACCAAATGACCAATTCTTCCAAAAAGGCTTTCAACAAACTTGCCAAACCACTGAGTTCTCCTCTCCCTCCCACACTAGTTTTTTTTCTGGGTACTTGGATGTGATCCATGTTGTAGATCAGGTATCATTTGTACAGGGAATGGATGAACTGATCTTTCCTAAGAAACACTCATCTGGAATCTTCCTACAGAAGTTATACCTAGAACCATACTGTGTTCAAGACTTCTTCAACCTGCTGCAAACAGGAAAAGGCATGCAGCAGGGAAGGGCAGCATTGAAAATAAACTGAGTGGAGGAAGTTGGGAAGATGAGCTGTGAGCAGTCCCCCAAATCACTGCTGTCCAAGAAGAATAGAAGGTGAGTCATATGCATAGCTGAAATTTATCAATAGATAGATAGATGTACATAGATATATAATATGTATATATACCATATTGTGGCTAGATAGATAGTAGATGGATGGATAGATAGGTAGGTAGATGGAAGGTGGATGGATGGATAAAATAAGTATATATATATATATATATATATATATATATATATATATATATATATATATAGGCATGCACTCTACCACTTGCACCATGGCCCCAGCACATTTTTTTCCTTTAGCAATGTTTTTAGGTAGCATCTTCCGTTTTGCCCAGGGCCGGCATGGACCACAGTCCTCCTACCTACAGCCACTCACATAGCAGGAGCCACTGCCGAGCACCAGGATGTCCAGATGATTAGTTGAGATTGGGTCTCGCTGACTTTTTCCCTGACTAGCGTCAAACCACTGTCATCTAAATCCCCACTTCATGCCTGGGATTACAGGTGTGAGTCACTGTGCCAGGACATATAATCATATTTTAAAAAGTAAAACAAAACAGGTGCAATTAAGTTTTTATCCACTGAATTTTATATTGTAGCAAAACACAATATCATAAAATTTACCCATTCAACCATTTTAAAGTAAACAATTCAGGGTCATTTACACATTTACAGTGTGGTCCAACTGCCACCGGTATCTGTCTACTCCAGAACATTTTCATCATCCTGAAAGGAAGCACCACATCCATTAAGCCTCACTCCATTTTTCCCTCTCTCAGAACCTGGCACTTACTAAGGTGCTTCCTATCCCCATGGGTTTTCCTGTTGTGGATGTGTCATGTAAGTGGGATCATACAATGTGTGGTCTTTGTGTCATCTGTGTCACTTGGCTTTGTCTCTTTAAGGTTCAGTCACGCTGTGGCATGCATGAGAACCTTTTTCTTACTGGGTGGTATTTCATTACATGAGAGACATTTTGTTTATGCGTTTGTCACTTGATGGACATTGGGGTGTCTTTCAGTTTATAGGTATTATGAACAGCACCACTATGAACGTTAATGTACACATTTCTATTAAACACCTGCTTTCAGTCTCTTCACTGTATACCTGAGAGTGAGACAACTGTGTCATTTGATAATTCTAACATTTTTGTGAACCACTGAATGGTTTCCACCATGGTTGTACCATGTCATCAATATTTTCTTAACCGTTACTAATTGCACAAAATAAGATGTTGCAGTATGACATTCTCATACTTTTTTGTGTACTATGTGCTTCATTCATCTTTACCTCCCATCACTCTCCATTTTCTACCACTCATCCCTCTAAATACTTCCCCTTCTGCTTTCATGTCTTTTTTCAAATCCAGATTCCACATACATGAGGGAACATGCAATATGAGTCTTTAAGAGTCTCACTTCACTTAACATGATGATCTCCAGTTTCTTCCATTTTCCAGCAAATGACATAATTTATCATTCTTTATGGCTGAATCACATTTGATTGAGTATATAAATCACATTTTCTTCACCTGTTCATCCATTGATGGGCACCTCATCTGATTCTATGGCTTGGCTATTGTAACTAGTGCTGCATGGGTGTGTAGGCAACTCTGTAGCAAACAGACTGATTCCATCAGGTTTATACAGAGAAGTCCCTGCTGATAACCTCACTAGTATATCATACAGTCATCCCTCAGTAACTTTGGAGAATTCCTTCCAGGACTGTCACCAGCTCCCTCTGCACATACCAAAATCCTCCAATGCTCAGTTCCCTATATAAAATGGTGTAGCATTTCAATAAAACCTGTACAACCTCTCATGTATTTTAAATCATCTCTACAATACCTAGTAGAATGTCAGTTCTACCTAGTAGAATACAGTTGTTACACTCTATTGTTAAGGGAATAATGGCAAGAAAATGTCTACACATTTTTAGTACAGATGAAATTGTTTCATAATGTTTTTGATCTGAGTTTCATTACATTTGCCGATACGATCCTGTGGAGGGTGTGTGAGGGTTAGCAGTGTTCATATTCACTATATCCCAAATAATTTCAGAAGTCAGCACTATAAAAATTATTACTGAGCCAGGTGCCAGTAGCTCACACCTGTAATCCTAGCTTGCTGGGAGGCAAAGATTGGGAAGATCAAGGTTCCAGGCCAGCCCACCAAAAAATTCTGAGACCCCTCATCTCCAGAATTACCAGAGCAAAATGGACTGGAGGTGTGCCTCCTTTGCAAGTACAAAGGACTGAGTTCAAACCCAAGACCCACCAAAGAAACAAAATTATCACCGAAATATTGTTGATTTGTGTGCCTCTCACACACAGCACTTCTCCATCCCCATACACCATGTTTGTTCAATAATCACCCAGTGCTGGTGGCTCCTTTTTTAGACAGCACCACTCTATAAAACATAAATTCTATGTCTTATTCTTTCTCTCTCACTACAAATTTTCTGGAGTTTGTTGTTTCTGTTTTGTCTGGGAAAGCGATGGGGTTCACATCACTCCTGAGCTCCAGAAAGAAGAGAAGGAGGCTGTGGACAACCGCAAGACCCAGGTGGTGATGTCTCTGAATAAACTGGGCATCAAGGCTGATGAGGTAAGGTTGGAAGATGTTCCAGGGGGACTGGTGTTTGACCCCACTGTGCCCGGGGTCTGGGAGCACAGGATTAGCAGAGGAGAAGGGAAGAAATAGAAGGATACAGATCTGTACTGCTAGAGCATTCACACGGGAGGGACATTTCCCCTGCCCAAGGGGGAGCTTAGGCATCCATGTTGTTCCCAATACTGTCCCCCCTGACTCTGAACCTCCAACTGTCCTCTTTGCAACACTCAGGCACCAGTCCTTGCTGTTCTTGGCTCCGGCGGGGGTCTGAGGGCACACTTTGCCTGTCTTGGGGTCCTGATCGAGATGAAAAACCACAGCCTGTTGGATGTCATCACGTACCTTGCAGGGGTCTCAGGCTCCACTTGGTAAGTTGTGTGCTTCGGGAATGGAGGACAAGGGTTGTTTCAACACAATAATGAAAGAATTTTCTTCTTGACACCAAATGCATTTTTCCTTTTTCTAAATGATAGAAGATTAAAAATGTGCATTTTATGGGGTATACTGTGATATTTCAGTACCTGTGTACCTTGTGTATTGATCACTCACAAAACATAGATTATCCACCATTTCAAACATTTATCATTTCTTCTAGCTGTTTTGAATTATGCAATACAATATTGCTGATTATACTCACCCTGCATTTAATAGAACGGCATAACTTACTCCTCATTTCTCTGTGTTATGGGTGCCACACTAGAGTGTAAACTCAGGGCCTCCTGCTTGCTAGGCAGATGCTCTACCACATGAGCAACAGTCTAGCCCATATTTGCTTAAATTATTTTTTATATAGGGTTTGTGTTTTTGCCCTGAGGACAACCTTACTAACTGGGATGAAAGGTACATGACACAGATCTGGGGTTTTGCTACCTTTTTGCCTGGCCTTGCCTCAAACTGCAGTCCTCCTGATCTCTGCCTTTGAAGCAGCTTTGATTACAGGAGTATATCAATGTGCTTGGCCCCTCAGTGTGTGTGTATAATGCTAGGAATTAAACCTAGCATGATCTTTCTCATGCTAGGCAAGCATTCTACACTGAGCTCCCTAGCCAGGACCATATTCCTACCTATCTAGTTGTGATCTTGTACCTCTCCTCCCCTCAGTACCCTGCCTTCCCTTCTTCCTTCTGGTAACCCTATTCTGTCTTTCCTAACACCACTTCTCCAACTCTCCATCACTACTGTTGTCCCACAGTCAGTTCCCTTGTGACAGTGTTTACCAAAATTGAGCCACCAGGCTCACAAGTAAAGGTGGCTCAATCTCACAAGAATGGCTCCACTTGAAACACCAGTCAAAAAGTTCCTGGTCACCAGTACTTTTGAAAAACTGGTCATAAATTGGGGGTTCACAGAATCTTCTCCTAGGGTTTGAGAATTTCCTAGAACAGGTCACTGACCTCAAGGATGCACTTCCTTTACCTTTACAACAATTCAGGAACAGCCAAGTGCAAGAGATGCATACCACAGGGCTGAGATGGAGGTGGACCTTCTCTGAGCACCACCCCTATATCTCCATGTGTCCCCAGCACAGAAGGTCTCTGCACCTATCCTTTAGGGAATTTAATGGAGGTTTCATTACATAGCCACTATTGCATAAATCATTGGCCACTGGTAACCAAACACCATCTCTAGCCCCTCTTGCCTTTCCCTCCCCACAGTCTGGGAGTGAAGGTGAAAGTTCCAAGCTTTAGGCCAGGTTTTATACTTTCCTAAGACTTTCTAGCAGTCCTTCTGGCAGGAGTCACCTTATTAGAACCAAAGGTGTTCCTGCCACCCTTATTATCAGAAAACTCCCAGGAGATCTGTTCCAGGACCTGAGACAACCATCAGTATCTTTCTTGTGTCACAGAAGACCAGTGACAAAGCATGATAACTGCTTCCTGACTTTAAAGCTGTCTTTACAGGTTCAGGTACAGTATTCACATTTTAGGTGGGTGGACTTGTCACCCTTTATAAGAAAGTATTGCAATCAGCCTCTGTAGGACTTTCTCATTCAAAAGGTTCCAGATGGTAGTTCTCGGCATTCATGCCTGTGACCCTGCTTCCACACGAAGGACAGACATTGCTAATCAACCTTGACACATTTTCTGTGCAGAGATTAGGTGGACTGGTTTTTCAACTGGGTGTAGTGGATAAGGTTAGTGGCTAATGAGACAACAGGGTGAAGAGAAGCAATGCAGGACTTAGGAGTGACGCAGCCCCTGCATAGTAACACCTGGGCCCTATGTTCCCAAAGCTAACTTCTGAGTGACAGGGCATGAGGATTTGCAGAACTGCCTTAGTGCTCACCTCCAAGGGGTGCTGTGGAAACAGGAATCAAAAGACATCTTTCCTTCTATAGCTCCTTGGAGGTACACAGCACTGCAGCAAGTGATGAGGAAGGCAGGCCTTCCATCCAAAAGCTTTGATTCAATTCCCAGAGCTGTCCTTTGTGGGCTGTGAGAAGCACAGATGTCACCTCTATGTGCCTTGGTTTCCTCCCAAACAGGATAGCAGTACTAATCTTAGCAATTAGTAATATAATTTGGAGAGCTGGGACGAGGTTGGTTAACAGGTCCCAGGTCACATCCAGATAAGGAGAAATATGTCTGGTTGTCTTATTACACTCAGGGTGACTGCAATTAGTTATCTCTTAATAATTGCAGAGAGCAGTTGTGAGAATTAAATGATGCAACACATTGAAGAATTCAAACCAGCACTACGTTGGAATATTATGCCATAAGCTCAACTCCGGGGGTCCTCATATCAATTCCATGCAGCAGGGTCTCTCTGTGAAAAGAGGCAGAGTAAGCACTTCAGCCCATCTTATAGTACAGATGTGAGCTTTAGGTTTAAGTAGAGAGCAGATTTGAGGCAGGGATGAAAGGTCTGCATAATTATTAAACAGTCCTGGTCAAGGTTTAGACTGGTTGATCATTATCTCAGTCTTGGTTCGCTAGGAGTTCCAGAGAAGTTCCTGTCATCATGTAAGGGGAGCAATGCAGACAGAATACAGAAGGCTTTGTAGCATGGTGGGCGGTCTGTCCTGCAAAGGATTTGCTCTTCCTTTCTGTGGTAGCAGTTTCCTCCACCCCTCCTTATAGAGATGATATTGATAAGTCCTGGATTGCAAGGTGGAAGCAAGGTGAACAGCTCAGAGCCGAGACAGATACAAAATGGAAGCAGAGATACCAATCTTTTCTCCTGCCTTTAGTTGATATCTGGGCCTAAGTAAGGAGTCAGTGCTTTTCCACACAAGCAGTTTCTAAGTACCTGTTTCAAGAGCTATGTGATAGAAATATACATGTTAAAGTTTCTATTAGCCTCAACACCAGGGTTTTAGGGCAAAAGCCCTGGCTCTTGGAAACCTCACAGACTAGGCTGTACACCTGTTACCATGACAAGTAATGGTGAAGGGCAGAGAAAAGAGATTTCTTAGCTCTGCACAGGCACACAAAGGGAAGAGGGAATGTAAACACTTTAGCCCATCTGTGGGGTCAGATATGAGCTTAGGTTTCATTAGAGGAAGAATTTAGGCAGGGGAGAGAGGTGTACGTAATTAAGCAGCCTTGGTCAAAATTCATTCAGTGTTGATCATTATCTCAATTCTGGTCCTGCGAGGTCCTTATTGCCTTTGTTTAGGGGGAGCCTTGGTCCCTTGTCATAAAGATGTTTACTGAGCAGTCATGTCCTGTCATTCAGGATTCCAGGATGAGAGAAAGTTTAGGACGGTTAATACAGGCTTTCAGGCACCATTTGGGGTGATAAGACAGGTTATGTATCACTGATTTTAGACACACTCCTTGAATGATTAATATGCCTACGTGCAGAATTAAGTAGGAGTTTGACCCAAAGATTTAACACAAAGGAGACAGATGCAGGGGAGAGTGGTATATGTAATTAAGCAGCCTTGGTCAAAGTTCCTTCTATGTTGATCATTATCTCAGTTCTGGTCCTGCAAAATCCTTATTGCTGTCATTTAGGAGGAGCCTTGAGCTCTTGTCATACAGATTTACTGAGCAGTCCTGTCTTGTTATTCAGGATTCCAGGATGAGAGAAACACTTTAGCCCATCTGTGGGGTCAGATATGAGCTTAGGTTTCATTAGAGGAAGAATTTAGGCAGGGGAGAGAGGTGTACGTAATTAAGCAGCCTTGGTCAAAATTCATTCAGTGTTGATCATTATCTCAAATTCTGGTCCTGCGAGGTCCTTATTGCCTTTGTTTAGGGGAGCCTTGGTCCCCTTGTCATAAAATGTTTACTGAGCAGTCATGTCCTGTCATTCATGGGATTCCAGGATGAGAGAAAGTTTAGGACGGTTAATACAGGCTTTCAGGCACCATTGGGGTGATAAGACAGGTTATGTATCACTGATCTTTAGAGCACATCATGGGCTCCTTATGATTTAATATGCCTACGTGCAGAATTAAGTAGGAGTTTATGTACATACACCAAAGATTTAACACAAAGGAGACAGATGCAGGGGAGAGTGGTATATGTAATTTAAAGCAGCCTTTGGTCAAAGTTCCTTCTATGTTGATCATATCTCAGTTCTGGTCCTGCAAAATCCTTATTGCTGTCATTTAGGAGGAGCCTTGAGCTCTTGTCATACAGATTTACTGAGCAGTCCTGTCTTGTTATTCAGGATTCCAGGATGAGAGAAGGTTTAGGAAAGTTGCCAGAGGCTTTCAGGCACAGTTTTGGGGGAGGAGACAGGTTATGTATTGCTGATTTTAGACACACTCCCTAAATGATTAATACTCCTACATGCAGAATTAAGTAGGAGTCTGAGCCAAAGATTTAACACAAAGGAGACAGATGCAAAATGGACACAGGGATGCCAGGCTTTTCTCCTTTTTACTAAACTCATTGGCCCAAGTGAAAAAATACTTTTCAGCAAAGCAGTTTCTGCTTACTTGTTATAGCCTCATTAAAAAGTAAAAGGGAACAGTGACATTAGTTGTGATGTGTATTTTCTGCATAACTCATGTCTAAACTGTTAGTGTTTTGACACATAACCGATATGGACAGTATTAATGAGATATTTAATGTGCCTGTTGTCAGACTAAGTCTTTGAAAGCTGTGCACACTTTCCACACATAGCACCTTCTGGTTTGATGCTGAGGTCTCGCTGGATGTTAACATGAACTGCGCTTGCAAAAGGAATATGTTGTACCCAATAACCCAATGGTTCCAAAGTCTTCAAGGTTTCCCAGAAACTGAATGGAATACCTATGTTTAAATTTTTTTAAAGTTATTTAAAATTAAATAAAATTGAGAATTCATTTTTTGAGTCACAGTAATCACATTGCAAGTGTTGAAGTGCTGCACGTGGCCAGTGTTTATCTTATTGGACAGCACACGTAGACAGAGAGCCTTCAAAAGTGATAACGTGAGCATCACAAATATTTATTCAGTGAACACATGGATATGGAGTTTCCTTTATAGAAGTGGCAAGGTGTTCCTCTTTGAGACTCCACTACCTAGGCTTGTTCTCAATTCGTTGCTCTAACGCACTCTGTGGAAAATAAAATGTGAAGGTGATGGATTACCTGGAGAAAAGTCCAGTTTGGCTTTATGCTCCCTGTGTGATCTTGAGGAATTTGCTTTTAACCTCTCTATGTATCAGTGTTTTCTCCTGTGAATTGAGAATGACCTTGCCATTCCTTTTCTTGGTTGGTTATGACAATGACAAGACCATCACATGCAAACACTTGATAAATGTCAGTCTAGACAAATATGATTTGGCTCTCAAGAGTCAATTCTTTTATATTGCTCTCATTTTCCTGCTTGTAACATTGAAGTATCTTCCCAGTGAAATGCACAAGACCTGTATTGAGCTTTATCATTCTTCAGTCTTACTTATATCATGTAAATTAATAAAGTAATATAATATACAGGAAAGATGCAAGGGCAAGCCAGGTGCTGGTGCTGGAGCTCATGACTATAATCCTACCTACTTGGGAGGCTGAGATCAGGAGGATCACGGTTTGAGGCCAGAAAACTTCATGAGAAGTTGCAAACACTTCGTGAGACCTCATCAAACAATAGCTAGGCACAGTGGCATGCACTTGTCATCCCACACTACGAGGCAGAGTAAAGGGGGATTGTGCTTTGAGGCTAGCTAGACAAAAAGATTTGAGACTTTCTCAACAGTAAAAAAAAAGCTGGGCTTACTGGTGTGGGCCTGTCATCCCATCTACTATGGGAAACATAAAATAGGAAGATCATGGTCCAGATCAACCTGGGCAAAAAGTGAGGCCCTATGTCCAAAATAATCAGAGCAAAAATGGCTAGAGTCATAGCTTAAGCCATTGAGCACCTGCCTAACAAGTGTGAAGCCCTGAGTTCAAACACTTGTACTGCAAAAAAATTAAAATAAAGATTCAAGGGCATCCAAAGGCAGCAGGTAACTGTAGGAACTTTTTGCTCCCTCTCTCCTTTGCCACTTGATTTCTTGCATTTACCTCTCTGCTCTTGTGTCTCATCAGTCTTACTCCTGGCAGACTACTGGTTTCTGCTTTTCCTTGTACTTGGTGGGAAATGTTTCCCCAGCTCCAGAGTGTCACTGTGCTCACCTGTAGATATGCCAAATACTGGCCTTGTGCTCAGTTCATCTCAGGGCAGGCGCTACCTGGGTTCTACGGTTATGGACCAGTGTGATCTCAGCACAGGTGAAGTTCTCACAGAAGGAGGGTCATGATCACTGTGGGGTGGAAGTCCAAAATGAGTGCGTCCTCTATTGGATCCCTTCTGTTTATAACTGATAGATTGGGCTGAACAGTTGTTCCATTCTTAATTATTGGAGCAGAAAATTATATAAAGCCTGAACTATGGAAAAGAGAAAGAGACTGAAATTACTAGTGAGGGTAATAGGGTTTCTATCAGACTGTAACCTGGGGGAAATAGGTGTCTATCTGTGCTATATTTTCTTTCTCTCTGTCTCTCTCCCTTCTCCCCTCTCCTCTCTCTCTCCTCTTTTTCTTTCTCTTTGTGTTTGTTTTGTTTTGTTTGTAATGGAGAGTGGTCACTTTCACTTGTGGGATGACAAGTGCATGCCACTGTGCCTAGCTATTGTTTGATGAGGTCTCACGAAGTGTTTGCAACTTCTCATGAAGTTTTCTGGCCTCAAACCGTGATCCTCCTGATCTCAGCCTCCCAAGTAGGTAGGATTATAGTCATGAGCTCCAGCACCAGCACCTGGCTTGCCCTTGCATCTTTCCTGTATATTATATTACTTTACTTTTTGCGTAACAGAATCAGAATCTAACTATAGAACACTTGCTTGTTCTAGGCAAGTGCTCTACCACTTGAGTCATATTCCAGCTTTCATTGTTTAATTTGTTGTTTTTAAGCTTTATTGATGTATATTTGGCATGCTCATTGTGGAGTGAATATTTATATTTAATGTTTACATTTTGATGAATTTGGACATATGCATGTAGCTAGGCATCATCAGTACAAGAAGCTACTTAGCCTTTCACCTCCTTCAAAAGTTTCTTATTCTCTTTTTTTGTTTGTGTTCGGGGTATGTGGGGGTGGTGAATAGGACAGAAATGTCGTTCCAGTTCTAGGTGGACTGTGTGTTAAAGTCCCACCCAGTTAGTAAAGGCATAATGGTGCCCTTGCACCTACATCACTCTCAATCTTGGTACCTTCTCTCCAAAGTTCCAGGGCTCTCTTTTGTCCAGCATGAAGAAGCATGTGGAAAAAGGGACACTACCCTACCCAATATTTGCAGCCATTGATAATGACCTTCACCCTGGTTGGAAGGATCAAAAAACTCAAAGTAAGCCAAAATTTGGAGTGGGAGTTAGTGAAGAGTTAAAAGGCATTCAGTACAATGCAAGGATTTTTCACTGACCTTTCCTTTGGGAGCCTCGGGGCAAAGGGAGACTCCAGAAGTCACCAAAAAGTACATACTTTCTTTTTTGTCGATCAAGAAAGTTGAGACACAGGTGGTGACAAGCTAACCAATATCCAGTGTAAGCCTGTTTGAAATTGTCACAATGTTCCCCACTGTACAATGAATAAAGATGAAAAAACAATAAAGTAACACAGGATGTCTGGGGACCAAGGTGAGGGCAAGGAGCATCTCTCACATTTTTCTTTTTAAAAAAGTTTTATAAGTTTTTAATTATAGATTATTACTGTGAAGGGATTTCATATATTTTTTAGATGAACTTTGCACAACTTCATCCCTTCCATGTATTCCCACTCTCCTTTTTCATATGGTGTCTGCTGAGTTTCATTATTCTGTTTGGAATATATGCAGCACCTCTCGCCTTCTACACATAATCTTCCTCCATGGTTCCAACAACCATGCAAATACTGGTGACTTTCCAGATGTCTCCAATTGTCTTTTGATCCCTAGTCTCTCTCCTGAGACAGAAACCTGCTGACCCAATTTCCTGTGCATAAAACATACTGGTTTGTTCAACAAATATCCCTTGATTTTTCACTATTCATTAGACATCATTCAAGTGCTTATACATCCTCTGGCATTTCAATGCTTAGAAATCCACAGGGTTCACTCTTTCTCTCTCTCTTCCCAATATGGATCCCTATGTTGGTTTTCCACCAGAGTGGGAGAACTTGATCCCTGCCTTTCCATAAGCCCTCTAATCCAGTCCTTCCTGTAAATGCCTCTCCTCATTATCAACCATTATCCTCTTCACCAATCCAAGCCCACCTTTGACCTTGTGTCTTAGTCACAATTACTCTCGTAATTAGCTTCTCACTGGCTTCCCTGCCCCACACCATCACCTTCTTTCATGTCTGCTGGAAGGAAGTTTTCAGCACAAACTTCTAGTCATGTGATGTCCCTCCTTGCAACATTTCAGTGTCTCTCCAACACCCACTGAAAGCCCTCCATGCCATAATGGGTCTAAATACTTCTGCACCCCTCCCTTGCTCTGGAGTTTGAACTACAAAGAGATGGAGAAGAAAGATCGCAGTGAAGACTCAAGTTTGAGAAATATTGGATATAGGATGCTATGAAAATAGCGAACTGCCTCCAGCTGGATAAAAACTCTAAAGTTCTGGAGAGGAGTCTCCAAGTCATTTCTGAGATTGCACATACTATCTCTGATATTGTAGTGCCTTGGTTGTTATTTTCTTTTCCTGTGCTGATGACTTATCCTTGTATCCCCTTCCCAGAATCCTGGTTTGAGTTCACTCCCCACCATGCTGGGTATCCTGCACTCAAGTCTTACATCCCTATTACCCAGTTTGGAAGTCAATTTGAGAATGGAAGATTAGTCAAATCTGCGCTTGAGCGAGACCTTTCTTTCCTGAGAGGTCAGTGTGGGTCATACCGGATTCAGTGGGGATGAGAAGTAGAGAGGAGGCATGAGAGTCCCCTTTAGGGTCTGGCTCTCCCCAACTTCTGCATTGCTGGGAGGAAAAGGCCTTGCAGGGAGATTCCAGAGGATCCTTGCTGAGTCATTAGTGTCTCTCAGGGACCTCCTTAGTGTGTCACATACCTGATACCTTATCAAATGATACAACAGAGATGGTTTCATAAAGGGGCTTAAATCCAAGCTTGGACCCAGTAAGATTGTGAGTTACACGGGATCCCCCAAGCTAAGCCTCATCCCAGTGCCCAGCCTGTGATAGGAAGCTAAGGTTAGTTAATGTCCATCAATTCAACAAAGAGTTTTTGATATGCAGTGAATCTTGTGGAATTCTTTTTCCTAGTCAGAACAGGGCGAAGAGCACATTCTTCCTCCATCATTCTCATCCCCTAAAATGCCCGTCCATCTATCCAGGTTGAGTCCTTAGATGCCATCTCTGATCTTTTTTTTCCATACTCACCACAGCCAATCCAGCTGTAGTTCCTCTCCATCCCATCTCTAGGTTTCCACAACCCATCCACATCCCTCCATACCCACTACCAGCATCCACCCATATCTTATCAAATCATCCTACTCATCTCACCCACACATTTTCATCTGTCGCCAGCACCCTAGCTCCTCTGCAGATCCTCAGATGGCATGTTCTTTCTCTGCGTCTGTGATTTTGACTATTTTCAGTATCTCAGTGGAATCATACAGTCTTTGTCTTTACTCAGTGCAGTTAGTTTATAGCATTTAACATAGTGCCTTCAAGGTTCATCTGTGTTGTAACATATCCAATTTCCTTCCTCTTCAAGGTGAAATAATTGTCCACTAGATGGATGGGGCTCATTTTGTTTATTCATTCATCTGTCTCTGGATCTTACCTCCCATTTTTTATTTGCCATAATGGGGATTTGATCCCAGGGGCTCATGCTTGCTAGGTTGGTGCTCTACCACATGAGTCACACCTGCAGCCTTTTGCTCTTACTTTATTTTTCAGATAGGGTCTCATTCTCTTTGCCCAGGTCAGCCTCAGACCTTGCTCCTACTGCCTGTATCTCCCAAGAAGCAGGGATTGCAAATGTGCATTACAGCATCTTTTAGCTACTATGAATTAATGTCACCACTAAACAAGGGTGTACAGGGTCTCTTTGAGACACTGCTTGCAGTTCTTTTGGGTGTATGTGCAGAAGTGTAATTACTCCATCTCCTGGCAGTTTCTTTTAATTTTTTGGAAGATCGCCACACTATTTTCCACAGTGGCTGTATCATTTTACATTCCCACCAACAGTGTATTTGGATTACAGTTCACCCTTATACACACCAGCTCTGCCCTAGTCTTTTTTTAGTTTTTATAATAGTAACTATGCAGATGGCTGTGCATTCAGCCACTTGTTCACTATCTCTTCCTGTGTTGGACACAAATGTGCTTGGCTCAATGTCACCATCAGCCACAGTGACTTAAGCCAAAGTGACTCTAATTTTCTTAAAAAACACAAAGACAAAGATAAGCAGCTGATAACACTGGTTTAGCTTTGCAATAGTCAGCATTAAGACTCAATCTTATTCTGGATTTCTCCTTCTCTGACCCAAACACATTAATGATCACTGTCCTACTAAATTCCTCTTTATCACAGGATGGCTTCCCTCAGGAGACTGTGTTCACTTTTAGTCAGAGAGTAAGCATTTTCCACAAATGCCCCATTTTCTGCACTGGCCAGAGCTTGACCTCAGCCTCGCTGCACTGGAGACTGGGAAGTATCTGTCCTTCCTGCCTCCATGCTGACCAATGTCCATAAGGAATAGAGCTTGAGACGGTCCTGGGGTCACTAATCCACAATGTCCAGCTGGCTACATCCATAGAAGAGAATGTTCATGAGGACAGTGACCCTGTGTGGTTTGTCTACCGCTGTCTTCCATAACAATGCTTGGTGGCCAATAATTGCATTGTAAATATTTATTGAATGAACAACAATTTTCCTACTCAATGCAGAGGGACACAGTCATTATGTAAGTCATGGCTTTATACAAGTCATTTGATCGTTTAGTATACCACAAAAACAGTCTTACAATGGAGTTTTAAGTTGTATTTCTATTTTCTCTGCAGGATTATGGGGAAGTGCTGTAGCTAATACTGAAGAAAATAAGAAATTTATTTGGGGTGAGTATTTGGAGAACAGAGGACTCAAAGTATAACAATATCTCATACAGGAGGCTGAGCACACTTTTCCTATCTCTGGCAGAAGAGTGACCACTATGTCATGTCCTTGCAGCTCCATTTCCTCACATTGACATCATGTGTCCAGTCTTTACCAGGCGCAGCCACCATGGCTGCAGAGTGGCACAGAGTGCAGGCTGCCTTGGATGATTGTTACTCTGGCTGATGTGATCTTTGTGACCTGTGGGAAATTACTTCACCTCTCTGTGCCTCAATCTCTGCATCCATTAGAAAGGGGTGATAACAGTAGTAATTATGAGGATTTCATGAGTTAATTCCTCTAAAGCACCATGGACAGGACCTGATAGATAAAAGCACTGAGAAACATTGCCATTTGTTGTCTGTCCTACTGTGTAATCCTTGCAATGACCCCAAGAAATAGACACTATAATCGCCTGCATGTTGCTGGCATCCACTGAGTCATGTGAAGGCTGTGACTCATCTGCCCTCGTTGACCAGTGAGCACAGGTGCAAAGATCAATGGCAGAAGACTGTGGTGGTTCAGATGCAGCATTTGTGTCTGGATCCAAGTCCCGGCTCAAGCTCCTATGCATTGGCAACCCAGGCAAACTGGATAAATTCTCAGTGACCCTTGTCTCCCTCCACAAAGATGAATGCAATAGTCATCCCCATATCATGCATTGAATGTGAGGTTGCAATGACCTGATGTGTATAAGGTGCTTAGAGTGGAGCCTGGCACATAGTAATGTCTCATTAAATGCTAACATGATAACTATTATTATAATTATTATCATTAAGTGTTCTCACTCCATTCGTGACCTAACCATGTGCCAGGTGCTGCTCTAGGTCTTATGCTTTATTTATTTTTCTTCAGATAGAGTCTGAATGTAGCTCAGGCTGGCCTCAAATTATCATCCTCCTGTATCAGCTTCCTGAGTGCTGAGATTACAGGCAAATCCCACCATGCCTGGCTTAATGTTGTTCTTTCAAAGCTATGTTCACCTTATATTGGTTAATGACAGTTCTAAAATGTCTCTTTGTTTCTCTCCTTCCTCCCAATGGCTAAGGAAGGGAAATTGGTCTGAGTTTCACTTCTATAGTGGTTGTTTTCTCAGAAAGAAAAATCTTGCTTTGTACTGTTTGCCAGTTTCCATGGTATAAATGTTCCTGCCTGGACCAATTTTAACTTACTATTATGAGGTCACTGAAGGCAGGGTTGGAAGAGAGGTGCAAAATGAGCTGTGAAAACCAACACTGGCAGGCTCCAGCTCATTGTGGCCATTACTGTTAAAGAGATATCATTGAAAGAATCTGTATTTCCCTAGATATTTAACCCATAGCTTGGGACCATACTGTATAGATAAACATTCCCACACTCTGTTCTCTTACAGATGAGTTTTTGAGCCTGAAAGAAAAATTGTTAGGGAAACATCAGTTAACACAAGGTAAGCCTCCTGCTTTGAGGACACGATGGAGCATTCAAGTAAGCCTCCCCCCATCCTCAGAACTCCACATGCTGTGTGTCACCCTGGGAAATGCTATTATTACCTCACCTGCTCAGCTGGGAATTGCTGTGAACGTGGCCTCCAGGGCTCATGGGTTGGAAACTAATTCCTAATACATCATTTGGAGTTAGGGCCCAATAAGAGTGAAAGGTTAGGTTACCAGGATTCTGCTCTCATGAATGCTTTAATGTGATCATAGCAGTAGGTTAGTTATGCAAGGGTGGTTCTGTTATGAAAGCAATCTGGCTCCTTCTGCTTCTTGCCTTCTGCCTTCCACAATGGGATTATTCAAGAACAAGGCCCTTAAAAGATGCCAGCACCTTAATATTGGACTTGCCAGTCTCCAGATCTATGAGAATATGATTCCTTATGAATTACCCAGTCTATGGTATTCTGTTATAGCAGCACAAAGTACACTAAGACAGAAATCAAAGGGTTCATGGGCTCAACAAAGTGTCCAGGATCACACATGGCAGAACTGGAATCGAAACCAACACACTGCAGCCCTACCACCAACTTACATAGTCAGAAAATATATTCTAGGGATGTGGGTGATCCAACTGATGTTGGAGGTAGACAATAGGACCAGCCTGAGTCAACTGGAATATTGAGAAGAAAAATGTGTCCTAAGATTGTATGCTGTGGAAGTCAAGAAAGAGACTTGGTCCATGGATTAAGGATGAAAGAGAAAAAGGGCAAGGCAGAGAGTGGACAGTGAGAGAAGAGGTTGGACGATATTAGTCAGGCCATGAAATACTGTGGTTACAATAAAAATAAAGCACAAGTCACACTACTTGAGACACAAAGAGCCTGTGTTTTGATGATGCAAAACACAATTTGGATTGGTGACCCTCCTTAGTTCAATGCTGTTGTGTCTTGTCACTCCTCATCTCAAAACAAAGCTCCCTATGTTTGCTCAATTAGAGATCTAGAGAGCCACAAAGGGCCTTTTGTGGTAGGCTTGGAGTAGCATGCATCACCTCCACTAATCTTGTTGTCCGGGACCCATCACATGGCCCCTAGAGGAAGCTTACAGATGTTGTTGCCCTGTGTGCCTAGGAAGAAGCAAGCCAGTGAGCACAGAGCATACTTGCTCCACCCTAGGACAGCACCCCATCCCACCCTCATCGTAGTCACTTAGGCTTCCCTAACAAAGGACCATAGGCTGGGTGGCTTACAAAACACGAATTTGTATTTCAAATCTGGAGTCTGGAAGTCTAAGATCAGGATACTGGCAGGGTTGGGTTGTGAACAGGGCCCTATTCTGTAGCAGACTGCCAATTTCTAGTATCTATGGAGTTCCTTTGTAAGGCCACTCATCACATCCAAAGGACTCCACCCTGGTGACCCCCCAATTGCTCCACCTCCTAATGCAGTCCCACTGAAGGTTAGGATTTTAGTGTATGCATTTGCAGGGTACAGAAGCACTCAGTTCATTTCACTCACCCTCCCCTCTCTTCCCTCTCCCTCCCTCAGTGTGCTCTAGACATACTCCCTCTCCTTCATCTTCTTGCTTTTTCACTGTCTGTGCCTTAGGTGTAGAGGACCTTCTCCCTCAGAATTCCCAGTTATTAGGGGCTTTCCTCAGATTGTCACTTTCTCAGAGAGACCTCCCTGAGCAACCTCATGCTTGAAATATCATCCCTGTTACATTTCCTCTAAGATCTGTTTTTCTCCTTAATACTTATCATTTCCCAGCATGACAGTGTGTATTCATTTCCTTGTTTATTTCCTGCTTTACTCTCTGGAGCAAAGTCCTTAGGTTTCTCTCTTGAGGGTGTCCACAAGATGGAAACCATACCCTTTCTAACCCTTACAGTGTTTGCCTGTCTCATGCTCAGTCTCTCATGTGTATGGCAGAAGCTATGTGCCATGTGACAGTGCCTTGACTCTGATGGCTGGTCGGACATGCAGTCACATGTACTTGTGTTTTCCCCTTCTTGAATTGATTGATCATAGATGTAACCCACGCCAATGCAAACACTGTGGGATTCTGGGTAATCTTCAAGAGTAGGAAGAAGTCGTGGGAGGTTGAAGCAGGACATAGGTTCTGTACGCCAAGGGTTTTGTGTTGTTCCATCATTCCTGAAACCTGGAACAGTCCCTGGGCCGCAGCAGAAACGTGAAAGTTGATTACTGAACAAATGGATGGATGAGTCTAGTTAGCCCACTGCTTACACTGTGGGAAGAAAGACTTTATATCCTGATGTGGGCTTCAGGGTTTGTCTGTGTTCATGTTCACCATTTTTTTCTTTGTTTGTTTTGGGACAGGGTCTCACTATGTAGCCCAGGCTTACCTCAAACTCATAGTCCTCCTGCCTCAGCGTCCCCTCATATGTCCATCAACATTTTAAAAACATTCATTGAAGGCCAAGCATGATGGCTCATGCCTGTAATCGTAGCTTCTCAGGAGATGGATATCAGGAGGATCATACTTCAAGGACTGCCTGGGTAAAAATGATAGTAAGACCTCATCTCAACAAAAAAAGTTGTGCCTAGTGGCACACACCTGTCATCCCAGCTACACAGGTGGCATAATTATGATGATCACAAAAACGTTAGATCCCATCTAGAAAATAACCAAAGCAAAAAGGGTATGTATGGATCAAATGGTAGATTACCTGCCTAACAATTGTGAAGTCTGTCTGTGTGTGTTGTGTGTGTGTGTGTGTGTGTGTGTGTGTGTGTGTGTATGATAAAATATACAAATCAGTGGCTTTAAACATATTCACAGTACTGTGGACCCATCACCAATAGCCATACTCAGAACTTATTCTTCATCCCTAGCATTTAACTGGTATTCATTAAACAATAGCTCTCTCTTCCCCTGTCCACCAGCCTATGTGACTTGTGTTCCTCATTCTGTTTCTGTGAATTTGCCTATTGTAAGTGCTTCCTATGCCATGGATAAAATGCTATGTCTTCCCAAAATGTGTATGTTGAAAACTGAACCATGAGGGAGATGAAATACGTTAAGAGATGGAGGTCTATTGGAACTGACTAGGTAATGAGGGTGGGGTTTATCATCAGGATAAAAGGTCTTACAAACCAGGCCCCAGAGAGCCAGCTGGTCCCTTCTGCCATGTGAGGACATAGGGACACAGGTGCTACATGAACTATACTGGCAGACTCTCCCACACATCAAGCCTAATGACATGTCAGTGTTGGCCTTCCCTAGAACTGTGAGAAACAACTTTCTGTTGTTTATAAGCCATGCAGAAGTTGGTACTTTAATACAGAAGCCCAAACATACTAGGACTCTCTCTTAAGTGGAAGTGGACTGCTTTCACTAAACATGGTGTGCATTGTAGCCAGGCCTTTCCATGCTCTATGTAGTGTGTATCACTTGACGTGTATATCATCCTCGTGAAGCTATGGAATAGTATTCCATATTGTGCAGAAGAGCTGTACCATGTTTCTCTTCTCTTTTCATTGTTGATGGACATTTGGATTGTTTGTGTGTTTGGTTATTGTGAGTCGTGCTGTTATGAATGTTACTTACAGGATATTATTTTACAGTTATGGAAACTGAGGATCATAAGCAGATAAACAAGCCAATCATACTAAACCGCACATGTTAGAGAAGGGGAAAGAGTAGAAACCAAGCAGGTGTGAGGTCCCAGCCTTGTCTTAAGGGGCCCCGGAACAAAATTGTGACCCTTAGACTCTATCCTACCTGCAGCAAGGGAGCTGAGCTTCCATTCTGCTATACACACCAGTCACCAGCTGGGGTGAGCCTGGGAGAAAAGTCCACCCTAGGGAGCAACCCTTGTGGTGGAACCACTCCATGCATTGCAGGTGAAGCCTTTGCAAACAGAGCACAGGGAAGGTGGCCTGGGGATGCACAGATTGGGAACAGCTTACTAAAGGGACACAGGAGGGAAGAGAGTGATGGAATCCATGTATTTCATGGATGAGTATCTTGTGTCTGAGCAGGGATGATTGAAAAAGAGATAACAGTGGATGAAGCTCTCCTAGAATTGACGGTGGATTACATAAAAGATGAAAAGGACCCCAGTATCCAGAAGAAGCTCCAGGCCTTGCAGCAGGCACTGGATGCCGGGAGAGGTTTGTACACTAGGATGTGCTGGCAATTTACCCAATGATGATGGTGGCCCAGAGAGTGTGAGTTTAGCAGGTGGCTGAGACACAGGAAGGTGGGTAAGATGTGAAGGGAGTGAGGGCAGTCACACTTTCCTCCCACAGTGAAAGTGTCAGGCTTACAGTGGTCAGACTACAAATAAAAAAATGAAAGGAGGGCTGAGGGCATGGCTCAAATTATAGAGCACCTGAGTAGCAGGTCAGAGGTCCTGAGTTCAAACGCCAGCACCACCATACATAAGTAAATACATAAATACATGATTGAAAGGAATGGAAAGGAGGGAGGGAGGATGGAAGGGACAGAGGAAAGAAGGTGGTTTGGGCTGAGGCACTGGGAAGTAGAAGAGAGAGAAGAAACTTAACAGGGCCATCTTTCCCGCCACCCCAGTCTCTCACCATTCTCATCATTGAGGAACCTGCATGCTCATTTCCACAGTGGCTGTGCAATTTTATATTGCCTCCAGCATTGAATAACACTTACCCCCCCACACATCCTCATCAGTATCTTCACTGTGTTTGGTCCTCACACAGCCTGTGAAATAGTCACTTCTGATATCCCTCTTTTTCAGGTTATGGAACTAGGGCACAGAGAGGTTGAATAACATGTCCAAGGTCACACGGTTTATATATCTCAAATATGGCATTCAGCCAACCACTTTGATGTCCATGTACACAACGATAATGCTTAAAAGCCAAAAACATCCAGGTTTTATTATAAATTAACCAATGTATACAGTAGACCCTTGGGAACTGTGAGCAGATGGTCCAAAGAAGAACACCATTGAGGAAAAACCGCACATGCTTAGGATGCATACAGTTCAGTATTGTACTTCGGATGCTTGATTCCTTTTTCCCATATGCTGCCCAGCTTCCACTAAAGACAACAAATCTAAACTTTTCACTTATCACTTAATTTAACTGTGCCTTGGAAGCAGCATTTGTTTTTTTGAGAGGCATACTTTTACAATATTAAGAACACCATCATGCCAGCTTATCATCTCACTAAATTTTTGTCCTGGTTAGGATCAAACCACAATCCTTCCTATGTCCACCGCCAAGTATGAGGGATTTCAGATGTGAGCCACTGTGCCTGACTGATTTTTTATTATTTTGACTGCTTGATCAAAATCTCATGTGACAAATCCATGAATGAGGCTGGCGAATTGTATTTGTCTTAGGATATGGCATGAGATGGTTATATTTGGGGATGGCCTGTGCATGCTGGTTGCTTCAAGGTTTTCCATAAAGGGAAGAGTAGTGGTAAAGAGCATGGGATTGTATCCCAGCCCACTTCCCAGCTGTGTAGCCTCCAGCAAGTGACTTAAGTTCTCTGTGCTTCTGTTTTCCTCATCTGTGTAGTGAGAATAATCTTACCCTCCCCTTTGGAATATGGTAAATGTAGAGCAGAATTGCTGTGAAGTCCTCAAAAGTGGGCCTACATATAATGAGCACTCAGTAATTTTCAGCAGAATTGTCATCGAGATGAGAGAGAGCTAAGCACCCTGTCATTCATTGGTGAGCATGGATAGAAGGGAACCAGGGGAGTGCTCAGAACTGAACTTTGAGCAGTACCACTGTGTAAAGTCTGAAGAGAGGCAGAGGAGAGAGAATAAAGTAGAAGAAAACTAGGCAGTGTTGGGAACACCAACAGGCAAGGGACAGGGACAGCTTCCTCAGAAGCCGTGTCAGGATAGGAGGAGCTGCTGGGGTGTCAGGAAAGATGAGACAGAGTGGGCTGGGTGATGGTTCTTGGCAGATGGGAAGACCAGTCAGAAGTCAACATCTGAGTTTCTTGGAGTAGATGAGCATGGTGAGCCTGAATGCAGGAAAGTGGCCATGATGATCCAGAATTGGAGTAACGCCTCCCAGAAGGAGCAAGGCCTGATCCTGGAAACTCTGGTGTGTCACTTCACAGGGCAAGCAAGCACGATGGCCCTATCCACAGCTTTGAGTGTGTCCAAGTGTAAGTGCCATTGCCATTGACCTTCTCGCTTCCCTTACTCTCCCCACCCTCTGTAGGCCATCATGCACAGGGCACTTACCAAGGGTGACCATGTTTTCCATGTATGGCATTCTTCTTTCCAGGATGTCCTGAGCTGTTAATAAGGCATAAGCATGTGTTTGCAGGAGGTGGGGGTGTTCACTGAGGGACATGACAGAGCAAATCAACATCTAGACTAGTGTTTGATGAAGTAACTGGTTACCATGGCACACACAATACAAACCAGTGTATCAAAACACATGCTAAGGACACTCTCATTTATTCCTCATCAGTCTATATGCGATAGGTTTTCTGGTTGTACAGATGAGAACAGAGATGTGAAGTAACTGTTCAAGATTACACAGCTCATAATTGTCCAATTCAAGTCCATAGCCAGCCATAGCCTTTCCTCCCTAATTGATTTGCTTTCTTGCCACTCTGCCTATCATTGAGAGAAATGACCAGAGCTAGAAACCAGAGATGAAGAGACGACCTAAGGGGAGGGGAGGGCGCTGTGGTTCCAGGGTGGAGAAGTTGTATGAAGAACTAGTGGTGAGGCCAAAGGGAACAGAAACATGGAAAAGAAATTAGAACACAGAGTTGATTGGTCTTCGCCATAGTCCAATGTGACGGGTGAGGAAGGAACAGGATTCTGGGATAATGACTAGATTATTCCGAGAGTGACTTGGAGGCCACTTAGACTGAGGATGGGAACATGGAGAATAGGCCAGGAACAAGTTCTTGAAAATTCCAGGACTTGCAGAGAACAAGGTTGTTCCCCAGATAACCAAATGATCATATAGTCATACCCAAACCACCCAAAATGTCACTTACAGCCCAAGAACAGGAGCCTAATGTGGCAGCCAGGACCACCATCCCCCTGGATATTGCTTATGCCCAGCTCACTGTACTTCTCAGCTCAGGACGCCATGACAGAGTGTCTCATACTAGGCAGCCCAACAAGAGAGAAGGATTTTGTGTCCCAGATGCTGGAGTAGAAGGTCAAGGTTGGCTTCTCCTGATCCCTGTCTTCTTGGCCTGCAGATAGACACTGTGTGCTCCTGTCTTCCTTATCTATACAAACGCAAGTGCTACTGGATTAGGGTCCCATGCTCATGAGCTCATTTTCCTCCTTGAAAGCCCTGTGTCCACATGCAGTCATGCTGCATGTTAGGGGCTTCACAATTGGACTTTAGGGGATGGGGACACATTTCATCCCACAAGACTCACCTTGGCCTTGTCAATTTCTCCCTCTAGTAACAATCTCGGACATTTTAGCCTTTCTGGCTAAAACTGCAAAGTGCATTTGGAACTGGGAATGGGGGACCATTCACAACTTCCTGCATCAACACCATGGTGAGAAAGCTCCATTTTCTGTTTCTCTCACCCCCCAGAACTGCAGGGGTGGGGGTGGCAGCAAAGCTCCCACAGTTCTCATGGAAGAGCTCCCTTTAGGTGAAGGGTCCCAGTGAAAGATGTGTGGCCTCACTGGTATCAGTGGAAGGTACTGAGAAATACCCAACCCCTAAAAAAAGTGGATGGTTTTCTGTGGCTCACAAAACATCTTAATTCTTTATTGGCCAGTCTTTGGATCTCTTTCACATGAATTTTCTTTTCATTTGCTGACCCTCTTCATCTTGGTAGAAGTAGCCTCTAGAATATTCTAAGACCCTTTTGTAATCTCCATAAGCCTCTGGCTTCATAGCCAATGAACACCCCCTCCCAAAGCCATGCTGCTCCCTGTACATTTGAAATGTCCACAGTGTTTCAAGAGAAGACTACCATGGACATCTGTGTCCTTGTACAAATTGATAAAAGGTCCATGCCCCACTAAGGGGGAGTTCCAAATGTGCCCAAATTTGTTAGGACTGTCCATGGATTGAGAAGTTCTATTAGGCTGTTTTCAGTTGTTATAACAAAATACCCAAGGCTGGTTACTTTCCAAAAAAATAAGAGATCTATTTAACTCATAGTTTTAGAGTCTGAAAGTTTAAGATCAGGCCACCCCATCTGCCCAGCCTCTGCTGAGGGCTTCCCTGGATACATCATAACATTGCAGAGAGAAGAAAGGAAGCATTCATTAGCAGAAGGGACATAGTAGAGGGGTGACCTCACTTTATAGTAACTCAGCATCTCAGGAACTAATCCACTGTCCCTTCCCATGGAGGCCCATGATGTACCACCTTCCACAAGGCTCCACCTCTTAAAGGTTCCACCAGTACACAGGGCACCTAGCTTCCAGCACTTCACCATTTGGGGGACACACTCAAACCATATTCAAACCACAGTGCGCATACACATCAGTTATACCTCAGCCACCACTATCCTCTCTGTCTTACTTACTTCATTCAGGAAGCTATAGCTGTGTTTGCACACAAGCTGTTCATCCATCCATACTCTGATCTCAGTGTAGACTGGTAGGTGCAGGATCATTGGGTCTCTTCCTAGGCTCCAATGTTTGCATCACAGATGAGGATATGTGCAGCCGAAAACTCCTCCATCTGGTGGACGCCGGGCTTGCCATCAACAGTCCCTACCCACTTCTTCTGCCCCCTGCACGGGAAGTTCAGCTCATCCTCTCCTTTGACTTCAGCGATGGGGACCCTTTTGAGGTAACTGAGAAGGGCCTTGGGGAGGGGGTGGGACTGGGTGGAGGTAGAGCTTCATGAGAAAGAACTCAAAACACTGCTAGGAAGTGGGCAATGGAGAGGTGCTGGCTGGTGGCCCAGAAAGCAAAGCCTTTGACTCTCAGTCTTGAATTGTGCACAGTCTGTCAATGTCTAACACACTTCTGACCTAAATTCATCCGGGACCATCCAGGACCACCTTCTGGATTCTGCTTCCCCACCCAGACCACTTTGGCTTTGCCAGGTTAGCTCTTTGCCTGTGTGGTGCCTTCTCCCCATGTGCACATCTTGAGCCATGAGGCTGCTTTTTCCTACTCACCTTGGCCTCCTGAGATCTGGTGCATAGAGGGAGGGAGAGTAAACACAGAACATGAATTATGTTCATAGCTGGCACCTTCAGGAAACAATAGCTATTTTTCTCAACTGCTCTGATCAGTTGTAACCAAGTTCACAGCCTGCTGTGCCATTTACCAGCAATTCATTTCACTTCTGTTCATGTTGATTTTCTCAACTCTAAAAATGTAGCTCAAGCTAGATATAGAGGTTCAAGCCTATAATCATAGCTACCCAGGTTAGAGTTTGTGAAAATCATGGTTCAAGGCCCCTTGGCATAAAAGTTCATGAAACTGATTTCAACCAATGGCTGGGCATTGTGGTCCTCAGCTGTGATCCCAGCTGTGCAGGAAGTGTAAATAAGAAGATCACCGTCCAGGCTTGCCTCTGAATAAAGCACGACCATATTTCAAAAATAACCAAAAACACCAAGGTTTAGCGGTATGGTTCAAATGGTAGAGCATCTCCTCAGAAGTGCAAGACCCTGAGTTCAAACCCCAGTACTGCCAAAAACATTAATAAATGAATAAAGTAGTTCAAACTAGCTCATCCAGGAGTTGTTATGGATCACATTAAAGGTCGTTAATGCTTATAAAGTACTCAGCACAGTACTGCCACTTAGCATGGAGTTTATAAATAGTATCTTTAAAAACATACACAAGTGTATAATGGATGACTCTGATCATGCTTATCTTAACAACCAGACATGTTCTGAGATAGGCATTTTTTATAATTAGTAAGAAAATGTTAATGTTCTTTTTTATTGGTACATCATGGACTAGATATATAGAGAGAGACTCAAAAGAAAATACAGAATATTCTGGTCAGTTAGGACAGCTAAATATAAACTAATTGTCAGTATCAGTGTGGGGAAAATGAGAACACCCAGACTCCATTTGCAGTACACTACAATGGTGTAATTTGGGGGGAATTTCTCTTAGTTTATATTTTAAATTTTTGTTATGGAAATTTCAAAACCACATAAAAGTTAAGAGAATATCAGGAAGCTTCTATGTAACCATTAGCCAGTTTCCAAAATCAGAATCTTACAGCCAATCTCATTTCCTATACACCGCATGCAATAACTTGCATCCCCAATTATTTTGAAAAAATCTCATATGATTTCAGTTACAAATATTTTAGTATTATATCCAAAAGTTAAGCATTCCTTTGAAGTATTATTACAATACCATTATCACATCTAAAATTCTAACACTAGTGAGAAATGCATTGCAATGTGATTCCAGCATTGCACCAGCATTATAGAGTGTCCTTACACGTGACCCTGGACAGTCCAGGTTAATCACTGCTGCTGGCATAACATGGCAGACTGTTTTACAGTACACCTTGTGTAAGTAGAAGTACACACCAAATGCAAAGGAAAAACATAGTTGAATACCTAAACTCATGGTTTAGGTATTTACTGTACCTAAGCCAATAATATAATCATTTACTCTCTTTATCAACTCTTGCACACTGTACTTAATTGTGTGTGCTTTTTTGTTGTTGGTGGTGTTTTTTTGCAGTACTGGGGTTTGAACTTGGTCTTGTGCTTGCTAGGCAGGCACTCTACCACTTGTGCCACGACTGTAGCCCTTTTTGTTTCAGTTTTTTTTTTTAGATACCTTGTCATGTTTTTGCCTGTGTCTGACCTTATACCTTGATCCTCCTACCTATACCTCCCACATAACTGGAAGACAGGTTTGAACTGTCCCACCACATCCTGCTTTTTTTGTTCAGAGGGGATCTCAGTAACATTTGCCCACACCAGCCTCAAATGGCAATCCTCCTGATCTCCATCTCCTGAGTAGCTGGGATTAAGGTGAGAGCCACTAACCTGGGTCTTGCATTCACTATTCGTTTGTACAACTGGTAGACCAGCAGATTCACTTACACCAGCATCACTACAAACATGTGCTTCATTCATTGCACTAAAACATGGTGACAGCTATGATATCATTAGGCAATAGGTATTTTTCACTTCTATTATAATCTTATGTGATCACTTGTCATATATGCAGTCTTTTATTAACCAAACCAGTAACTTTACCTTTAATATCTGTAAAGTACTTAGCACAGCAACTGCCACTTAGAAAAGTTTCTATATATTTTCTTTAGACATCTGCACACATACGTAATATTCAATTGTATGTATTATCTAATTACATACCAATATGTAATATATATACAATGATCATGATAAAGCATATCTCTTACATTTTTGTGTGATATAATGTGGATTTATATGCACACACATATAAGCAGACATTTATGATATGATATGAGATATCCACCCTTATATTCATTACCGTTGATCACCTACTGCTTGTCTCCCATGTCTTCCTGCTTCTTCAGACCTTGAATACTCAGGTTTTCTGGTTCTAGGATTTCTGCTGAAGTGAAGATTCCAAGACAGTGTGACAAAGGGAGTCACAATCTTTCCCATGTGACCGTGAGCAATAAGTTTGACCTCTGGGCCTCAGATTTCTCATCCTCAAAATAGGCGTACCATCATCAGAACCTACAGATGCTTTTTTAGTGCCTGGTCCATAGTTGGTGTTCAGTAATGGTGATTATGCTTTTCAGGGTGATGATAATAAAAATAGTGGCATTTATTAAGGTGAAAGGTTAGAGAAGATGACATAGACCTGTGCTGTCCAGTACATATGGCAGATAGCCACAGGTGACATGTGAGCATTTAAAATGTGCCCAGGCCATGTTGGCATGTGCTGTGAGTGTAAAGCATACCCAGATTTTAAAGAGTAGATAAAGAATATAACAAAGCTCATTCATCTTTTTTATTTTGATCATCCATACATTTGATATTTTCAGGTAACTGAAATTTATTTGTTATTACTGTCTTTCTGACAATCCTGGGGATTGAATTTAGGGCCTTGAGTTTGGTATGCAGGCTGTCTAACACTTAGGCCATGTCTCCAGTTCTTTTATTTTTTGCTTTAGCTGTTTTTCAGATAGGATCTTGCCTTTTTTTCTTTCTTTTTTTTTTTTTTTGCAGTATTGAAGTTTGAACTTGGTCTACACCTTCAACCATTCCACCGACCCTTTTATATGATGGGTTTTTTGAAATAGGGTCTCACAAACTGTTTGCCTAGGCTGGCTTCAAACCACGATCCTCCTGATCTCTGCCTCCTGAGTAGCTAGAATTACAAGCATTTGCCACTGGTGCCTGGCAGAATCTCCCATTTTTGCCTGGGGCTGCTCTTGAACTGCAGTCCTCCTACCTGTGCCTCAACAAGTATCTGGGATGATTGGATGGCAGATATGAGCCACTACCCTCAGCTTGTTCTTTGTGATAGGCTCTCATTAATTATTTTACCAGACTGGTCTTCAATCAAGATCATGTCCACACTGACCCATAGTCTGCGGTGTGTTTGTGCCCTATGCTGCAGGCTTGAGTGTGTCTTCAGGACAGTTACTCAGACAGGACCCCTTTTCCTTCTTTGCAGACTGTCAGAGCCACAGCTGACTACTGCCACCACCATAAAATCCCCTTTCCCCTGGTGAAAGAGGCTGATCTAAAGGAGTGGGCTGAAGCCCCTACCAGCTGCTACATCCTGAAAGGGGAAAGTGGACCCGTGGTGATGCATTTCCCCCTGTTTAACAAAGACAACTGTGGAGGTAGGTCCATGAGGAACTGCTGGATACAGGCTCACAGGGACAGACCAGACAGGTAGGCTGTGGTACTCACAGGGATGCCTGGTCTACCATCCAACATGTGAAGGGCTAGAGAGAGTAAGCAGAAAGGCTTTGTCCTGTCCACTCTCTTGACTCCTGAGGGGGATGTCATGCTTTCTGTCTCAATCTTGGATGTTTCTGTCTGTCTTTGGGGACATTCTTGTCCTAGCTGAATAGCTGGCCCTTCAACCTGGGTACCCCCACATTCAACATGCAGTCCCAGGTGAGGAGCCACCATCCATGATGGCTGGTCCTCCATTGACCAATGTAGCATTTCACACAGACTCTGTGGACATCTTGCCTTCTCCACCATGCCTCCCAAGTGAGATTCCCACTGTGGGATAAAGCTTTCATTTAACAAACATTCATTGGTTATCTTCTCTGCATAAGCCATTATTGCTGGCAATACAGGCTAACATAGAAAAGAAAACAAATTCTTCATGTGGAGCTTCATGCAGGGTGAAGACATAGATAATAGAACAATGTATATTCATAAAGTAATGTACCAATTAATCTTTATTTGTAAAGCCAAATGATAAAGTATAGAAATCATTTACCAACCCCTGTTGCAAACAGACAAAATCAGAATTAATTGTCCAGACTTAAGGTACATTTTCTATTTTGATTCTACTTCAGATGACATTAATACTTGGAGAGACAAATATGGCACATTCAAACTATCGGACACCTACTCTGTACAGCTGGTGAAGGATCTCCTGGAGAAGTCCAAGGAGAACGTCAGGAAAAACAAGGAGAAGATCATCCGTACAATAAAGGAGGTGGTTGGGTAGGTATGAGAACTTGGCCGCTCTGACCTCAGTAACACTTCACTCTGCTGGAGCGCTGTGGTTGCTCTTACTCGGTGTTCACTCCCCTGGAGAACTTGCTTTCATTTGACAATTTCTCCCACAGTATTGGGGATTGAGTCCAAACCTCACACACTCTACCCCCTGAGGCACAGCCCAGTCATTTTGATTTTAATTTGTTCTTCACATTGGTTCTCACACTATTGCCTGGGAGGGTTTAGACACAATCCTCCTTCTGCCTCCCCAGTAGCTGAGATTACAGACTTCAGCCACCACACCCGGCCTTCTGTTCAACTTTCTGAGGACCAGTAATGAGGGCCACAGGAGTTAAAAGAGACAGGGCTGCATGTGTAGCTCAGTGGTTGAGCACTTGCCTGGCATGCACAAGGCCCTGGACTCAATCTCCAGCACTGTAAAGAAAAGACAGAAAGTATGAATGATTCTCCTGTGAAGTATGAAGCAGACTAGGGTAGTTTCCAGGGGTGCTGTAACAAAGTCTCACACTCAGGACAGCATAAACACAGGAATTTCTTGTCTCACAGTTCTGGAGGCTGGAATTGCAAGGCAAGGTGTGGGAAGGGTTGGTTCCTCCTGAGGTCCCTGAGAGATGATGGGCTTCTGGCCCAGCTCCTTGACTTGTAGGTGGCCACCTTCTCTTTGTGTCTTTTTGTGTTGACTTCGTCTGTGCATTTTTCTGTGGCTAAATTTCCTTTTTTTTAATACGGAGTCCAGTACATGGGTGTATAGCCCACTCCAATGAACTCATCTTATTTGATTTCCTTCTAAACACCCTGTCTCCAGATGAGGTCACACGCTAAGGTACCGAGGGTTCTTAACCACGTAACAAGTTGACTTGGGGCCAGTAATAAAGGCTGAGCAGAGAGAGCCAGGTTGGGCCTTGGGCTAAGGTTCCTCTTTGACCTTGGTTTTTGCATCTCTGAATGGGAGAAGTGCTGGCAGTGCTTCTCCCTCTGGTGTTGATAGATAAAGTTCAATGGACACAAAGAATCAGCTGGTTCTTAGCATTTTCTAGCATCCCTTCTCAAGATGTGATGATGCTCACTTGAGTTATTCATAGCTATTATACAAAACATTTTTTTAAAAGGACTAGGAACCCTGGTGGTGCATACCTATAACCCTAGCACTGGGATGGTAAGGTGGAGCTTTGAGATTTGAGACCAGCCCTTGCCACATACAAGATCCTGTCACAAGAACAATAATAACAAAACAACAATAAATTTGCCTAGTTCACCTTGCAAGTCAAAACACTGACTTCTGATATATCGAGTAGGAAAGGGAATTGGTTAGAAGGTATGGTTATCTCATAGAAACCTGGGCCACTGGGCCTCATGGGCCCTGCAAATTGGATCTCAGGAACACTGAATTACAATTAAATAGTTTTCTTTGATGCAAGACTCTTCAAGCCAGGCATGGTGGTACAAATATAATACCAGCTACTTGGGAGATGGAGGCCAGCCCAATCAAAGGTAGCTTGACCCTGTCTCAGAAACAACATGTAGTCCAGGCATGGTGACTTACATCTGTAATCCCAGCTACACGAGAGGCAGAGATCAAGAGGATTGTGGTTCAAGGCCAGCCAGGGCAAAAATTAGAAACATATCATCTCAACAAATAAGCCGTGTAGTGGCATGTGCCTGTGATTCCAACTACACTGGAAGGCATAAAGAGGATTGTAGTCCAGAATAGCCCTAGGCAAAAACATAAGTCTCAATCTCAAAATAACCAAAGCAAGAGAGCTGGAGTATGAAAGAGTGCTTGCCTAGCAAGCATGAGTTTTTGAGTTCAATTACTAGTATCACAAAAGGAAAAAAAGGATCCCTTGTAAACTTCCTTCTCCTCTTTCTCTCCCCAGGTCCTGCCCCGAGACATCCTAACACCTCTGTCATCCATAACTGTCTCAATAAACCAGCTCCTAATTCAGAGACAAGCTTTGAATCTCAGACTCAGCAGATCAGATATGCCCTGTCTAAACCTTTGTGTCCTACTCTGTAAAGACATCACAACAGGTGTTATGTATAATTAATTAAAGTAAGTCCATAATGATCTTTCCTTCTGAGGTCCTCTTTTTTTCTCTAGGACCCTGTGGTTCCACCTCCTTGGGGAGTTGCTCTTGGTCTGACAGTGGGACACAGATCATATCCTGAGAATTCTGGTAGGTATCATGACATTTAAAAGAGACTGAAGAATTAGATCCTAGCCTAGATCTGGGAGCATGGGCTTAGAATTCAGTGTTAGATAAACAAACATTTACATATCTAACATAGACTATAGGAGCTCACAGTAGGTGGTGGAGCTGGGATTAAATCTAGGCAATGTCAGTGAGTGAGTGACTGTCTCTCTCCCAAGTTTTGCATGATCTGTAGGCACTTCTTTTCTTCTAGTCTTGTTCAAAGTGCAGTGCTGCCTGTAACAGACAATGGGGACCTCTAACTCCCTTCTCCTAGGATCTACTGTGGGAGTGGCCATGCCCAAGTGCCCCGCCATGTGTGCTTCCCTCACAGTCCTCCATCAGCTGCTCCTGTGTGACAAGGAGCTGCTTCCAGGGCAGCAGCAGACTTCTGGTCAACCAGGGCCCAGCTGTCCACCTGCCCTCCTGTTCTCCACTCCCTTCAGCTATTCCTTCCATACCATCCAATTGGGTTGACCATACTTACTGAGCCCATTTCCAATGACCACCTAACACACATCTTTGACAGCATCATTCACAATGAGTCCCAGAGCTATAGGTACTGAAGTATGTTCTACAATCCCTCAAGAGACCTTAGAAATAAAGCACAGTTCTCAGACCATCAGTGCCACTATGTCCAATGTCCACATGTCCAAAAAGAATGCAGTGGTTGAGACCCAAGCCACTTAATTTATGTCTGTCTCCTGGAACCCTAAGGCATGCCTTTCCACCCTCCATGAAGATGGTTTCATTTCCCACTGTTCTTTTGCACCTGCCTTATGTGAGTTACCATCTACCCCTCATTGCTTCCCTTCTGTCTTCTTCAGGGATCACCTTCCTTGGCCACCTTATCTACTCCCCCCTTTCCCTCCTCCCTGCTTCCCTGCCTCCTTTCCTGTCTACCCCTTCCACCTATAACTCAGTGGTTCAGACTCAGGGATCCACAGCTGTGCTTGACTCCTGATCCTCCTACACATTCACCATAAAAGCATAGGCAAGTTTCTTTGCCTCTGAACACAGTTTCTTCACCTCTGAACCCAGTTTCTTGATGACAGGATAGGTAATCTTGGTGCTGGTATCCTAGAGAAACTTAATAAGAGTTACCAAGTTCCAAAGTCTTAGAACAGCATCTGGCATAGACTGAGTGTTCAACAGACATTAATTTCGTTTTTAAGTTTATTTTTTGGTGCTGGTGATGGAACCCAGGGCCTGGCAGATGCTTAGCAAGTGCTGTTCCACTGAGATACATCCCCAGCACTTTTTGAAAAAATGACTTTCCAAAATTAAAGATTTGATAAGAGTTGAATTGTGTCTCCCCAAAATATGTTCATATCATAATCACCAGTACTAGTGAATGTGATGTTATTTGATAATAAGAACTTTAGAGATGTGAGGATATCAAAATGAAATCATTAAGTTGGATGTTAATCCACTATGACTGGTGCACGACAGAAAGTGGAGATTTGGACATGGAGATAGACACACAGGTAGAAGGCCATGGGAGTGCAAAGCCAAGGTTGCATGGCTGTTCCTATAAGCCAAGGAATACCAGGGACTGACAGCATTTACCAGTTGTCCAGTAAAGACCTTTGTAGCAAAACCAACTGCTCAAAATTCTGTTTCACTGGGTCATCTCACTTAGTCTCCCCCAACTCCAGTGGTTCCTCAGTCTTACCTTGACTCTCATGACTTTGATTGACTTGAAGCTTGAGGAACACTTATTTTGTAAACCATCCCTCCATCTGGGCTTGTCTGATGTCTTCCCATGATTAGATTCAGGAAGACCATAAGATCAATGCTGTCTTCAGTTGAACCAATTACTGGTGATGCCATTTCGATTATCTGACTATGTTATCTCCACTATGAATTGGTTCCCTTGGGACTAGTATTTTGTTTTTAACTTTTCACTTATCTTTTAATTTTTATTTATGTGGACTGCTGGTTCCCATGTTATACTGTATCATTTGTTGCTGTCATCATTTATTTGTACTTTTCAACTTGCCAATTGTCGCCATTGAATTTCTTTGAGCTGAGTCTGTGTTCTTTCTGCATGTCCATGACTCTGAGCTATCCCTCGCTTTATAGCACAAGATGTCTCAGGCTCCCCTTGTCTATTTCCTGCTCCATACCTGAGTCAGTTATTGTATGAGAAGTCTTGGTTCCTTTTAGTGGAGAATAGTATTGAGGAATCAAGATCTAGATGCTAGCTGAGACTGTCATCCCAGCTTCTAAGGAGGCAGAGGCAGGAGGATAATGAGTTCAAATCCAACCTGTGTAAAGTTAGTGAAACTCTGTCTCTAAAATAAAAAATAATAAAAAGAAAAAAGAAATGAAAAGGAATGGGATATAGCTCAAATGGTAGAGGTCTTGGCTACCAAGTATGAAACTCTGGGTTCAATCCTCAATACCTCACAAAAATCCAGAGGAGATCAGTTATATTAAGATGAACTTCTCTGTCCTCTGAGTGGAGAGTATGCACAAATTCCCTGTGTACACCAAGACTATGTTTATTTTTATCTCTCCTTCTCCATACTGAAATCCATGATTGTATATACCAATATCTCCAGTTCCATCCAACACTACAGGGCTCTTTCTGCTTGTCCTCCTTTCTATATTAGAGACTACCTTTTCCAGCAGCAGGAGACCTGGGTCCTATTATTCTTAATAGCATTCCCAAGTGTAACCAATCTCTCTTCTCTGTTGCCTTCCCACCCCTGTGGGGATGCCTTTCTCATCCTAATCTGGTTTCAACCCCTGTACCACGCAGCCTCCATGAGTAGATATCCTTCACATTCTGCTGGGTTATGACATCCCCACATGTGAACTCCTTCTTGGCACTCTTAAATACAACCCCCTACCCTGGACCTTGCCTGCTCATGGACACTGACCTCACTCATGTTGTGTTCCAGCACTCCATGCCAAGCTGGTCTTCCATGGGTTATCAACACCTTCTCAGGCCCCATGTATTAGTCTCTTTTCCATTGCTACAACAGAGTGCCTGAGACTGGGTACTAAATAAAGAAAACATGTTTATATAGCTCACAGTTTTGGGGACTCGTGGGCCTGGCATTGCCCTTGGCTGGCTTTGGTGAGGACCTCCTTGGCTACATCCCATGGTGGATGGGATCATGGTGGGAACACATGCAGAGAGATTACATGGTGAGACAGGAACCCATGACCTGGGAAGGCATCAGGCTAACTCTTATGACAATTCACTTTCTCAGAAACTAACTGGGGGGTCCCATCAGGACTACGTTAATCCCTTCCTATGACAGCATCCCTGATGACGCCCTACTGTAATCCACCTGATACTGAGATGCAAGCTTCCAATACAAGAATCCTGGGTGGAGGAACACTCAAACTACATGCAGACCATATCACCCTCTCGGCCATGCTATCTTTCTATCTATGGGAACTCTTTCACCCCACTTCTCTAAGGGAACCCTGCCCCTCCCCCTACCATATGATTGCCTTCATTACCCCTTTAGGCTCTGATACCACTATGACTTCTCACCCTGCTCACTTCTCCCACCTCCATTTTTCCCTGAATTATTCAGGAAGAACAAAGGGAAGATATGAGCAGAAGAAGAGAATCCCCCACTCACTACCCGAAGCCCTGTGTCAGGAAGCTCTCATTTTTCTTTTTTGGCAGCATGTACTGAAATTTGAGCTCAGGGCCTCCCACTTGCTAGGCAGGCACCATAACATCTGAGCCACACTTCCAGTCCTTTTTGCTTTAGGTATTTTTTGGATAGGCTCTCATGTTGGACCTTGATCCTCCTATGTGCACTTCACTTATAGCTGAGATGACAGGTACATACCACCAAACCCATCTTATTGAGATGGAATCTCTTGATTTCTTTTCTGGACTATCCTTGACTGTGATCCTCCTGTTAACCTACATCCTAAGAAGATACAGTCCTGAGCCATCATGCCTGGCCTTACCAGGCAGTTCTTACATCCTGCTCATTTGCATAAATTACTGACTTGTTAGAAAACTTTTGAGTTAAGAAGCCATGTCCATTCCATGTTTCATTACCAGGCTTGACTGAACACTCAAAATGCTCTTTGGAACATGATATGAATGGAAACTTGCTCTCTCTGCTCGAATTCCCATCTCAAACCTTTCCAGTTCCATTCTGGGGATAAAAGAGTCTCAGCCCTAGACCGGATCATTCCTCCCATCTCACTCCAGCCAGCTGGTGGAAGCAGGAGCAGCTCTGATCCCTCCCTGCCCTGGGGAGAGATTTCCCACCCAGCTTTCACAGCTGTATGACGCAGGAACTGAGGGAGAGGCCAAGAGGGGCAGGAAGAGTTGGTAAAGGATTGAGAGCATCAGGAGACTGGGCCACCTTCAGACAGCAAGATGGAGGGGCTGTTTTGACACCAGGGTACCTGGGCTGTACCTGCCCTCCATGCAGTTTTCCATAGGCCCTCCATGCATCTTCCTGAATAAGGGCGACACTGAGAAGCAAAGATGAGGTGAGAACGATGCTGTGTAGGGTGAGGGGAGCTGCAACATAGGGAAAAGGAGGGGGCATGCTGGTGCAAGGGAAAAGGGGAATGAGTGCAGGAAACATGAACTGAGAAGGCAGAAGAGCCCAGGGAACATGGAGGGTGCTGAGGGCCAACAAGATACCTAGGGGGAAGTGAAATCAGAAGTCATGAGCAAAGGAGAGATAGTGAGAAGCAGGACAACAATCAAAGGGGAACTGGAATGGTCTCACTATTGAGATAATTCTTTCATGTGGACCATCAAAGTGGAGATGATGATAACAACACCTGCTATTCACTAAGTCTTGCCCAGACCTGTGCAAAGGGCTTTACATGTCTAATGCCATTTAATCTGTAGAACAACTTGTGAGTTTCATTCCCATTTCATCAGTGAGGAAACTGATTCCTGAAGTCCTTTTGCTTTAAGCTAGGAAGTAGCAAGGAGAAATCTTTTAGGTTCTTGTGGGCATGTGTTAGTCAGGCTTTAAGACCACCACAAAGGAAAGGAAAGGGACAGGAATGTGTGGGGAAATAACACGAAAGAGATGTTGGGGAAAGGCTCCAAGGAAAAGGGAGGTAGGAGGGCAAAGGAGGTCCAGGATAGGACAGGTGCGATGCCTCATATCTGTAATCCTGGCTATTCAGGAGAAAGAGATCTAGAGGGTGTCAGTTTGAGACCAGCCTGGGCAAAAGTTAGGAAGACCCTACATGAAAAGTAAAGCACAAAGAGTTGGAGATGTGGCTCAAGTCGTAGAGTGCGTGCCTAGCAAGCGTGAAGCTGTGGTCAAACCCACTATTTAAAAAAAAAAATCGGGGAGAAATGAACCAAGCCTTGTATGCACACATGAATAATAAAAGAAAAATGAAAAAAAAAAAAAAAATCAGGAAGGTGAGGATTAGTAGAACTTCCCAGGTCCTGTGCCAGGTATCCAAGTACAGTGCGTGCAGGTGTGTCCATAAGTAGGCAGGGCAACAATGGCTAGAAATTTTCAGAGGTTTTAGGAAGTGGTCTTGCTGGCACTTAGTACCCTGCCTAATATCATTGCACAGTGATCCCTACACAAAGGAGTTCTAACCCTTGGGAGGAAGGATGGAGGTGGCTAGGGAAAGAGTCAATGGTGCTTAGTGAAAGAATTCTGACTTGGAAGTCAGGAGTCCTGAATTCTAACCCCAGTCCTATGCCTAACCTGTTGCATGACTTCAAGTGAGTAATTTAATGGACGGAAAGGATCATCCATTTATGAACCTCCAGTAGGTTCCTCCACCTCTCTTCTTCACCTTCCTCATGGGTAAGGTGGAAATATTTACTTCACAGGGGAGTTTTGAGGTTTAAACACAGCCCAGAAGAGAGTCGGCCCTGTGAACAGATTACTTGTGATATTAAGTCACACTTTCTCCATCTGGAGGGAAAGACTGGACTGTGTGGGTTTCAGACCTCTCTCAGAACATGAGGAGTGTCTGTCTTGGAAAGGCAGATGGGAAAGATCAAAATTCAAGGTTGGGAGACAGGCACTGTGGCTCATCCCTTTAAACTCAGCTCCTGGAGAAGTGGAGATTTGGAGGAATGTGATTCCAGGACAGCCTGAGCAAAGACACCATCTCAGATAATAACCTGGATGTAGAGGTGCATTCCTTCCCAGCTATGAAGGAAGCATAGGTAGGAGGATCAAGGTCCCAGGCCTGCCCTGGGTAGAAACGTGAGAATCTACCTGAAAAACAACCAAAGCAAACAAGGTCAGGTGATGGTTCAAGTGATAAAGTCCTGCTTAGCAAGCACAGAGCCCTGAGTTCAAACCCCAGTACTCCCACAGAAAATTCAAGAGTGGGAAAGAGGAAATGAGAGGGCTTGAGGAAGAAGGCAAGGAACTGTGCAAAAAATGAGGGAGATGGAGGAAGACAAAGGTGTGGAAAGACTTGGGGGGAACAGGGTATATGTTAGAAGTGGATATTGGATTATTGACTCCAATTCCTTTTCCCATGTATTCCTTTACAGGAAAGACCCCTAGGACAAGATGAAATTGAAGGTAATTCCTCCTCCAAGTTCCCTCCCATGGTCATCCACCACTTAACCTGTTCTCTAACAATTTGTGCATTTCTGTGAACATTAATTCATGTGAAAAATTCACACCCTTTCTCTTCCCATATAACCTCAATTTTTGAATTTGTTCTCATGTAGTTTTAAGTACCCCTCCCCCCAATTATTTAGAAGATATGCCCATCTCTACATGTTTCAGAATGTCAGGAGAGGCACATGTATTTTAGAAAGAATCTAAAATTGTTGGGTTTTCTCCCATGGTGGTTATGAGGTTCCTCATAATTTCACCCAAGAAATTTAAAGATTTCCATCTTCTCATTTAGCAGTCTCAGTTGTCATACCTCTTGCTACCACATCTTATACATCACACCTTTTTGAAATGCATGGCTTTTTAAAATGTATTATTCTCTGAAGGATGTCTAGTCAGTGCTTCATTGATAGTTTTAAGGGATATCTCTCTTCCACACTGACTGTTACAAGTTGCCCCAAGGTTCTTCTCTCTTGACTTCCAGAGCTCCGGGCATCATTTCTTGAGTTTGACAAGGACCGTGATGAGTTCATCTCTTACAAGGAGATGGAGCTGACCAAACTGGGCCAGCAAATCCACATGAACCCTGAGACCAGGGGCTGAGATGAGCGACTGGGGTTAAGGAAACACTAAAGGTGGGATTGGGAAGGAGGTGGATATTGATATTAGGTATGGGGATAGAGAGGTGAGAAAGAGGAATAGAAGTCTGTATTGGCAGTGTTTGAAGTGGTTTGAAGGGTGTCTTGTAGAGAGAGAGATCTGGGTTCAAGCCCCAGTTCCTATATTTATTCATTGCGATCATTTTGAAAAGTGGAGTTATACCCTACTCTTGTGCCTGTTTCCCTGTCCTTCATGTGAGGTACTATCACTCTTATAAAGAAAAGGGGTAAAGATGCCCTTGTAGGCAAAAGCATACGTCTGGTGATTTTCCATTAAATGTAGGTTATTCTGACCACTAAGGCTTACTTATCAGTGATGTGCAAGATTGGAGCTGTGCTGGGTGTAGGAAGCACACTTTGAGTTGAATCTAATGTTGGTGAATAGTATTGCACAAAGCATGGATTTTTAAATGGAAGCCAAAGATGATTTGACATTTAACCTGGAATTAAACTGCTAACAGCCTTGCTTTGGGGCATGTAACTTAGTTAACAACATTGAATTCCAAGTGCCTATAGTATGGTCAGTCTTCTGTATCTGCCAGTCCCACATCTACAGAATCAACCAGAAGTGGATGGAAAATATTTGGGAAACATTGTGTCGGCTGCACATGTTCAAACTTTTTTCTTCTTGTCACTAAATAATACAGTATTATAGCCATTTACAGAGTGTTTACATTGCAGTAGGCATTATAAGTAATCTGGAGAACATTGAAAGCATATGGGAGACTTGCTTAAGCTGTGTGCAAATATTGTGCCATTTTATAAAAGGGACTTGAGCATCTGAAAATGTTCAAATCCTCAGACGGTCCTGGCACCAATCCCCTCCAAGGGATGATTGAATTCATACTAGAAGAGAGTCTGATGCACGTGTAATTCAATTTCTTTTTTCTACAGATCTACAGATGAGGAAACATGTGTGTTAATCAACTAAGAGATGTTCTGAAGGTGGTTGTTACTACCATACACAACCTGTTCCCTTGATTCAGATTAGAAGAACAGAGGGGCTTGAGTTGGATGAGTAGAGAAAGCAAATCCAGGGAAACTCTTAGCAGGGAGATGGAAGATGACCTACTTCTTTAATTGACTGGAAGGGAAAGTGAGGAAATGGAAGGTTCAGGTTATATGGGGCACCACTAACCACCTCTCTTCTGTCCTCAGTGGGTGGCCATGTGGACTTTGAGGACTTTGTGGAACTGATGACCCCAAAATTGCATCCAAGACAGCTGGGATGATTGGTATCCAAGAGATGTGAGAAGCCTTCAAGGAGGTGAGTTGAGAGCCCTATAGTGATAGTAGGGTAGAAAAAGGCCACGGAGATTTGTTATTAGTCAGCACTATGGACAGAACCCACCAAAACCTATTTTTTTCTAGTGGTGGTAGGATGGCTGGAGCAGGAATAGAACATCATTCAAAATACTTGTAGTGGACCAGGGTCTCTGCATATCTCATCTGATTTAACCCTCACAAATTAACAGTAAGCAGTCATTTATTCCAGTCATGTGGATGAGGAAAGGGAGGCTCAGGAAGGTTACGAATGTTATCTAAGCTTTTACATTCTCTAGAACAAATGTTGGAACTTCTAACCTTGGTTCCTTGTAATAGGAAGAAGGAACACAAGAATTTGAGATTTCTCACAAAGGATCTCAAATAAATCATCTGGTTTAATCCAGATGATTGCTATAGAAATGCTAAAAAAATAAAAATAAAAATAAGACTGAATATCTGTGATATTAAGGAGGCTGCTTAAACCCCTGATGAAATAACTTCCATTATCCATAGAATTTCAACCATGCACAGTACAATTAAAGTAGTATAGCATTTAGAAGCAAAGACATTGGAACCAGGCAATCTTCATTCCATCATAAGACTTTGGAGCCAGGCTCAAATTCCGGGATATCTCCATCTATTCATTGTATAATTCTCTCTCTCAACTCTGTATAAAGATTGACAGGTGTATTGTTCAAGAAATCTTTATGTAGCCACAGAAATACTCTGTCGAAAACAGTAGCCCCTGGCCACCCTTGGCAACTGAACCCTTGATATGTGGCTCATGTAACTACAGAGCTGAATTTTTTAAACTTCACTTCAATGAATTTAAATTAGATTTTTTATTAATTTGAACTGATATTCAATTGACTATCAATTCAAGTACTGAACTACAGTTCATTTAAATTTAAAAATGAATGTTTGATTTTGCTGTTGGAAAACCTTCCTTTCAAACACCTTGTGTGTGAACAAAGGCCTTTTTGACTGTAAATTTCATGATAAATTCTTAATGTAGAGCAAGTGTTTGTGATTGAAAAATTTAGTATCTGAGTTGACAAACACTGTAAGTATATACTTTGCAGTATCAATTCTTACTGTAATTAGTGTAGTTATCACTGCTCATAGGTAAATGTGTGTGCTAAAAATGTTACCTATGTTTGTAAGTACGTATTAGGTACATAACATGCTGACTTTTGAAATGCAGTGAGCAAAAAAGATTGTAAACATTGCATAGCTAATATTGTCAAGTGGACTACATACCGAAATAAGTTTTGATATATCGACATAAATAATATAGATTATTAAAAATTCATTTTACATATTTTCACATTTTGAGGGGCTGGGGATTAAGCTGAAGTCCTCACATGCTTATTTTTTGTTTTTGTTTAGGACAGTGTGTGAGCCCATGGTGGTCTTGAACTCCTGGTTCACTTACCTGTGCCTCCTAAGTGCTCAAATTATAGGCATGCACCACCATGTCCAGGCTCTTAATTCTTTTTTTCTGGTTCTCAGGTTGAACTCAGGGCCTTTCCTGTCCCTGCTACCACTGAGCTGTCCCTCTCACATGTTTTAAATGTACTACAAAAAACTTAATATAATCTTTGAGGCACATGTTGACTTTCTCTTTGTTCAGAGCTGCTCTAGGGAAGCAGATTTGGGGGAATGTGAGAGGAAGCTGCACACACAGAGCCTGTAGGGCAGGAAGGCATCTGTGGGAGGGCAACAAGCCTGAGTGCTTGGAGCCCTGTGAGCTGGAGAGGGCACAACATGAAATAGCCAAGGTCTCAGGCTTGCAGAAGGCACGGTCAAACCACCTGGGTGTGCAGCAGTGTCGGGATTTTCTTCTGATGGGATAGGAAGTCAGACGAGGGTTTTAAGCATCTGAGTGACAAAGTCTGATATATGCTTTAAATGAGCATGAATATGAAGCCCTGGTGTATGGACCCTAAGAGGATCACAATAAGAACCAGATACCCACATTAGGAGATTATCTTAATAATCCAGAGAAGAAGTGACAGTGGTGAGAGCCAGGTTCGCACCAGTAGAGCTGGGGAAAGAGAGTAGAGCTCCTCTGCCTTCCCTTCCATGTGATTTGGAGACTGGATGTATACACTCTCTGGTAGTTGGTTAAAGATGTACAAGGCAAAGCTTTGGAGGAAGTTTATTGCTTAAAAATATCAGGTGCCTACCATGTAAAACTACTTGTCCTGTGTCTGGCTGATATCACTGAGCATAACATCCTCTGAGGTCATTCGTATTGTCCCATGGGGCAGGATGTCCTGCTCTTTTAAAGCTGAATAGTATTCTATTGCATCTGTGCACTCAGAGAAAGAGAAATACACATGACTCCACTTACCTGAGGTTTCCAAGAGGCAGAATGGAAGGCAGGGCAAGTGGATCGCTGTTCAACGGGCATATCTTATGCAAGATTATTGAATTCTAGTGATCTGTTGTGTCACATAGCGTCCTTAGTTAAAAATATGTTTTGTTTAATATCAATCATTAACTAATATGCAATATGTTACTGCAGTATGTAATATTTGAAGTGTCATATGCTCTTAACAACCGAAGAGTGTGAATCTATGTTCTTACTACAAAAAACAGGAAACAAACAAAACAAAAGCTAAGAGTTGTAGGAACCTCTTGAAGGTGATGGACTGACTGTGGAGTTCACACATATACAAACACACCAATCTGCATGCATTAAATATGTGTACATTTTGTGTATGACTTACAAGTCAATGAAACTGTTTGAGTCTGGTGCCGGTGGTTTACACCTGTGATTCTAGCTACTTGGGAGGCAGAGATTGGGAAGATAGTGGTTTGAGGCCAACTCTGAGCAAAAAGTTTGTGAGACTCCTGTTTCATCCAGTTAATTGGCACAGTGGTGCATCCCTGTCATCGCAGCTCTGCAGGAAGCTGAAAGCATAGAAGCCAGGTGCTAGTCCAGCCCAAGACAAAAAAAATGTTCACAAGACCCCATCTGAACAGAAACATCTGGACATGGTAGTATGTGCCTGTCATCCCAACTACTATGAGAAGCAGAAATAGGAGCCCATGCTGGGCTCTGGGGACTCATCTTGGACAGCTCACACTGGTGGACATGTTACCAGACTGGGACTAAGAGGCTGCAAAAGAACCCTCTTTTGCAGAGATGGCTGAATTCTGAATTTTTGTCATTTTATTTTCCCTTACATTTGTTCCCTTATGTCACCCCCCTCTCCACAGTTAACCCTGACTTCTGTCAGTAAAAGGGTGTTGACTCAAGCAGTCCCCAGAAAATCAGGATCTCTTTCAAGATGCCAAAGGGGTTTTTTCAAGTGGTTCATGCTACCTGCAGGAGGTCTCCAGTGTTTGTGGCTTGGCCCCCATCACCATCTGGAGCTCGATTGTCTCCAACCTTGCAGAAACAACTGGACAAGCAATTGAGAATGTCTTAGCCAAAAATTAGGAAAATAATTATAGTGACCAGTAGCTAAGTAGAGGGAGGACCCAAGTAGAGATAGTAGCCAAGATTAAATTTCTCCCATAATCATCCAACAACTTGTGCTGTATTACTTTTTTAACCATTGAGCTTTATTGAGACTGTTATTGTACGAGTGTGCTTTTGTGCAGTGGTATTGATGCACATGCAGCATAAATGTCTGAACTTGAGGTTTCTCTTGTCTGTGGAATTAC